AAAAATAGGAACGAGGAGGGCAAACAGTATAGCAGTTTATGTCAAAATCTGCCAACTTATTGCAAGTATGCATTAATCAGTAGGAAGGCATAATCTTATTCCGCACGTTCTGCACAATGTCTAGGGGTACATGCGGTAAAGTAGGACAACGCGCGGGTCGCAGAGCCTCATTTAACCGGCAGGTGTATCAGTAATCGCGTTACCAATGTCCCTCCCAAATACCAAAGAAATATGTCGTGCAAGTTATGGCTTGCAGTAGTCACCGTGATAATATGATTATCTTCTAAAAATTCAATTCTTGAATCAATCTACATTTGTGTTGGTTGGAGCTTTATGTGTTAACCCTACGGGGGATGACGGGGGAAGAATGGAGAGGATGAAAGCCGAGGAGGACGACGCCCGCTAAATGAGTGGTTCTATCAAGAACCTCGGAATCTCATCACCTTTTCATCCTATCACATACATTTATTGTTGAATGCCGACCGTGGCGATTCTAATGTTGAAAAAACGATATTGACCAGAGTGTGCGAGTCGAAAGGGGTCTCCTCGATGAAGATAATAATAATCATAATAAACAACCCAACCGTCATCTAATTCCACTCCAACTAGTTTGCAGCCAATCGCTACCGGATATCGCTACGACCAGCTCCACGCTCCGACTGCTCTCGTTCCCAGACAGAGTCTCCACTGCGAGACCAACCTACTGTTTGGGACCGGCGAGCGCTTCCCGCGTGCCTCTCTGTGCGGCCATCCCCCCCGTTACTCGGTCGTCCCTGTCCTTCGTTTATCTTTGCTGTCTCGGCCTCCGATATATTATTCCCTTGCTGCTCACGTTGACGTCTCGGTCTTGTCTATCTCGAGTCTCGGTACCCAATTCCTGCAGCTGACGCAACTGCAGGCCCAGGGCAGGACGTAACCGTCAACTGTTTCCTGTGGACTAACAACCCGTCATGGACGGTGATCTGAGTCTATCACAGTCCTTTGGGGGCCTGCGAATTGCCAATCCAGATCATGTCAATCCCGCATCTCCCAGCCCTGAAGCTTCCGAAGCAACAATCACACCCCCTTCGGTCACTCCATCCATCCCCCGGCGAACTTCGTCCAGATCATCATCAAGGGCATTTCATGACCTTCGAAACAGAGAGACCCTGTTAGCTTCCCAAGCTGCCAACCGTTCGCCCTCCCCACTCACCGTCGATCCGAACAATTTCTCTGCGAGCTCCACCCCTACAACTGCCCCGTCGCCCACATCTATTCCACCTGAACAACCGGCTCAAGGGTCGCCGCAGACACCTATTCAGCCCTTCCCCGCTCAGCATACCTCAGTTCCGCCGCCTACATCCTACCCGGCTGTGATTGGGGTGCCTGTTGCTGTTCCTTCACCATACCAAACCGGTCCACACAATGTAGGAGTCAGTAGGGAGCCCACATATAGATTACGAAGCGAGTCCTCGAGGTCATCGATGAGCGGTGCACCCCGAAGGAGTGACTCTCGTGCTGCGGCGATGGCTATGCAGGCCGGTGTCCCTACCCGCGAAGGGAGCCACAGCGACCGGTCGTACCGCGTGAGCCAGCCTGCTCCTCCTCGAGGCGCTCCCATCCCACCCCGGAATCTTGCTCGCGGTCCAGCCGGAACGCTCTTGGCCCCAGCTGGGACGGGCTCTATACCAGGATCGCCCTATGGGATTGAAGGCGGACCCATCAACAGTAGCGAGGACTGGAAAGATAGGGGTGCCGCTACTGTTGGCATGAGACAGGAGATTGATTCTAATGGCCATCCAGTGACCAGGCCAATGAAGAAGGGCGTCAAGGACTTTAACTTTTCCCGCACTCTTGGCGAAGGTTCTTATAGTACTGTTTTGGCTGCTACAGATCGACAAACCCTACGTGAATATGCCATCAAGGTGCTCGATAAAAGGCATATTATCAAAGAGAAGAAGGTCAAATACGTGAACATCGAGAAAGACACGCTTAATAGGCTTACAGACCACCCTGGCATTGTTCGACTTTATTATACATTCCAAGACGAGAGATCATTGTATTTTGTGCTCGATCTGGCGAGCAATGGCGAGCTATTGGGAGTGCTGAAGAGGATGACGACATTTGATGAGGAATGCACCAGGTTCTACGGTGCTCAGATCTTGGACGCCATTGACTACATGCATGCCAAAGGGGTCATTCACCGGGACTTGAAGCCCGAAAATGTTCTTTTGGATGATCAGATGCACGTAAAGATTACCGATTTTGGAACTGCAAAGATTCTGGAAAGTCCGCGACCGCAGAAAGATGGCGACCCTTCCATAACTGATCCGTTGGACGGCTTAGATGATGATCGCGCCAAATCGTTTGTCGGCACCGCAGAGTATGTGAGCCCGGAATTATTGACGGAGAAGAGCGCCTGCAAAGCTAGCGACCTATGGGCGTTTGGCTGTATCATCTATCAGCTCCTGGCCGGAAGACCTCCATTCAAAGCCGCAAACGAATATCAGACTTTCCAAAAGATTGTCAACCTCGAGTTTGAATTCCCAAAAGGTTTTCCCGAGGTGGCTAGGGATTTGGTCGAAAGGCTGCTCGTTCTAGATCCGGCTCTACGACTGCCGATCGAACATATCAAGAACCACAAATTTTTCGAGGGCATTGTATGGGGCAGGGGTCTCTGGAAGCAGAAGGCTCCGCGACTGAAAGCCTACGTGCCGCCGGCGCAGGAACCCATCAAACTTAATGGCAGTGGTAACTATCCCCCAAACGGTCCGCAACATAGCACCACGAAACTTGTTACCGGATCATCCGGTGTCTCCAATGGTGCGACGAGACCCCAACCCAGAGTGATCACGGAGCTTCCACCTCCAACTCAACTGGACATCGAGTGGTCCCCGGTATTGACCAAGAGCAACGAACGTATTCTTAAGCTCGGGAACTTATCCGTAGCGTCGGCTGCCGCTTCCCATAATCAAACTGGCAAGAACGGCCAGAACGGACAAAGTGGCACTGAGTCGACTAGGAAATTTTCTCGTCTTTTTGGTGGCGGCGGCCCAAAGAAGCGTCAGCGTCTGGTAATGGTTACGTCGTCAGCGCGAGTCATCTTTGCCGCCGCCGGTGGTGATGAAAAGAAGACAAAATCTGAACTGTCGTTGCTTGCCCCTGGCTGCGGATGGAGGATCACCAAAGACAATAAAGGCTTGTCCTCATGGTGTATAGATACAGTAAGTGCTTCTGATCTCACCTTTGTATCCCGGGGGGCTTTTATATTAATGCACGTTACTTCAGCGCGATCGAGTCTTTACCTTTGAAGACGTAAAACCAACCACCAGTGATCCAAATAGTACAGCCACCTCGGCACGAGAATGGCTCGATACATTAGAACGCGCAAAGGAAATAGCGACATCACGAAGCATGGCGAATTCATACTCTGGCGAGGACGCCTTCAAAGACCTGCTGCCTTCGGGCGTTCCAAGCCCAGCCAGCACAATGGGCGAAGATCCCAAATTAGGCTATGATGGTGCGCCTGCCAGCACTGGCAGGCTCACTAAAAGCCAGGGAGGGTCTGGAGATTCTGAGTCCACCAAAGGCCGAAAGAGATTCAGCAAGCGACAGTCAAAGAGCGGTCTTGCAGCTGTTTTCTGAGACTATGGTGATTTTCCAAATGTCTTTAAAGAACATTATGGAAGGATAGAAGTGGCCCTCATTGTTCTTACCATCCCGGCATCTTTCATACAACCGATTCTCATCAGCGACATGCACGCAAGGCGGGCCGTGTATGCCTACTCTTTACCCTTCTCTCTCTACCCTTCTTTATCACAGAGTCCCCAAAGGGACTTTGCATGACCTTGATCTTACGCAGCGCGCCTTATCTTTACATTCTTTCTTTTTTCCTTTTTTTTTTCTGATATTATCGCAAAAGCTGCTCCAAGTTTTCCCTCATCTCCTTCTCCATTTTTCTCATTGGTCACGGGCTTCATTCCTCAATAGCCTGGCGCCTGGAGTTCGGCCCATATATTTCCCATAATCTTTTGTGTTTTTCTTCCACTACTTTCCTCTTCTACTTCTTCTTCTTCTTCTTCTGGCCGCCCTGATTTTGGATTTGTGATTCTCCATAAGATGGCATTTTGGAGTACATTTTTATTATCTTTTTTTTTTTCTTCTCTAAATGCTAGAACTTTACGGCGGAAAGGGTTCCGTTTTATATCGATAACATATCTCATCTGCTACTCTGAATCTTTGAAATGCATGGGACTCTTGAAATACTTTATTATTCTTCTTTTCGCAGATTTGCATGGGGGCGGTGTTTCATCGTTCTCGTTCTTTCACTTTTTTTCCTCTCCCCGCTTAACTTGCCTCCCCCCCCTTTTTTTTGTCGTTCTTCTCTAGCAGAACCCCCCCCCGTTTGTTCATTGTATTTACATTGAAATCTTTTGTTTCCCTTCATATATGTCCACATTTATATTACATTGACTTTCCCCCTTTGTCCTGGGTGTGCTTATCTATAGTTACATTGAATCTTCTTTTTCTCTAAGCTACATTGACTCTCCTTTTCTAAGCTACATTGACTCATCCCTTTTTTCCCCTCCATCTGTGCACTTATTAGTCTTATCTAGTCCGTAAAGGAATTTTCCCCCTTTTCCTTTTCCCTTGCTTCACTTCTTGACAAGGAAATAACATAAGCCCCGCTTTTTGTCATTTTCTTTACGCGTCCACAGATCTTACCCATAGTTGTTTTGGAACATGTTCGGATCTATGCTTACTCTCCCTTTTTTTTATCCCCCCTTCTACATAATTTTGTGGGACACTTGTTACTCTAACTTATATGATTTCTTTTGCAATGGCATGCAATAATAGTATGGAATTGTACTGCACAAGATGGCCGACCACAACGAGGCCAGAGAATATGCGAGTTATGTGGTATGCCGAATGATCAAAGATGTAAAGTGCCAATCGTAATCATATCATTTGCGCTTAAGACCGCTGGATGACTCGGTAGTAGGTTTGGCATAAAATCAGGTATGACATATGCATAGGGACCAGGAGTCTGGACCGAGGGGGTGGAAAGGGAATCAAAGAAAGACAAAGTCTATAATTCTACACTAAACAGTAATTCTAGATGATTGGAAGACTTCAACCCATGACCCTTCTATATAACAACGACATCCCACAATGATTTGGACCAAACTCGCTAATAAAACCTTGAGACCAACATTCTTTTTTGCAAAAGCCTACTTTCAATAAATTGACACACAAATATACACTCTAGTCTGGTATAAAGCCGGATGATGTTGGTGATATGGTTGGAGAGGGCGCATAGGAAAAGGTAGAGGAAACGAAGAGAATCGTTGCAGTATCGAGGTATCCGAAAACTAAATTTAAAAAGCATTTAGGGACGGAAAGGCTTGTCACCGGAGCGAATTCCCTTCTTGCTCTTGAAGAACTGGGCACCGTCGACCAAGCGACGCTCGTTGTTGACGCGCGTGTTGACAAAGTCGTGGTAGTTGAGGGTAAGTTCGACCGAGCCGGAGACAATGTTGTCGACGGCCTCAGCACCAAGCATGAACGAGTGGTCCTGGTTGCCAACCTCGTAGCGCCACGAGCCGAAGCGGCCACGTGAGTAAATGTCCTTGGCCTGCAGCTTGGGGAGGAGCTCAGTCAAGACACCCTCGCGCTCGAGAGTAGGCGTCGGGTAGCCGTGGTCGAAGCGGCGGTGGTAGGTGGAGACAACCTCATCACCAGGCTTGAGCATCGACGTGTTTACCAGACCTTGAATACAGTCTTGCAATAGAGTAGCGTGGTCGACGGGCTTCATGGCCGACTCGGACACCTCAAGCATGATGGACCAGTAGGGACCGTCCTTGGGCTCAGATGAAGCAGGCTTTGATCCGTCGGCCAGCTGCAGGGTGGCGAGTTTCTTTGAAGCCGCGGGCTGGTTGTTGGGCGAGTAGTTGGAGAAGATGGTAGCGCGGTAGAAGGGGCAGTTGTCCTCGGGGAAGTAGAGCTGTCGCAAAGCCAGGATTAGCATCGTTATCTCTTGAACCAATTTGTACCCGGCACACTTACCCAGCACTTGTCTCCGATACGCTCAGGACGCTCACCACGGATGCCAATACCAATGACGTGAGTGGACGAGTAGAAGAGGCCAGAACTGAGCTGTCCAAGCTCCTTGTCGCCCATCTTCTCGGCCAAGTGATCCACGGCCATGGTCGAGATCAAGCGCTCATAGCCAACGGTTGAGCCGTCCTTGAATGTGACAATCTTCTTCTCTGCGTCCACCTTGGTCACAGCGCCGTGCGAGCCGAAGCGGGTGTTCTTCTTGGGCAATGTGTTGGCTACCGCGATCCAAATCGCCCCAGTTCCTCCACGGGCGGGGAAGCGGAAGGTCGCGTTGGGTCCCCAATTGCCCGCAGTCTTCTGGAGAATGACATTCTTTGTCACGGCTTTTAGGTTTGGCGCAGCGACACGCTCTCCGAGCCACTGGCATTGCATCTAATTACAGGCAAAGTATGCGTTAGCGGTACATTCAGAATGCCAGACAACCGATGCACTCACCTTAGTAGTAGGCACCGCCCAAACCTTATAGTTGTAGGGACGCATGAACAAGTCAGCGATGCCAGTACCCATCATCCGAACAATCCACTCGTCAAAGTCCTTGGGCTTCGTGTTGGCGACGCGGTGCTCGAGGGCGGCATCGATCATTCCGTCAATGCACTTGATTTGCTCCTCCTTGGGGAGCATGGAGATGTTGTTCTGGAAAGGATAAGGAACCCAGAGGTCCTTGCAGCGGACATATGAAATCCGCTGGTGGCTGTACCAGTCGTCCTCGTTGGGCAACGCCTCGTTGATGCAGTCGTCAAAGTACTTGTAATGGGAGAAGATGACATGGCCGCCGACATCGAACAGCTACAAAAAGAGGAGTTTGTCAATTCCTTGTTGTTATCTGTATGCGCCCAGATGATAATCAACTTACAAATCCTTCCGGAGTGACGTCCGTCGAGGCAAGGCCACCGGGAGTCTCGTTCGCGTCCACGATCAACCATGAGGGTTCATCCTTTTAAAATCTGTCAATGGCTGGCTTATAATTAGGGCCGATCTAGGCGATGAAAACATACGATCTGATGAAGGCGCTTCGCGGCACCCAGTCCAGTTGGACCGGCTCCGATGACGAGAACATCGACAGAACTGTCAGGTCAAGTCAATTGGGGTCCTGCTCGATGCTCCTGAAGGGGAGAAAACATACGTATCGGGCTGCGTCACAGTCATGTTGCACTTGACGAAGGGCTTGAGATATCTGATGTACAGACAAGACAAATAGAGAGGGTAAAAAGAGGAGACAACAACACCACGAGGTTGGAGGATCGAAGGGAGAGAAATATTAAGGTGAAGGATGGTTGCGTAGCAGAATATGGGGCCACGGAGTTTGTAGCGGTAACTTAAACCAAGCAAACTAGTCGGCGAGGCACGAGGAGTGAGGAAGGGACAAAGGGGGGGGGGGGGGGGGGGGGGGGCAAGTGTATCAGGGACTACAGGGACTAAGTACGTGTGGACAGATGGGATAGATGAACAATGCAGAGGCGAACAATCCACCCCACACGCTTCTAGAGGAGACTTGAGGACGCTCTCCTCTCGTATAGGTGGTTCAAGAATAACTATGCCTGACAACCCTCTTCGACTTCAATCTGCGCCTCCTGTTCCGGCGCCTGTCGTTTTCGCCTTCGTTGCCACATTGGACTGTGGTTGGCCGGCCTCAACTACGTAATTTTGCCTCCTCGAAACCAAAAATTCTTTTGGCCGGCATGAAGAATAAATTTCTTAGGCACGTTCTCGGTACGTATCTACCCAAAACGGTGGGTTTTCAGAAATTAAAGTTTTTATGCATCCATCAATTGGGCGCTTGGCTATTCCTTTTGACGTCTTTGGCGCATTTTTCCGACCGACGCGCTGTTCCTGAACTGTAAGGTACCGCTGTACAGTATCACTATCACCCGCCTAAGGAAGAAAAGGATGGTTTTGGGCAACAATAATAATGAGGAACTTCGTATAGCGCTGATGTATTCTCGTGTGCAGGTTTATGATATGTGTATCCTCACTATTTCTTCATCCATTTACTCTATTCCTGGATGTACTCCGTCCCTGCGTCTAGCGGTTCCCCTTTTCCCCGCTGATCTCCATTACGAATCCGCACTCACCTCAATGAATGGCGACACTCCCCTGAGAAGGGAGTACGCAACCTGTCCGAGCCGCGCCGCGGTTGAAACCGGTCCCCGGGGTTACAGAGCGACGTTGATAGGCTCACAGCCGTCCTGGTTGCGGGAGCTATTGCAGATAGTGAAGACGCAGATCGAATGCGTCTGCCAGCCCCGTCCACGCAAGCTTTTCGCTACGACTCGCTTGGTTGCAAGTAGGAGAAAAAGGGGGGACCGAGGGGACCCATTCTTCGTAGTACTGATACTTTTGATTCCTTCAAACGTCCGCCCTGGTTACAGTACTTCTACCTAGGATCAATGATACCGATAAACCCATCCCAACTTTCTCCTGATTAGGCCGCGCTCAGGTGGGAGGTCCTCCAAAAGGCCGTCCTCGTCAACTTCTCGTGCACCATTTTGCTGGTTGGGCAACGACCTCAACTTTGTCGCGACACGCTCCCAGCCTGCACAACGCTGGTTCTTCTGATCTCAATCCTGAGGGCCTTTGTTCCTTCATTCATTGATCGTTACCCCTCAATTATTCATATTATTTTCTTAGTCAACTGTCTAGACTCTAGCTCTCATCTGCATCTCCCTTGAGCATCCCCAGTTGGCCACGCGATATCTTGCAAGGTCCAATATTACCTCTCTCTGCACTCAAGCCTTGGATCTTTCTTCTCAAAACTCCATTACAATTATGGCTGCCGCCGCTGAAGAAAAGGTTCGCACCTCGGGAGATTTGTCTCGACCCGAGCCCACTCCCGTATTGCCCACGGTCAATCCAGATGCGCAAAAGTCAGAAAAAGCAAAACCAACATCTTCGATCCATGCATCGTTCTACGTAATGTACGCCCCTTTCAATCCAGATCTCCCTTGGTCATAGGGGACACTTCCATTGACTCCGCTTGTTGTCTTCAGATTCTGGATTGCATGCAGTTCAGGTGTTATCCTGTTTAACAAATGGGTTTTGGACAATCAAAAGGCCAAATTTCGTAAGTTGAAGTATTTCTCCAAGCCATGCTGCTAAGCTAACGGTGTTCTTCCAGACTTTCGTATGTTTTACTTCATGAAAACAAAAAAACTTATCCGCATGGATGACAGATACTGATGCGGGACGATAATATAGCAATTATTCTGACGACATGGCACCTTACCTTTGCCACAATCATGACTCAGATTCTTGCGCGAACGACCACGGTTTTGGATGGACGGAAGTCAGTAAAGATGACTGGTCGTGTCTATTTGAGAGCTATCATGCCCATTGGATTGTTCTTCAGCTTAAGTCTGATTTGCGGCAACCTGACCTACCTGTACCTCAGCGTTGCCTTCATTCAAATGCTCAAGGTGAGTACACTTTTCGCTTTGGCTCCGCTACTGGATTGTATCACTAATTTCCATTATTTAGGCCACTACCCCGGTTGCGGTGCTCTTCGCGACTTGGTCTCTCGGAATGGCACCACCAGACATGAAAAAGCTCTTCAACGTTTCCTTTATAGTTATTGGCGTGGTCATTGCGTCAGTTGGCGAGATCAAGTTCATTTGGACCGGCTTCTTCTACCAGATTTTCGGCCTGACGTTTGAAGCAATTCGATTGGTCATGGTGCAGCGCCTTCTTAGCTCATCTGAGTTTAAGATGGATCCCCTTGTTTCAGTCTACTATTATGCGCCTGTTTGCGCTGTCATGAATTTCGTTGTCGCACTCATTTTCGAGATTCCGAAGCTGCAGTTGCAGGATATCTACAATGTTGGCATCTGGACGCTTCTGGCCAATGCCATGGTTGCCTTCTTGCTGAATGTCTCAGTAGTATTCCTGGTAAGTACACACCACGTCATCTTCCGCCTCGGGTCGAGCCATTGACAATTTTTCCAGATCGGCAAGACCTCGTCCCTTGCGCTCACCCTGTGTGGTGTCCTCAAGGATATCCTTCTTGTCGGTGCGTCTATGCTTATCTGGGGCACTCATGTCACTCTCCTCCAGTTCTTCGGCTACAGCATCGCCCTTTCTGGATTGGTTTACTACAAGCTGGGCGCCGACAAGATTAAGGAGCACGGCACCCAGGCTCGCCTCGCTTGGGCTGACTACGGCGTCCGTCACCCGGCGCTACGCAAGCTCATCGTGCTCGGCCTGGCGCTGTTCGTTTTCATCCTCGTCTTGGGTGGTCTGGGTCCGGTTGTGGCACCATCCTATGTCCCTAACACTATCGGATCCTCTAAGTATCTTTCGTCGCTCATTGGCGATAAGGTTGGAGATCAGTCCACGTGAAAAAGGGCCTTAGTCGGCCCGTCATCTCATCCACCCCATCAATAGGAGCTCAAAGGCAGGAATACATTATGTTTTAGTATCGAGATACTCCTTGATCCTTCGCGGCTAAGATGTGAGGAACTGCAGAGACAGCTGTCGCGCTAGAAAAGATTGGGTACAGACTATATTTTTTGGGGGTTCCATTCCAAGATGCCCCCTTCTATGCCATCCTTAACTTGCCGATCTCTCTGGATATCATCACGCGTTCAATGCGCGCTTCTTGTGATAGAGTTGTTTTACTAGCGCTTTGGGGAAGCTCTATATTCCAATTTAATTCTTCTAATGTCATACATGCCTACTTGCCTCGTGACTTTTTTCTGGCTTGGGCGTGAGCTTCCTGGGGTTTGTGTGTAACCCAAGCCTGAAAACGCTCCAGTCCAAACGATTAGGCGGGAAAAGGGTTTCCCCGATAATGGTCAATGGATTCCAGGTGACAGAAGCGATGACCAACAAGCAATCGGCAATGATATTAATCGTATCGTCACCTGTGTTCTTCGTTTCATTCATATGTAAGTCTTCCTGAAACCCGCTCTTGCGGACCGGCCGGGAGCGGCTGGGCACAGTGGCAGAGGTTTTGGGAGCCGGGGATGGATCAGATTTGACACCGTGAGTTAGATGCATAGATGCAGAGAAGGGCCGGACAATAACGCCGCCCCTTTTTCACCTTCATTGGCCTGTGGCTTCGTCTCTGCTTGCTCTGCGGCTACAAAGGTGTTGAGTCCCATACGCTAGCTGAAGACATGGCTAAATTACGGAGGAGCTCTACAAGTCGTCTGCTGGAGTTGCTAGTAAATGCAAGACATTGATTGTGTTAGAAGGAGTGCGCGAACATGATCAGCGTTCTGTCTCAGGCCAAAATACGTACGCGGTAGTAAACACTTCCAGGACCTGCCGGGCGCAATTCCGGGCCTCGCCTGACTGGGTTTGGTCACTCTAGGCTAAACCTGCCGTTCCCCTTTACTATGCAAAACCAAGCTTTTCTTTGCAGACAACTCGTGGCAGTCCTTTGAGGCGAAGCATTGAGGAAGACATGACCACCATTGAAGAATTGAGAAGAAAGGAGAGTGAACTTTGAGGGGGCAACCAAAAACAAAATAAAAGAAAAATTTAAAGCAATTAAAAATTTGAAGATATTTTTGATATCGGCGTATAGGTGCACAAAATAAAAGCTCAGTCTTGTGATTAAATATACAACATTATTTCACGAGTATGAGAATGCCTTTGTATTGTTCGCCTGAAATGCAGTATTCAAAACAAGTGTTGATAAATTTTGGGTTGTGATTTTATTGTGCGGTACTTTGTATATCATTACGCGTTAGTGTATGCACGGAGGCAAAGACTTCGCCATCAGGCCCTTGCATAGCTCCGGAGTCACTACGATAATATTCAGTACAGAACCTTGGCGATGCCGCGCTTGAGCACGAGAATATTTTTGTGGGACTGAGATTTCGATAGAGAGTGATTAGAATTTCAGGGCCTTGTACGGATCAAACCTCGGGCTGCTTTTGTATGCGTGGTTCTGGATTGCTTTTCAAGCGCGCAAAATGCGAAAAGTCACCACAATGTCTCGGCTTTAAATGGGTTTGGGGCCCTTGCGCCAAGTGCGCCGGCTCCCAGTAGGGGGAGGGGTTTTGGCCAGTGGTTACTTCACCGTGCATTTCATATCAATTGTCTAGAATAGCTCAGGTACCGCAGTCAGTTGGTACTATGTGAGGCGTTTTCAAAGTGCATACACTTACGTAAGTCAGTCAGGAATATATGAATTAAAGACAAGGAGAACTCCAAAAGATCAGAATCAGAATACCTTTGGATGTGCACCGAGCCTTTGGTTTTAAAGTACCTAAGGTACCTACCTAGTATACTCAGAGAGTTGGGTGATGGGATTATTGATTTACAATTAGGAATTTGTACCTTCTCATTGTGTGGAGGGCTCAAGTGACCCCTGCAGCTTTTCGTGGGTCAGTGGGGAATACTAGTCCTCGTATGGGATTTTCTCAAGGACGGAAAATTTGTTCAAATTCCCAGCACTCTTTTCCCAGCTGAAATCAGGGCGAAACTAAAGACCTTCAGGGAAGGATTACCGAACCAGCAATCCCCCATGGCAAGATGCGCAGTTGGTCTGTGACTTTGTGGGCTTTGGGCGGGTCATACCCAAGGAAGGTTGGCAGACACAGTAATCAGTAGGGCGACGGTGTTCCTGTTCCCGCTGGCCCCATTGGCGATTTAATTAATCTGCCCGTTGGCCCTAGGATTCTTCTCTGAGAGAAATCGTTCTGCCCTGCTTTTGCTCGCCGAACTTGCGTGCAGTTACCTAATTATCCGATCTAAAGCCAACCTCGTGCCATGGGCTACCCCAACTGATGTCTAGCCCCCGTATGGACCACTGTTTGAGTGCGGCAGTTGGCAGTAGTAGTGTAACAAGTTATACTTGACCCAAATGTTGCAGGACAACGCTGCTCCGAATCACTGGAAGATCGCGATCCCTCATCTCACGTGCTGCCGTCTTGTTGGCCTTACGGTTCACCTGCACACCAACATTGCCTCTCCCCACGATACTGCCCGTCAATCTATAACCTTCGACCCTTGATATCTGAGATTCCCCTGTGGCCTCTGCGTGACTTCTGGCCCTCCCTTTGGCTTGTCCCCAAATCTCTCCTGTCGGGGACGAAACCCGACCCTGACCTATTCGAACCTCTCTTCATCGATCCCGCCTTATCCTTTCCTCATCAACCTCACCCCGGATCACCGGCAATGCTCTGACTCATATAAATCCATACGGCTCGCGCGTAAGGATGGATCGCCAGGAGCTGGCGGCGGAACCTCCGCCTCAGCTGTCAAAACGTCTTGCGCAGATACCGGGATACGTCTGGGACGAGACGACGGAACCTTTTCATTCGGTAGGTTGCCCACCAGCATCACAAGCTTGGCCAGGCGCAGAACAACTCGGATGACTGACTCGCGTGTTTTTTTGTGTTTGAATTAGAGTTACGATAATTGGCACGTCTTTGGGCTGCGCAAGATCAGCGACCATCACCGGCTTTCGAAGCAGTCTGCAGCGCTTCAGCAATCAAGCCCCGCACGGGCCCAGTCACCATCTGGTTCGGCGGATTCCACGAATAGACCGAATCAATCATCAAATAGTGATCAGGGCGAGCACGGAAGTGAGGCTGCTGCCAAAGCTGAAGCACTCGCGGAAGGATTTCTGCCCGTCGTCGCGCGCATTTCCACTCATGTTTTACGGCTGGAGCGGGAATTTCATCTCTGCAAAACGCTGATTCAAACCATCGACAAGAATTGCCGGCATACGGTTCGTCCCATCGAGTTGACATGGTTGCCCCGCCTACCAGATGACCCTGGTCCCATTGTTGTATCCATTTTCGAATCTCCTGGACGCAACTACGTCAAGGATCTGTTAAGTCTCCGCAGTCCTCAGTATCGCAACTCTGCCTCCCACTCGTCGTCGGAGAATGTTGGTGCCGGAGAAAATGGTGCTGATGGCGGCGAAGAACGAATGTCTGTCCAGGTCTTTTTGGATTTCGCTGTGGGCGCTTGTGAATGTCTCGAACTGTTACATAATGGACACAAGATTGTACATGGAGAATTACGCGGAGATGCTTTTCATTTCAACCAGTCGACCGGCTTGGTGAAGCTGATCAATTTCGGGTCTGGCCCGCGGTCCTTTGAGAATGGGTTGACGAGCACTGGATGGTCATCACTCTCTAGGGAGATTGGCGTCAAGGATAAACTACAGTATATTGCTCCGGAACAGACTGGCCGCATGCCGGCGGAACCAGATAGTCGCACGGACATCTACAGCTTAGGGGTACTCTTCTGGACCCTGCTAACCGCTCAACCGGCGTTTGATGGCGACGTGAGTTCTTTCTCCTGGTCCAGTCCTCTTTACCGTTGTTGAATGATGAGACGACTAATGTTCTTTGACGCCGTTCAGACCCCTATGGATGTTATGCAGAGCGTTTTGAGTCGTCGAATACCGCCAGTTACCTCGAAACGTCCTGAGGTTCCCGACGCTCTCTCCAACATTATCCAGAGGATGACGCACAAAAAAATTGATCAGCGCTACCATTCAGTTCTTGGCCTCAAGTATGATCTCAAGACTTTTAGAAGGATACTCGTCAATGGAGACACAAAGGCCTTGGGGAACTTTGAGATAGGCACGCGGGACGTGTCCTCCTTTTTCAAACTACCCACGACCATGGTTGGCCGGCAAGAGGAACACGCCCAGATTTTGCAAATTTTAGAACGCTCAAGTAAGCGCCATGGTTACGTGGGCACTTCCAAAAACGGCCTATACAGTATTAGCTCTGGCTCCTCCATTTCGGATCCTCGAAATGACGTCCTTGAGTTCGGCGACGGATCCAGTGACACGACCAGCTCTCATGGAGGAGACGACGGAGCTGCTCTGTCCGGTCTTGGACCGTCATTGATGCCTTCTTCTCAGGGAATCTGTGAAAGCATTCCGGAGGTGCCAAGCTCGAGACCATCGGCCTCGTCGACCGGAAAAATCTCCACTGATAGCTTGGATGACGTACGACCGTCTTCTATTCCTAGTGGATCGCTTGGAAGAGCCAGTCTTTCTGATCGGTCGTCAAGTTTGGCAAAGCGATCATACGGCTCGAAATTCCGGCGAAGAGGTCTTTGCGAAGTGATCACGATCACGGGTGCGGCCGGACTAGGAAAATCCTGCCTGGCGCAAAGTGTTCATGCGGAAGCCAGGCGGCTCGGGTAAGCCTCTCACTGTGAATTTATTTTTCTGATCATCAAATTTGCTGTGTTTTGCGTATTTTTTCTTCTCTGGTGCTTTACTGCCCTATTGCATTTCCGCCGCGCTCCGATGGCAATGTTCAAAATAGCTTCCTTTAAGTCGCGGTATGATTATGGTACTGACTTTTTCCAATCATTCAGATACGTTGCCTCTGCCAAATTCGATAACTCAAAGGGGTCGCCATTCGAGCCCGTCCTGAAATTGATGAGCTCATTATTTCGCCAGATCTTCTCAGAAGCCGATATATCGACAGAGTTTCATACTTCTTTGCGAGCCAAAATTAGACCTATCTGGGGTGTGCTCCACACCATGCTTGATTTGCCAGAGTGGGTCATTGGTTTCTCAAGTTCGCGGGCCTCGTCTTCCCGTCATGGAAGCAGCATAGGCACATCGACAAACGGATCTAGTATTGGGACTCCGCCACTTCGCCCGCAAATCCCTACGATTGGTGGTACGATACCTTCTGCGACGAATGATTTGATGCTGTCCTCAAGGTCGATGCGTTTTATAAATCTCTTTTTGGACGTCCTTAGAACTCTGACAGCACATAAATTTATTTGCCTTTGTCTGGACGAGTAAGTCTTTTACCGGATGGGCTGGAATGACACGAGCTAACGGAAAGCAGCCTTCACTCGGCAGACGAAGAGTCTCTGGATATGATCTCGAAGATTGTTTCCAGTAGAATAAGGCTCGTGCTCATTGTAAGCGGCCCTTTCTCCTTCTGCCTGTTACAGCATTCCGCGCTAACCATGTCTTGTACAGGTGACACTCCGCCCTGGAGCTTTCTCGAATCCTAAGCTTCGTGGGATCTTCGACAGCGACCACGCCGCAATTACGAATATTGAACTTGCGCCTCTCAGCGAGGACGATATCGTAGAATATGTCTCAACTACGCTCCATCGCCCCGCGGACTATGTCTTTCCTTTGGCATCTGTTATACAAGAGAAGTCGAACGGGAATCCTTTTATGCTGCGGGAGATGCTTGTAAGTGCTGCATCATCTTCGTCTCTAAATTCAGCTGCTGATGGCTCTTTTCTTAGGACACTTGCTACAGGAAAAACTGTGTCTGGTATTCGTGGCAAGAGACATCCTGGGAATACGACCTTGACAAAGTCTTTTCCGAATTCCAAGTCGAACAGTATGGTCAACAACTAAGCGGCGATTTTGTTGCACGACGGCTCAGGGAGCTTCCGCGACCCGCGCGCACGATACTGGCCTGGGCATCATTATTGGGACATACCTTTTCTTTCGCACTGATACAGAAATTGATGTCAGGAGAATTCGCCTCGGAGGACGAGGCCATGGGTGAACCACTTACGACGCCAGTATTCCTTGTGGCTGATGAGGATATTGTCGATGGGTTGCAGGCTGCCATCGGGGCTCATGTACTTATTGCAGACGAGGACGAAGATCACTTCCGGTGAGTTGCTGATCTTCTTAGGGAGAGAGAACAAAAGAGGGGATGAAGAAAACCCTGGTTTGGCAGTTGAATACTAACATAACGGACAGATTCTCTCATGATCGATATACCACTGCGGCAGCGACACTTAGGGATCCTAGTGCCCTTCAAAAGATGCATTACATGATTGCGCAAGCGTTAATGAAATACAGCGAGATGGATGACCGTACCCTTTACTCTCGGTGCCAACATATATGCTTCGCAGTCAACCTGATCAGGGAGCGGGTCCCCGCTAGAAGGCACTTCAGGGACTTGCTAGTGCAAGCCGCTACGAAGGCTAGCGAGTCTGGCGCCAAAGCTGCAGCTTTATACTATTATTCGCATTGCCTGGAACTCTTGCAATCGGAACCGTGGAATGATTCATTATCAGATGTTTCCTATCAAGAGGTAAGCGACGCTAAGGTTTCCGATTATTTGGTTCGTATACTAACTCGGTCTCATCACAAAGACACTCCAGCTCTACAATCGGTAAGTGAGATGGGTCCTATTTTACATTTACTATTCAGCTATTGTGTCCCTCTCATGCGTCCATCATAAATCCATGTTTGCCATCAGGGCGTCGCAAAATACCAATTTTCCACGCTAATCCATCGCAGAGCTGCAGAATGTCACTTGTATCAAGGGCTTTTGCCGGAAGCACTCGAGCTGCTTCACCAGACTTTCAAACATGCAAAAGATGTGGTCGACAAGACTCGCTCATGGGTTCTGCAGAGCCGAGTCTTCACTCAAAGCGGCGACACTTTTGCTACATTTCAGGCTCTACGAAATTGTCTCGCTGACCTTGGCCTGGTCCTGACGGAAATGACCTGGGACGATTGTGATAGCTGGTTTCACAAGCTGAAAACCAAGCTGCAAGATATGGACCTAAGTCACGCCCTAATGGCTCAAGAATCCCAAGATAGAAATCTTCTCGCTTTAGCTTGTAAGTCTTGCTACTGATTTTCCCGGGATCGATTATATCGCTGACTTTTCTTCACTTAGCTTGTCTTGTCGAAATTCAAGGTGTAGCATGGTGGACAGACCCGTTGCTGTTCTATCAAGTTACGTTGCATGCTGTTTCAATTCACCTTGATCAGGGACTCTATCCTCAAGTCGGTCTTTGCTATACTCACCTGGCATCCATATGCTGCAGCCGTTTCAGCATGATTGAATTTGGGGTCCGAATGGGCGAATTTTCTCATGAATTACTTTCAAGATTCACCTACCACTCTGAAGTCTTTTTTCGAGGACATATCAGTCAATGCATGCTAGTCTCACATTTTACGAAGCATTGTCAAAAGCAGCGTTCTACCCTTGAAGCTGCACTAGATACGACTGCAGAAGATAAGGTAAATGCTCACTCCCAAGAGTCATATTTGTTAGAACAATGCTAACGAAGCAATTAGACTTTGACCCTCACTGTTCTTGGGGCAGTGGCCGTCTGTAAGCTGTATTGCTCAGAAGATATGGCCGAAATTGAAGGATTTTGTATCAGTGCGTTGCTCCTATCGCGCTGCTAGAGTTTTTATTGTAAAAATTTATGCTAATTGATACAGGCTACGGCGAAGAAATTTTCGCCTGGTCCAAGGACTTTCGAGGGGGCGTCTTCCTGATGGCCGTTCAGCAAGTCTGCCGAGCTCTTCAGGGAAAGACAAATTATGAATCTCCCAAAGAAGTCTGCAACGACGAAAATCACAATTCTGAAACATACATGGCCGAAATCCAGACGGCATTATCCAAACCGGAAAGAGCACTTCAAAACTACCAAAGTTTTCTGATAATGCCGCTATATTTCTTTGGGCACCTTGCCCAAGCCGTGAGACTTGGCGAAAGCATGCTGCAGAATCTGAATAGTCTTTGGTCAATGCGACAGCACCGGGGCGTCCTGCTCTACCTCGGACTTGCCAAAATAAGCCTCGCCCGATCGCAAGCAAGGTCTTCTGAGGCAAAGCTAGAGACTTTAAGATTTGTACGAGATCTGAGGGACAAGATTCGAGCTTGGGGAGCTGTCAACGAGATAAATTATGCAGTTTGGTCCTCGCTACTGAGCGCTGAGATAAGTGACTTTGAAGGCGATTATGAATCTGCGCTAGGGAACTATGAAAGTTGCTTGGACCATGCGCAGCTACAACACTTCGTCCTCGAGGAAGCATTGGGCCACGAACTCCTAGCCGAGTTTTTCTTGCGAAGGGGGAGCAGGAGGGCGGGGAGAAGCGCCATACGCGATGCAATTGCCACGTATAACAGAATAAGTGCGACTGGCAAGGCTAAGCATCTCACCGAAAAGCATCTCGCTCTTCTCGGCGGTGCAAAGAGCCTGAACAAGGTAGACACGGGTTGCCAAACCGATTTCTCCGAGAACACTACATATCGCCTTGAGCAGAATGAGAGACAGACCACCCACAATCTAGGACAGGAGACCAGTCAAGATCGTACTCGAGCGTGGCTGAACCCGAGCTTTGCGGCCGAAGAAGTCAAGAATGACCAGAGTCTGTCTGGTCTCGGTCTGGATATGATCGATTTGACGAGTATCCTAGAATCGAGTCAAGTCCTATCCTCTGAGCTGCATGTTGATCGTCTGCTGGCCAAAATGACAGACATCATTCTAGAAACAACTGGTGGGCTTTCTGATCTGGTTGCGATTGTGACCGAAGACGGAGGTGCGTATCAAAAGCATTTCATTTATTCATTAAATGGTGTTAATAGATCCTCTACAGATAGCTGGAGTATCAAGGCAGTTGGCGACCCTGAAAATGGTGTCACATCCTATCCAGATGGTCGGCCACTCAATGCAGTCGAAGGTCAATTCTCCAGCCAAGTCATTCTCTATGTCTTGCGTTTCAAGGAACCCGTCTTTGTTCAGAATCTTATGGAGGATGAACGATTTTCAAATGTTAGCGAAGCCTATCTGGCCAAGAACCCTATTGGCAAATCCATCATCGCACTTCCTATCGTCCACACGGACTCACTTCTTGGTATGTCTTGAAATGATTATATTTCCTTCATGTAGTACTAATGATGCATGTAGGTGCACTCTATCTTGAAGGTCAACCAAACTCATTTACGGAACGGAACCTTACCGTACTGCGGCTGCTCGTCAATCAGGTTGGTTTCAGCAATGAACAAATCCCACTTGTTTAATGAAATGGTTTTCTAATAATGCATAGATTGGCATCTCAATTGCCAATGCACTCTTGTTCAAACGCATCGAAAGAGTCAGCGCCAGCAATCTTTCCATGATCGAATCTCAGAAGCGTGCCTTAAGCCAAGCTCGCGAAGCGGAAAAGAAAGCGAAACTGGCTGAAGCAGAGGCAATGCGGAACGTACGACTGAAGGAAGAAGCTGCGAGGGCCAAATCAATGTTCTTAGCCAATGTTTCCCACGAGTTACGCACTCCTCTGAACGGTGTTATTGGCATGTCAGAGCTTCTAAAGGGCACCGCTCTCAATGAAGAGCAAAGTGGCTACGCAGATTCTATTAGGGTGTGCGCTGATACGCTCCTGACTGTAATCAATGACATTCTAGATTTCTCCAAAGTAAGTGGATTGGGATATTTCGGACTTTTTCGCGGTTTGTCTAACCCGTTGCGTAGCTTGAGGCTGGCAAGATGATCCTTCTCAACATTCCTCTCAATCTCCACGAGAGTATCTCCGAAGTAGTCAGAGCGCTGAGTTATACCAATCTGGAGCGAGGGCTGGAAACGCATGAGGAATTTAATCTAGATCGAAAGTTGCTCGTTATGGGTGACCCGGTAAGTTGATATGGCATCAATGTCCCCAGGTGCAAAGTCCACGGAATACTAAACTCAAGGGCTGATTAGGTTCGCTTGCATCAAATTTTCATGAACTTGCTCAGCAATGCCTACAAGTTCACGCCTAGTGGATCTGTTACTGTGCGCGCGACGACAGACTATGAAACTGAAGACTCACTTACGGTTACTTGCTCGGTTTCCGACACGGGAATCGGAATCACCTCAGACCAGCTTTCGAGGCTCTTCCAACCATTTTCGCAAGCGGACAGCAGTACGGCAAGGAGCTATGGAGGGTCTGGACTTGGCTTGGTAAGAAATTGTCTATTCCAAATTTCCCTTTTGCATAGTTGCAACAAACTGCTCTACTGAACAATGATCTGGCTTCACCGCGTGACTTTTACTTCATCACAGCTCGAGACAAGCTGTTCAAGTTTGCTGACTGGTCTGCAGAGCATTTGTAAGGCCATGATTGAGAATGTGCTGAATGGCAAGATATGGCTGGAATCGTCACCTGGTGTTGGCACGACTGTGTATTTCACCTTGACCTTTTCCAAAGCGCCAAAGGATGCATTGGCCAAAGGCGAGCATCTCACAGGAAAGGAAACCGATCCAATGGCCATCTATTCTCCCCCAGCAAGCGCTCCACCCGTTTCCGATCCTTTTGCGCCAACGATTGATTTATCACAAATTCCGCGAGAAAAAATACGCATCTGCATTGCCGAAGATAACCCCTTGAATCAAAAAATTGCCTTGTCTTTTGTTCAGAAGCTCGGATTCAAGTGCGATGCATACAACGACGGCCAACAGGCGCTTGAGGCGCTTCGAGAAAGGGCCGCCAAAGGGGCTGATGAGGCTTATCACTTAGTGCTCATGGACGTTCAGATGCCGGTCCTTGATGGGTATGAAGCTACAAAGCTTATCCGGCAGGACAAGATGCCGCTTGTCAGAGGAGTCTTGTAAGTGAAAAGTGCTGTTCCATTAGATCTTATTTGAATTAGTGTCTCTGACTTCTTCTAGGGTTATCGCGATGACTGCAAGCGCTATCCGAGGAGATCGCGAAAAGTGTCTGGAGGCTGGAATGAACGATTATCTCGCGAAACCGGTTCGCGCACAGGTCCTCAAGACCATGCTAGAACAGTACCTTGGACAAAAGCCAGAAGATATACCTGATCTCCCCAAAGCGGCCAAGAACATGGCCAATTCTGCAGCGTCACAGGTTGAAACGAGCAAGCAGTAAAATGCAAAGGAAGAGAAGGCTCCCAGATCATGATCAAGACGTTGGGAGAGGAGAATCAGCAATTTGACAGCTCCGTCTTTCCTAATCCATGCGAGCAAGGTTGGGTTGGGCGAGCGGGTCCAGGGGAACCTGGATAGGCTTGTTGAACCGGCTATTACCGGTGAAGTTGGGAAATTGCCTAAAAGATCCCGCAAGACCATCATGTGGGCTTGTCTGGGGCCCCAGACCCATACCTGGTGGAGATGTTCTCGTGACAAGCAATGCGGAGTTTCACGAGCATAGTGGGCTGTCTTTGATGTTTGCAATTTTTGCGGGCCGAACATTTCTGCAGTTCATGTCAACCGAGAGCGAGGATTTTGTGGGTCGCCATTTCAAAAATTTATTGGCGCGAAATATATGCATGCGGTGGGTTGCAGATGTTTTTCCGAGAACGGGCGTTTCGGGTGTTTCAAATGGGCGTGGAGATTGCATCCGAGTATTGATTTCGACTGCTTTTCGATTATTGCTCGATTATCTATCGGGACTGATGTTTGCGCGGTCTTTTTGCGCGCAAGCGTGTGGATCTTGTACATCTTCGTCAATGGATCGATGGCCTCGGGTTTGTTCCTGGTCCTCAGCGACCCAATCTGTTTTTCCCCATTTTCTTTTGTCCCTCTTCAACTTTCCCTTACTCCCTTTCACTTCTTGCTGGATTCGGTGAGAGGCGCTATTTCATGTCACTCTGCCGCTTCCATTATTGTACAGTACATAGATATTTGCTCTTGGCGGGATGCAAATTTTTTTCTTTCACACTGACGGGTCGAGCGCAAAGGGAAGGATTTTTCACCATGGGATCGGCAGGGGGAGGCGTTTTACTCGTTTTACCTATCTCGCCCTGGAGACCTTTTTTTCCGTTTTGCACTGACCGACGCACTACAAGCAACGATTATGACACTTTATGGCGGTATATATTTCTGGCGCAGCGTCTTTTACGTACACGTATTACCTTGCTCTTCCTGTTACTGTCTTCCTCTGTTTCATTTTTCTTCTCTCTTTTTTCTTTGCAATGTTCTTCTCATGAGTGATGAAGAGACATGTAAATCTAGACACACGATTTCATTTACAAAGCATCTATTTGATGCATTCTCAACTAAGCATCTTTTTTTTTTTTTTTTTTTTTTTTCCGCAAGCATTCGGCATTTGAAGTGTGTCAGTGAGATATATAGCTGCTTCCTTGTTTTATGCATATTTTCGGAAGTGATAGATTGGTTGAGTGAGGCTTGGAGAAGCGTGGCGTTTTACGAGTGCTAGGACGTGGGGGCCCAAGGGGAGGCACGGTCGTAAGAGACGGCAGAGGCACAACCTACTGGTGCGCCCTGGTTACGCCATGCCGCAGGGAATCCAGATGGGGCAAAAGAACGACGTCAGAATGAAGATGATGAACAGGGGTACGAGCAGCCAAGGAGCATGGGTGTGCATATCCCGCGGTCAGAGATACTTGGCATTTGCGTGTACTCCTCCCTAGTTGAACTTTGTTAGATAAAGTCGGCAGCGGGAAACATTGAGCACCAGAATGCCAAGATCTGCCGTTGGAGTACTCCTAGTCTCGAGAACGGAAAATGTTTCATTGAGCGTACTGTGAGTAGCCAGGAACTGGAATAGTGAGAAATTCGAATCTACCCCAAGACGCGCAAAAGTTCCTCAAACGGGACTGGTTCCGGCATCACGATTGGTGTGGGACATTGTTCCGAATATGTTGCCCAAAACGGCAGTGGCAGCGCCAAAAGTGATGAGAGAAAACGGCATAGTTGACAAAAAGGCCGGTAAAATGACGGCCCGAAACGGTTCGGACGGGCGGAATATCAATCAATCAATTAAAAATGACAAGTAATCAAGGCAAGTTAATTGCGCCTGAGACGGTTATATTATCCGTTTCGAAGATGAATGGGCAACGCTTAATAAGATGTAGTCATTAATGATGATGATGGTGCTGATGATGATAATGGTACGTGAGTCTGGATGATGTGGCTAAGAGGTTTGGAAAAAAGAATAAATTAAGAATTACCAAAGAACGAAAATCTCCGCTGGGCTTTTTCATCAGATTCATTACTTTTTCTTCCTTGTCTCTGGGGTCGAGTTTGTCTCCGGAATGGGCGGCATTATTGTCTAATTGAACTTGACGTCGGTGTGGACACGGAAAAAGTGGGTCGCCACCCGCGTTTTCAACGACTGAGAGAAGCATCCCACTACTCTACAGTACGCCCCGCACTGTACGAGTATTCAGTGGGGAATTTCTCCATTCTACTCCAAACCGCGGGTTCAACATCATTCTTCCGTCTGCACTGCTTCTCTCTTCTCCAGTTGGAGAAGCTACGGAGTACTATCCCAGACAAGGGGCCCGGACCCACCCGAGCCAACTTCTTCCACCACATCTACCCAACCACACACTGAAAATGAACCTCATCCAACTGCGCTCGTGACTTTTTTTCTCCACATGTCGACAAAACTAGGTAATTGCAGTAGTTTGACTTACGACGTAGGCGGTCTGTCCTCTGACAGTTGCGGGACGCTGTTGTTCTAGCACTACTCGCTATGCCTCTGCCAGGATTGCAACCCTACCTATCAGCCTGCGCGGTCAGCAGCGAAGAGGCCACCGAATCCTCCTTCCGGGTTCTCGCGCTCTCCAAACTACGCTGCTTCAGGGAAAAAAAGGAATGGGTGCCCCGTTGGCCCCACATCCCCGGGCTGATCTCCCTCCGGGGAACAATCCCATCTCTTGGTCAGATTGTCAATGACATCAAGGGTCACTCTTGCTCATGGACCATGCCTTTTATAGAGAGTTTTCTTGTCTGTTCCTCTTTTTCCGTTTTCTGCTTGATCGGCATGCTCTTCTATATCTAGTCTCTTCCTCCCCCATCCTTTGCACCCGTTTTTTTACACTTACCATCCCGGCGAAATTTCCGTCAACCAATTCGCCCGCGCGATTGACAAAACGGAGGACCACCGGTGTACATTTCTTACTTCATTGTCATTATCCAGGCTGTGGGGCTGAATTCAATATTGGCTTTGTGTCTATCACCAACTCCAGCTATCCAATCTAGCCCATCATACCAAAGACAAGAAGAACCAACTAGTCAAGTCCACCGGGACTGACTCAGCAACAATGTCTGCGCTGTCGCGTCTTTCAGATGAGATGCATCGGGACATCGATAGCATCAAGTCCAAGGAGGAGCAATCAGATGGAGTAGCGTCTCCAAAGCGAGCCGATGGCAAGATTGAAATGCAGGAAGAGGACTGCTACGAGAAGCTCGGCTTCTGTTTTCCGACATGGAAGAAGTGGTCGATTCTGTCCGCCATCTTCATCGTCCAATCCTCGATGAATTACAATTCCAGCGTCTATCCTAATGCTGTCCCGCAAATTGCCGAACATTTCGGTGTTAGTCTCCAGGCGGCTCGGTGCGGTCAGATGGCTTTCCTCATCGCCTACGCCTTTGGAAGTGAGCTCTGGGCCCCCTGGAGTGAGGAACTCGGACGCTGGCCGATTATGCAGCTTAGTCTGTTCCTCGTCAACATTTGGCAGATCCCTTGCGCCCTCGCACCAAACTTTGGCACCATTATTGTCGGTCGCTTCCTCGGCGGTATCTCCTCTGCCGGTGGCTCCGTGACGTTGGGCATGGTTGCCGACATGTGGGAATCAGACGATCAACAATACGCCGTTGCATTCATCGTCTTGTCCTCTGTCGGTGGATCCGTTCTGGGTCCTATCGTTGGGGGTTTCGTGGAAGCATACCTCGATTGGCGATGGAACTTTTGGATCCAGCTCATCTTTGGTGGCTTCACGCAGATCATCCACTTCTTCGTCCCCGAGACACGCGCGAGCGTCTTGGTTGACCGCGAGGCCAAGAAGCGCCGCAAGGCTGGTGAGAAGAACGTCTACGGTCCTGGAGAGCTCAAAGAGCATCGCTTCTCGATAAAGGAAATTCTCATTGTCTGGTCCCGTCCCTTTGAGATGTTTGTTCGCGAGCCCATTGTGTTGTTTCTGTCGCTTCTCAGTGGCTTCAGCGATGCCTTGATCTTCACCTTTTTGGAGTCATTTGGTCCCGTGTTCAAGCAGTGGGGTTTCGGCACCGTTGCCAATGGTCTGGCTTTTATTTCGATTGCCGTTGGATACATTATCGCCTACATTTCTTTCCTTCCATGGATCCACAAAGACCGGAAAATCCGTCGCCGCGACCCGGATGCTCTCCAGCCCGAGACTCGACTCTGGTGGCTTCTCTTCAGTAAGTCTCCGCCAGCGATGCATCCTTAAATAGATATATTTGAATTTCTTGCTGATTATTTCATTGTAGCCGCCCCTCTTGAGACTATCGGTCTTTTTGGGTTCGCATGGACCAGTTTAGGCCCTCCCCACGTGCACTGGATCGCCCCCATGATTTTCGCCTGTCTGATTGCCATTGCGAATGTATGTTCCTCTAGTCGTTTTGCTCCTCGTCCAAGATTTCGGATCGGTGTGGACTGACCTCTTTTACAGTACGCCATTTACATGGCTACAATTGACTACATGGTGGCCAGTTACGGTCCTTACTCGGCATCTGCCACTGGTGGTAATGCTCTAGCTCGTGATTTCCTTGCCGGTATTGCGGCAATGTACGCGACACCTTGTAAGTTAATATCACCGAAAGAGTTTCCCGGACAAGTCAGGATATCAAGTGACTAACAACAATTGAACAATTAGTCTTTGAAAATGTCGGCCACAAATACCACCTTGAATGGCCTAGCACCATTCTTGCATTTATTGCCCTCTTCGTCGCCATTCCCATCTACATCTTTTACTGGAAAGGCCCTCAAATCCGTGCTCGGTCAAAGTTTGCCCAGACCTTGGCAAGCGATCGCAAAGCGCACGAGGTTGCAACTGCCGAGAAAAGCCGCGAGAAACGGTCTCGCGGTGGCGCCGCTCACCTCGAGAATGTTTAACTTCCTTTTCTCCTTCTCTCGATATAGCCCCTTCGATTCTTCGGCGCCTAGCCTTTCTACAATCTCGATGTCCTGCCACTCGTTTAATTGCGCCAGAAGAGTCCTGACGCAAAATAACGACCGAGAACACTGTATTTCAGGGCTATTTTTAGGCCTTTGGCATAAATTTTTCATTTCGCACGCCATCACTTTATGACGCTTTTACGATATCACATGAGCAACTTCTTCGACTTCCTTGTTGTTTTACGATGCATCATGACTCATGGTACATGTTATACCTCTGCCGTCTTCATGTTCCTCGTCATATTCCTCTTTCTCCCCTTTCCCATGATTGCTCTTGTCTTTTCTTCTCTCCCCCCCCCGGAGTTCTGTGAAGGCTTTTGTCGGGAACTTGAAGACCATTTTCTGTCTTCCGCATGGATACCTTCTTTTTGCTTTTTGTTTGCATTAGATGTGAGGCTCTAGAGAAGGATAGACATTAGATTGGATTAGATGGGGTATACCCATGTTCAGATCTTACGCATTCTATACACTCATAGATGAATGCACGGGCGCATGTCCTATTCAGAATACAAATTGACTTTAATCACAAATGCGTGGTACACATATGGATACTTTTAATGTGAATGCATGGAATGATCCTCAATATATTTCTTGAGTCCAACTTTAATTTATCTGCTCACTCTACCTATTCACCGCCTTTACACCGCCCGCCGCTTTAGGGGGATATGGCTGTTCTCCGATACGGTCTAGTGGTCAGGCCGATTCGGAACTCTGTTGTTCTCAACTGTCGTTTTACCCGTGACGTTTTCATTCCATTCACAGGCAATCCGTTCGAAATTCATGATATTCCATAGCACATTTATGAATTGAAATTGATCGATTCATGGGGCGACAATACAATGCATATATTGCCAATCCATCAACTCCTAATTCCTCTTTTCTTATTTATCGTGATCTGCTGCTTTGTCCCATTGCAATTCCCACCTGACGTGGATTTTCTGAACTAAGGCTATTTCGACTGTGGTTTTCAGGGAGCCTCCTTCGGACACAGAGAGTTCCGTTCTCTTTCGTTGGCCTTGAACCTTGAGTCTTGATGCTTTGAGTCTGAACTGCAACGCCAGACTCTGAAAAGTATCTGACAAATGCCTTTCAACCGGACCGCGGTCCGTAATGTCTTCATCTACAACAGAGCAACAGGCACTTGCCTTGGTGGACTGCGACAGAACGGATCAGTGACCGAAGCCGTTTTCCTCTGGATATTGAACAATATCCTCTTCCTTGTCTCTTCATCATCTTCAGAAGATGCCGAAATTAGTATCCATGCCCAAGCACGAGCTACTCAACGGGTCGTTTCACCGACAAGCAACCCTCTTGAAGCAGGAGAGTATGATATTTATAGCAATGGCAAGTATTACCACTAACTATATTTACTCTTCTTAATTCATTCATGCAGGACCGCAATTTACTTGTAGTGGGTTCTTAAATAGACGGCGTTATTAACACTAGAGTATTATATTAGACCCAAACCCAATCGAACTCACCGATGAGCCTTGGATACAGCGCATTTTCTCACGCAGCGTAAGCTCCGGAGGGCGCGAGGAAGACAGGTTCCGTCTCGGATTACGAGCACGAGATGGACGGTGTGTGCTGAGCGGCGTCGTCAATCTGAATGCGGAAATGGGAGACTGGTCCCTCTTTGAGAGCGCGCATGTTTTCCCGCTCGAGAAGGAAAGTCTGTGGACCAGGGATGACTTTGGGAGATGGATTACAGACGACGACGACGACGACGACGACGACATGGACTTGGACATGGACCACGCATCCAATATCTCGAAAATACATTCCTGCCAAAACGGGTTGCTTCTGCGAAGAGACCTCCATACAATGTTTGACAGCTATCTCATCTCTGTCAATCCAGACGTGAGTCTCAATTTTGGCTCTGCGGAGTATATATCATGAATTTTTTTTCTCAAGCTTAGGTGAACTAATTATTTCCCCCCCCCTCTAAAAGGACGGTTACAAGATCACAGTGTTCAACTACGATATATTAGGTCTTGATGGGCGGATCCTAGATCCCGTCTGTCGTGATCCAGCTGACCCGCACCGTGTATCTGATGAGATATTGAGGTGGCATTTCCGCCAGTCTGTGCTCGCCAATATGCGAGGGGCCGGTGAGCCTATCTTCGAGCACGATTTCCCGCCAGGAACGGATATGATGAGGGACATTCAAGACGAGCCACGGGGCCAGGAGAGGTTTGAAATGGAGATTGCTTTGCGGTTACGTGGAGGAGGACATGGGGACGGGTAAAAAATCCCCAGGGGTCATGAATGTTTGGAAGGATCCGGGATATCTGCTATCGTGAGCTATGATGCTGGACATATACAGTAGGACCAGCGGTCCCCGTATGTCGGGGAGAAAGAGAGAGAGAGAGAGAGAGAGACAAGGAACAGATAAAGGGGGGAAGGAAACACGAACCGAAGCGGCATTACTGATCTAAACTGATGAAGAATTAACGTCGCATGCTGAAAACCTTTTTTTTTTTTTTTCTTTTTTCCAGCCAACTATTGCCTTATAAGACGACCAGATCGTACCTGTCCAAGAAAACTTAAAAGTAAAAGAGTGTACCTGATCGCATAGAGAATCTTGACTACTGTGGCCCCCATACCGCAAGAAAGTAAAACCCAAAAATATAATACGCCATGGTGACGAACATCGTCATCATTTTTTATCCACGAGACGGAAGAAAAAGGTCCAATATGGCACGAGACCAGCGATACAATCGTCATCGAAAAATGCCAGGTGGGACATGATACCCATCATTTAATGCAGTAGATAATAAATATAAATTGTTTCATTCTCCGGCATATATAGCGGAGACTACATAAACTTGCAAGGAAAAGAAAGAGTCAATTGGTGGATGGAAGGGAAGAAAAGGCGTAGAACAGGGAGGAAAAAATACCGCTCCTCCTTTGCCCGATTGATTTAGGGGGGAAAAAAGAAAAAGAAAAAGAAAAGAACATTTTATCGTGACGCCATACTTGATTTAAAAAAAAAAAATAAACACCCCTTCCCTGCATCAATGGACGTTATGACGCTCTCTAAAAGTGGAAAAAATAGATGGTGGAAAGATTCAACAAATAACAAAGAAAGGGGGAAAATCGTATGGGTATCAATTCGTCGAGGCAGGAAAAATATCCCAAACGGTCAAGAAGAAACGAATACGAGCTTCGAGCTTTGGGACCCATGGGCCGAAGGCAAATTCCCTCGCGCAGCAAGGTGTCCAGCATGATGAAATGAACTGAAATAAGATAACATGGACAAATGAAAGGTGATGAAAAAAAAGGGGGGACAAGGCGCAAAAGCGGACAATCGGACAATAGGAAATAACATGAATAACCCGATTAACCCTCTCTGCTTTCGCGTTCGCGTTCATGCTCTCGTTCGTGTTCTCGTTCGTGCTCTCTGTGCATCTCAGATGTTCGAGGATCAGGGGGTGAAGACCGGCGACGTTGCTCGGCCGTCGAATATTGATGGCCTGGGTGGTGATGATGGTGCTGCTGCTGCTGCTGTTGTTGTGATGACAATCGTTGTTCTGAACCAAATCCAGTGGTTATTGCAGAGCTAGGCCCGCCTAGCGCGCTTCCGTGTTCCAGCGTTCGACGTCGAACGGATACGTCGCTTCTTTGGCGGGAATGACCAGGACGACGCGCCGAGGAAGCAGATGGTGTGTTGTGTGAAAATGAAGGAGACGTATACTGAGGTTGCGCACCCGGCGGTGGAGGTGCCTGATGGGACCCTTGCGCTTTGCGCTTCTTTGGCGAATTGCTATATTCTACGCCTGCAAAGGAAAAACAAATATCAAAAGATATTAGAAATTGAACAAAAAAACACGGCCGTCAATGGAAACCTTTTCAGTCTACTAACCAGAAGGAGTTGGAGATTGGCCTCCAGCGGGTCCAGCCCCTTGACTACTTGGCGGAACCCAATGATGAAAGTAAATGGATGGAGAAGATTGTTGCTGCGGCTGCTGCGGCTGCTCCCGCTGTGCAATACCAGGGTGTGCAGATTGAGGAGTCTGTTGCTGTTGCTGTTGCATTTGCTGGCCGGTAGCACCGAATTGAACTCCTGGCGGAGCTTGTATTTGCATTTCACTGGTATTGAGCCGCGGTAATGTTGACTGAGCTGGCGGTCGTGGTGCTGGAGGTAGAGTCAAGGGAGCCTGAATGGGCGTTTGCGGCCCACGCGGGCGTGCTGCTGGAGACATGGCGCTCGGAAGAGAATAACCAGATGTGAAACTCGCCGATTGTTGAGGTAGAGGTGGCTGCTGGGATGTCAGTATCGGCGGTTGTTGTACAGATCCCATTACCGGCGGTGGGACCGCAGCATAAGGGTTTGGCGGTGGTTGTCGGCTGTCCCGTCTCAAGTCGGGCGGTGAAGATGCTGGTGGCGGAAGAGGTTGCTGCTGTGTAGCTTGGGCAATCTGCGGAGGTGCAGGAAGCTGAAGCGGAACCTGCTGCGATACCTGTGGTGCTATTTGCTGATGTTGATGCTGGTGCTGCTGTTGAAGATGAAGCTGACCCATGAAATGCTGAGCCCATTCCAGGCTTGTGTTTGGAAGGTTTCCGCCCCCCATTCCAGCAAATACCATGGGTACCATGTACGGCGGTACGCCGCCTTGGAGAGATTCTCGAAGCATGTTTTGTTCAATCTTTCGCTGCTCAAGCTTCAAACTTTCTTGCCTCGTCCTCTCCTCCTCCTGTTTTCGTTTGTCCTCTTCGGCTTTTGCATTAAGCCAATTTCGCATCGCATCCTCAGCGCCTTGCCATTGGGCCGGCGGAGACGGCAGTTGACCTAGGGGTGGACCCAGAGTTTGAGCAATTGCAACAGGTGGAGGGGGAGGAGCAACAGTATGAGCTGGTGGCGGTGGTTGTTGTTGCTGTTGTGATGGGGGTGGTGGCGGGGGAGGAGGAGGAGGAGGAGGAGGCGGTGGTGGAGGCCCTCGGTCTGTACTGGAGAGCGCCATCGCCGCCGGCGGCGGGAGCCCTCGATGAGGCGTGCTCATCGTCCGTGAAGCTCTCGAAGACGGTAGAGGCAAATAAGCACCAGTCACCGGAGGAGGAAAATGGGGAGCGGAATTCGGTGGCAGCGGAGAAGCGTCATAGAAACGGTTCAAATTGTCGGGAGCTGGAGTTTTGAGTGTGAGCAACATGAGTGCGTAGAAGCTTGAATTGAAGCGCAAAAAAAATAATGATAAAATAAAATTTGGGATACGATTTTCAAAAGCAGCAATAATGATAGCTGTATGAGGAAGAACACTAAGGGAATAAACAATAGGACAGCATGAGCAGAGAACCTTTTTGCAGATGAGTAAGGATTAAGAAACAAGCAAAGCAGCTGGGAACTCAAGCTCCCTTATGCGCATGCGCACGTCCTTTCTTGGGGCCTTGAGGGGCGAGACTGCTTCCCACCGAGACCGATGATACTAAAGACCGGGGCCCCGTCGGAGGAAATCGAGGGCCCCTCGCTACCGTTGAAACCACCAGGAGCTGATTCGTCCGATGGCGTAGGGCTACTCTGATGGAGGGTGTGAACGAGGAGGCGTCAGAGAATGCCTTTTTGCTTCTGTCGCGTGGAGCGGGATCAGATTTGGTGCGGACGATCGTCCCACGGACGGAGGCACAATGGCAAAGATCAACGGTCGACAAAGAGAGTAGGAGATTGACAGTGCATGAGACGGGGGCGGACGGTACTTTTGCACTGTTCATGTAGGGTTTGCAAGCACCTCCCCTCGGAGCAAAACGTGAGCTTGAGCACTACCCTAGCACGGCTTGCAAGCCAGACGGGAAAAACCAAGACTTGTCAAAATTACAAAAATGGAACCAATTGGCGCTGAGACGTAGTGGAGGTGCCATGGCAAAGCGGTGGACGTGGGGCTTGCAATCGGGGTTGTTAAGTGTTGCCTGGCAAGACCCAAATACGGCCAGCGACATCAAAAAAACACTCAAAAAGTCAATAATAATAGCCATGGTAGCAGCAAAAGCAGCAAGCAGGACGTAGTAAAGACACCAGCAGGGGGAAGGGGGGTTCCTGTTTCGTTTACCCTTGAAGCCTGGCTAATTTGTACGTAGAATCTTTCCATGGCGCTCACACCCTTTCCCCAGTAGGCGTGGTTCGTTGGGCGTGCATGGAAAAACTAGGACAGAGTAATAGAGATGGTGGAAAAATTGGTGAGAACGTGGCTTTCTCAGAGAAGAAACGCCATACCGGGGGGCCACACGACGTGCCAGGCCTTGTCAAGCCAAGGTGGCCTAGAATGGACCCTTTTTGGATCAATTCCCAAGAGCCCTACCTCGCCATGCTGCGCATGGTCCGGCAAACGAAGAGCAACGACGGTCGACAGCCCGTCGGCGAGTAGTGTGCACTCTGAACAGAAGCTTGGACCCGCAAACTAACCGTGACGAGACAGCTTGCCCCCCGTAAGACTTCCTACTAAAAGATGCGTTCCAGACATTGGCCCCAAAAGAGGTGTGGGCAAATAACAATCCAGCAAGAGATGCATGACACCGACAGGAACGTTGTGTCGTTGCAAGTCGGTACGATTGGCGTCACGGGCGTTTCCCAGAGCGCGCCGATCTTGGACGGATGCGGCTGTCCGACTCGTCCAGTCAACGGTAGCGAGGCTTCGATGCTGGTTGCCCTTTTTCCACCATCACTGTCCTGCAACAACAGCCTCACTGAGCACTGCTCGAGGGGCGGATTAATAGTTTAGTGCTCAGATGGCTAAAACCTTAGGACTGGGATGCGCTTGCATCCAAGGAAACGAAAAGGACATGCTATCAATTCAGCCGATGCCTTCTTCAGACAGATAAATCTCCACAAGCAGTAGCAGGAGCCGATAGCGTCTGCATTGGGAGGTCAAGGTGTGACAATCGCCAAGGATACGTTAAATGGGTGTGCACTTTTCCGGGTTTATGGCTCCATTCAGCAATCACGGTTGTTTTGTTTTTCGTGGCCCCGGGGCGGGGGGTGGTTTGAGCCAAGATGGAGCCAACGTCAGAGCAGCTGTAGAGAAGCATCCTTCAATATAGAAGTAGAATCATCAATTGTCCCAGAGGGAAAGGTCGTCGTTTGGTCCTCCCGCTGTGGCTTGCTAGCTACGCCGCAAGGGTCGCGTTCTGAGCAACTAACCTCGATTAAGCATGGACGAGTCCGCCACCAGGTGCCCTTTTCGGTGACATATTAGTCGTTGTTTTAGTGACCCAAGCCCACTGCCCAATATAACGGAGAGCAAATAGTTCAGATGCTAGTCATTTCCACGTAGATTCGGAATCTGGACCGTCGCAGACTTGTCAGATCCATGACCAACTAACCTCTAACGGGGCGGATGAAACCGAGAGTGTCATCACCCATTGTCCCGAGCATGGCATTTGGGCGGAAGCCTCGTTCACCTTAAATCTTAAAATCCATCGGTAGAAGCGTCCTGAGAAATTTCCTTTCCCCTCCCGATCGTAGTCGTCTGAATGTCACTCACAGGCTGATTGGCCCGTCTCAATTCCTTTCTCTTGGTCACTCTCCGGCCATGCCGAATGTTTTCATCCGGGGCAAATGCACATCTACACCGCATATCACACCGAACAAATGTCCCTGTCGCAAAGCAAAAGTATGGTGCGGAAGGCGGTCTTTGGTTCCGCAAATGGTAGACAGTCGGCAGCACAAATGTGACGTCGGGGCATTCCTTGGTCCCGACGGAAAGAGAGTGGCTACGTAGACCTGAGGACGACGTAATCAGCCAATGAAGCCGAAGTCCCTGCGGGGCGTTGCGCAAGCTCAAGAGTGCGTAATTTTTTGGCGTAGCAAAGACCAGCGGATCAGCATGAGACTGGCGACATATCCAAGAAGCTGAGAAGAGGGAGAGAGAGAGAAAAAAAATTGGATCAATGAGCTGATTCAGAGGATTATACGGAGTAGTTCTGATCGCAATTGCTGCCCTTTGATCCACAATAGCCCATGTTGAACGCGTCGATCAACAGCATCCATCTGCTAATGAGCAAGGAACATTGAGGCGCACTGTCACTGTATACTGGCATTATTGCCCACCCCAGTCGCCAGATTGGCCCCGACGTCTCGCCTCCGTCCAGCCACTGACGATCCAAGGATACGCCCCGGCAGGACGGACGCTAAGTCATTCATCAACAGAGAACAGAGGAGTATGCGTGAGCATGTAGAACATATGTGGAACCGGTCTTGCTGCAAGACGGATAGAAGTTTCGGCGCATCTTTTGACAATATAGTGAATCTCTCTGGTTTCGCCGCCATAAATTGTCCGCTCCACTTTTGATTTGGATTAGTTGGCGATGATCTTGTTTGGTGGCAACGGCAGTAGTATCCGAGGCTTGCCGTGTCTTCACCGTCGCCCCGTTTGGGCGCGTGAAGCTGTCCTACGTGAGGATGCGATGTTAGAGCCACGCCCGAAAGAAGCAACTTAAGATGTGCGCCTAAGTGGTCGGCTCGAATCCACACCCAGCCGCATGTTTGATGTGAGGGACAGTCAAAAAATCAGACCACTTGCCGACGATCATAACTCTTTATGTCATATGGTGTTGCATTCATCCAAAAAAGCTTCGTTTCAAGTAGATGTTCGATTCCATTTCCGATTGCTCTGGTATGCTTCTTGTCGATAACTTTGAATACTCGCTCCTTCACGACTTCCTTATCCGAGGGCCATTTTTGATTGCAGATGCCGATCAGGACCCGCCAGGTTGTCATAATTGGTGGTTGTCCCTCCACAGTGAAATACAGTCCGGTCAAAGCCGGAAACGACTGAAAAGATTCAGATCCTTCAACCATTTCCTTTTTTTTTCCACTTGATATCCCTTCCCTTGCCAGGTGCGATTGCACTATTGTGTGTGTGGCTGTCTGCAGTAATATTATATATGCCTAAATTGAGTGCATGTTCGTAAAAGAGAGATGCTTCATCCTTGTTCAGTTACCCAATTCATCCACGACAACCAAGCATGGCGTCGCTTGGATCCGAATTTATTCTTTGCCCAAGTAACCATTTGTGGATGATTATGGCGGAACCTACCAAGTAGAGCGCCTTTTTGTCCTGAGGCGGGGGTAATGCGTCAATGTAGCCATGCACGCCAGAACGCCCAAAAGGCTGGCAGCAGCGCCAGATATGGTATAATTGCCTGTTCAGCTCTGTTTCCCCCACCACAATGGAAGTATCCTTCAGCTGTGGCCGCAGAGTCTTCTTTTCACCAGATTGGCTGCCATCCTTTGGACTTTCTTACCGTTGCTGTCTGAGTCTCGGTGCAATTGCCACAGACCCGGCTCGTTATCGGCGCAAGGATAGAATAAAAGAATGACGCCTGTCTTCCTATTCCACCCAGTCGTTCCTTTTTTACTCCGAAGCGCCACGCAATTATAAACGAGAGAAATCTTTCTTTGATGATGACAGTGAGGGTTGATTCGGAAAGAGGGCCGAAACGATGATGTCAGCTTCTGAAGCTGTAACTTATGGTGCTGTCCGAATCGAGCAGGTACGAAGAGGGTGGCTATCGACCAACTGTCTGCCGACTCATCCTCGCTCTCACGGAGTCCCTTTCACGAACTTCATCATTTTTTTTTTTTTTTTTTTTTTTCAATTAAGAGGGAGTTGAGGCTTCCTGCCTTTCTTCCTCCAATCGCTCCTACCGAGGGCATTGTCGATCTCCACCTAGAGTGGAAAAAGTCCGATCCAAACGACCGCGGTCGACGCATCTCCATGTCACCCATGCCCCGCGGCCGATTCATCATCATCAGCTGAGGGAGCGAGAGAGAAACATCTCCCCTCAGAATGGTCATGAGGCGCAGGGTCCAGAAGCTTTGCGACGCGTCAAAAGGCCATGATTGATCCAGTAGAGGGCTCGGATCGCTCGCTGTGAATTATTTCTCTTCTTTCAGCCTCTCCTCTGCCTCTTCCTACTGGACCACTCCTTTGCTGTCGTAGATTGGATGATCGACATACGCCTCCCCACGCGACACTTTTTTTTCTTTCACAACTGCCACTGCATTCCCTGTAGTCGCGTGCTGACGCAGACGGCCGGGATAGATTGATCGACACTTGTCCCATGTGTCCTGCAGATCTTTTGATCCCTTCCCCTCCCACGTTTTCGCTTATAGTCTTATGACATTTTGAAGTTGCAACTGGCCGCACGCTGGACGTGGTAGAGCTATTTTCTTTCATTCGTTTAGGCAGTTACACGCCTCTATTCTGTAGAATTTCCGTGGAATTCGACACTCCTTCAGAACCATTGTATATTACATTAGACATTAAAATCTCATGATAGACCCGATATGTATCATCTACATGCCCTAACTCCAACTCCCGAGGTATCAAACAAACCATCTCTTCTAAGTTTCTTTGTGACGAGGACGCCTCAAAAAGTGGGTATACGCCGCAACAATGAATAACAAAAGGTAAATGATTGAAAAACAAGGAGTGTGCAAGCGAAAGATACCAAGTAGTGATGTCAGTTCGAAAACGAGGAATATGAACTTTCCATCTCGAAAATATCCAAGGAGAGAAAAAAGGATGACGAACTGACAGAAGAAGGAACTGACGTTTAATGGTAGTCAATGTATTTTTCTGGCTTCTGTTCGTCAGCCAACCGGCTGACTTGGAGGTACAACTGCAATACCTCAGCCGCGCGAAATGTTTTCGTAGTTTGGTGGCGCTTTTCGGTTATGCCGCCCGTAAACAAAAAAGCCACTGATCAAAGATCCTTCCATTCTCGCTCTGATTACCGATGTTGATCGCCACGTGCGAAGCTTCCTTTTCCCATCAACCGGGCCATGTTGATGACGTCGTCATCGTCGTGGTCGACCCTTTCACGGTTTCCTTCGCTCTCTATGCTTCTTCCATTCCGCCTTTGCCACTTTCATGAGCAGTTCCTCGTCCTTGATTGGGATCCACGAGGTCAATACTTTCATGACATTCTCAAAATCCGAATCTAGAAGAATATCGCGTGTGCCGGCGATCAGGGCGGCTGAAGTCGCATGTAGAACATCTAGACCGCCTGCAACGGAGCCCGACGAAGGGTTCTGTCGAGGATCCCCCAGTAACATAAACACGTCCCACACCCTCAGTTGCGCCGGGAATGGTATTGAGTAATTGAAAAGGGTGAGGTACCAGCGCGTCCCGTATGCTGTTGATCCGATGCCTAGTTCGTCCTGGAAAAGAATATATTAGTCGTGGTTCGGAAACGCGGGCGCCGAGCTCGCGGGCACTTTAGCTCCTCCATCCTCTCATCTTGCAAAGATCTATGAGCAAGATAGTTCTGGAACTTTGGGACCCCGGCATGGTACCCTTTGCAGAATTGTTCGAGACCTAGACATACCAGCTTTTGCGAAACAAGACTACCAGAAAGCCAAACTTTTTCGAACTCCGCCAATGCCAGCATCAGCCCGTCAAAGCCTGGCCGGTAGAGGGTCTCGAGCCCACGGAGTCGCCACATCCGGACGAGCATCACAAAAGCCATGTCTTCGTCGTAAAAGCAAAGAAGCGTAGCAGCCAGGGAAGCCATTCCCTGGACGTAGCCAATTTCCGGGTAGTAGAGTGAAAGCGCATGCAATGTCCGAAAGAGAAGTCGTTGCCTGCCGTTTTGTTCGTCAATCAACCTGGACGGAATTATAGTGTCGTAGGAATCCTTACCCTCCTCGATAGCGCCTTCTAAACATAATATGACTACTGACAGTGCGCGGAACGTCGATATCAATTTGCACATCATCCGCAGAACTTTGAGCAAGAAGTCTCTAAAGAAGGCATAAGTTATGAGCGGTGTCATTTCAGGGAATAGCACCCAATGTCCTCTTGCTAAATGCGACGCAGAGGCAGAACAGTATCCAAGATCCAGGTTACTTACCTGGTAGTCTGCTATGATATCCTCGTCAGGTTCCCATTTACCCATTTTCTTCGCACTGCTTGTAAGGAAAGCATGCCAAGCCGTTGCTCGCCAGCGGTCAGGAATGCCTTTCCATGTGCGGGATATGAGCTAGGAAAAAAGATGATCAGCAATGACCGTCCAGGAGATTCGTTGTGCAATTTGCTGCCCAGAACAACAGTCTTACTTTTGGATCGTTTGTGTCGAATTCAAAAACGGTTTTGCCACCTGTTGGAGAACCCTTCACCACATGAGCCATCTTCCGCCATTTCTCTTCCCTTCGGCGCTCCCTTTTTTTCATTTCTGGTGATATGTCTCCTGCACGATCAAAATCAGGCAATTGCGCTAACTCGGGAGGCAAGGTGAGCATATCACTAGCTTCATCAAGCCATCGCCGGTTTCGATTGTGCGGCAGCCGATTTGCGGCATATCGAAGAGAATGACGAGAGATACCGAGTGAGAGGTAAGATCGATATGACATCAAGGACGTTGCGGATCTAGTCGAGCGATCCAAACTCTTTCTCCCGTTAAACGACAGTGTATGAGGAGAGAGTGTTTGAGCGGCGCTCGGTTGAGACAGTTTTCGGCGTAGCGTTCGCTTTCTCCGGGGAGCCTCAGAGGCTATTTGAAGGGATGTTGAGACACGATGCGGTCGAGGATGTTCCGGCGGACAAGAGCGCGCTTCTGATTTGGCGGAGAAATCGGTTGCTGCCTTCTTGGGCAGAATAAATCCATACCGGTCCACATCTTCTCCGTGTACGTTTTCCCAGTCTTCAATGCCGCCGGCTAGTTCGCAAGGCTCTCGCTGTATCATACTTTCGCGCTTCCCAGTTTGAGACGTAGAATTGATTGAGACAGGACGCACTGATCCCGATCCACTCGCTCCATCTGCTGCAGAGCCGTTTGCCAATCGATCTTTTGAAGAAAGCATTGTGTTACGAGAATCTTCTTCTCCAAGACAGGACATTCTTTCGATTGTCCAGTCGACACCGGCTTCCCCGCCATGGTCATACATAGATCGAACCTTTTGCGAAAGCATTTCTTCATCTGCTGAGAGAACTCGCCCTTGCGGTAGGTTTGAGCGCCCTGCTCTCGCCCTCTCTCGCCTAGCTTGGCTTTCTCTGTCCATAGCAGCGTTGGCGGTCCTTGGTCTCGCCCCTTTGATCAGAATACTCCCACGTTTCGAAAATTCGAGCCGGCCTGGAGTAGATAGGTCCTCGAGGCTACCGTCCGGGATATTCGTCGTAATCTTTTCAAAGACATTACGGAGCCCTGGCTGGGACTCATCGGCATCAGTTGCAGACTCGTATGTCTCCTGCGAGTATGTCCTGGATTTCGGTCGCGTCGTTGAACGGTCGGGACTAGGTGGGCTATCATCGTAAATTGGACTACTTGGGTCCTTTGTCAGATGCGATACTGCATCCTCGTAGTCGGTGGCGGCGCTGAACCTCCTCGAAGAGTTTGACGGGGCAAGGCCAGAGTCGCGTCGAGGATCATGGGGAGGTTCGGGTCGGGTTATTGAATAGACGGACCGCAATGCGGGCGAAGTTTTCGGCCTCCTAAGTTCGCTCATTGAATCATGCAATGGAGCTTCTCCAGCTGCAGTCTCTTCATAGCGGATCGCTTTTAAAAATTTCGAGTCATCGCCACGAGGTCCAAAGGACACCCTCCTCGGTCCCAGAGGCTTCGACATGCTTCAAAACTCGCTGGCCGTTTGACCCTCTCCAACGCAAGATTCTGTCGCAAGAGGAGCATTCGTTATGTGCGGACATGCGGCCGAGAGCAGAATTTCAGGGGTTTTCATGCGCGAAGAGAGAACGGGCCAGGTCCAGGAGGCCAAACAATTAAGAAGTGATCGTACTTTTCGGGGGGTTTGAGTTTTTTCTTGTCAAACTCTCCTAAGGACTCCTTATCAGGATATGCAGCTTCTCAATCGTCACCTCCTTGGCGCCACTCTGAATTGAGCTGTCCCCGTGGTCGGTTCAGTAATGATAATCAAGGCCAGTGGGCAACGACTTGACTACGGAGTAGTCGACACATGTGGAGTTTTGGAAGGGGGTTGGACCGTGTTCGGCCATCGCATTAGGAAAGTAAGGGAACCTGGTGCAATCGCCTTACTTTTTAGCTGGAAGCAAGGGTATCTGACACAGAAAGGGTAAGGTGGCTGGAGTTTGACAGGGGAGATTCCGCTTAAACGACCCTCTCTAGCTGGGGTTTTTATCTCCACAAACGCTCACTTTGGGGTAAGAGCTTTTAGATTACAATATGTATCGACATGTATCAAATGATACCACTCGGACATTTCTATATATTGAACTGCTTTGAAATGTGACCGATAAAAGATTTCTTCATTTCACTACTGCAATGTCGAGTTGTGATGGCGGAAGAAACATCCCCTATGTTCCTGCTTTACCAAGTACTCCCGCGATAGTCAAGTCGACTAAGCGTCGCATAAGTGATGATCGCAATTATAAGACATCTTAGCGATCGAGCTGCCAATTTCCTTTTCTGGAACCTTTAAGACAGACCAAATTTCTGCTTCTTTATCCGCGGAATAATTCCTGCCAGCACAAGTACTGCGGCCACTAAAACTGCCCAAAGCTGAATATGGAGAACGTTTTTGTTGTAATCCGTTTGAGTAGCGGCGGCAATCGTAGCAAGGCTTAGGATGAGCACGATATAGCCCGATGCCCGGTGATATTTCCAAATCTTCTTAGCCTTGACTTCTCCGCCATAAAGAGCTGGTGTATAATACTGTGTAACACCAACAAATGACTGAATAAAAAAGAAAATATAGGTGATAAGACCGAGGATCGCATGGGGAGATTCAAAATGAATCCCGTTGTGAGCAAATTTGTTCACCTCTATAACAATCAAGCCTGCCACAAGAGCATCGAGGCCTAATTGATTGAAGATGGCATGAACGGTGGTACCCTGCCGTTTTTGCGGCTGCGAATGCGTAGGCTGCAGAATTAGCACCCCTTGAGTGACTAGTAAAATGCCGGCCTGTGGCGTGAAGATTGTTAGCCATAAACGTGAAATGAGAGCAATTGAGTAAAAGGACTGGTGTCACCGACTGAATTGAGCAACTGTACGAGATTCTTGTTAGCAAAGGCTTCATTTTCAAAACCACAAAGTTGTAAGAGAAACTCACTGGATGAGCGGAAAACAAGATGAGCTTAGAAAGGAATATATTTGCCCAAACGATTGCGACAAGCTTGTGGACAAGTATTAGTAAAATATAAATTTCTTTGAACAGATATCTGAACACTAACAATCCAAATTCCCGCTTGCGCCAGGACAGCAGTTCCTATGTAGAAGTCAGCAAACTGAAACTCATAAACATTATATTTGCCACGGAATTAAAAATACAAAAGGTATCGACAAAATTAAAAGCAAAGTGTTCATACCAAGAATTAAGTTATACTGAAGTCCCTTTCCCTCTTTCTGTGAAGCGTCACCAGCTCTGCCTAGCAGCGGCTCGTCCTCTCCGTCCGCCCTAACAACGGAGACGGGGTCGTCACGCGAAGCTTCTGGAGCTGTAGCCATATTGATCTTCCTGTACCGTGGTGTAGAAACAAAAGAATCAACGTGTTGAGTTGAATCCCTTTTACCAGCAGCCATCGACTTCCTCAGAAGCGGGGTTCCTCAGCTCGTCTTATCAAGGCGATCTGACGAGCTCAATTCCCAGGGTAGGCTGGCAGTGTCACCATGGGTTAATGATGCAATCCGTACGATAGCTACAAATACGTCGCTAATGATTGGCTCGTTCTCCGGGAAAACATACGGCAGCCGAAGAATGCAAGGCGCGTACAAAAAAGGCATAATCCAAGTCTGTTATTACTCTCTTTGATTGACACTCGGTGGACTGGATAAATGCTACCGGATCTCTCACGTCCCGTGCCGAGCATGACTAGTTGACTGGTTAACTAGATGCAGCGATTGTTGCTGACTTAATGGCTTGGTCAGATTTCTTGACTCTTTCTTCATCCTAATGGCGCAGAAATTTTAAGCATATGTATTGGCTAAAGTTTTGGTAGATTAAGATTATTATTTATTTTTTTGCTTCATACAGAAATATATATGGAATATTTTTGTCTAGTGACATTCTCTGAAGGTTTTTACGTAGGTATATACAAGCAAAATGACTATTTTAAATCTTTCGTCGCCCAAACACCCGGATGCGCTTGACACCACCATCAGGAATGATGGTCATCTTGACATGCGTGTAGGTCCGACCCTCGACACTCTTCAATGCCGAGCGGCCATACTCATGCTCCACGTCGGGGCTGCTCTTCTGCGGTGCCAGAATCTCAACCCATCCCGCATCCGTCGCGGCTGGTACACCCGCGGTATTCAAGGCCTCCACCTTGACCTGCTGTGGGAAATTTCCACGGAAATGGGCAGTATCGATGACGACCTTGTCGATCTCGCCCTCTGCTCCAAGTTTGACAATGACCCAGTCGACGTGTCCTGGTGCCCGACTTCGCTTGGTCTCCCAACCGTCACCCATGTCCACGCCTCGGCCTGGCAAAAGCAGATTCTCTCTCCTGCCGAAATGCTGATCAGAGCATGAGACAGCCACGCCTCCGTTCACAGTAGCAGCAAGGTCAATCACTTCATGGCCACCTTCTGGGAAGACTGGGAGAGCAACGCCGTACAACCTAAAGCGGGCAATTCCACCATCGGGAATCATGAGCAACCGGACATGTGTATACGCCTTCTTGGTCAACTCGGGCAACAGCCATGCAAACTGCTGACTGGGACCGCACTCTTGCTTATCAAGAATCGTTTCCCACCCTGTAAAACTCTCCTTCGACACCTCCTCATCCGAATCACTAAAACAGCCTTGAACGGCAATTTCTGGTGCGTGGTTGCCGTTGAAGAACGCCGTATCAATTTCCACACCCTGAACCTTCCCACTTGCCACACCAAGTCGAATGACTACCCAGTCGAAATCCGGGTTATGCCGACGAGTCTCCCATCCATCGTACCAAGCGCCGGCATGCGTGAAGACACCAGGTTTCCGAACTGGCGGGGCAGGATTGATCAGATTCTCTGCGGCCGCGAACCACTCATCTGAGAATGACAATATCCTTGATCCAAGAGGCTTGGAAATAAGATCTATATAGTAATTGTTTGTTAGACTAAGCCAAAGGATAACAGGCATAATTTACTGAGAGCTCGTCTCATACCTATACATGTAGAGGAGAACGTGTTTGAAATGTCCTCCGCAGCAATAGAGACCACGCCTGAGCCCGCTTTCGAGGCCATTTTATTTCTCAAAGCCTGGGAAAATAAATGTATAGTTTAAAAGAATTGAACACAGAATTTGATGGCTGCAAAGTGTAGAGAGAGCACGCGAGCGGAATATGACTGCCAATATATTATACCTGCCATTGAGAAGCACGCGGAATCTACCGATTCCTTTATCGGACCCCTCCACGGTGGGGTTCGGTGCCCCGCCCGCCAGATGCAAATCTCCCATAGGGTCGATAAGATCATCCTTTCCCCGCTATGAAATTTCAGGTATAGTAGCTAGATAAGATACTCCAATTACTCGATCAAATTTCACCATTGGCCGACAAAAGACCGTGTCAACAATGGCTAGAGATAAAATCAAAACTTGAATTAGGTATAGACGCTCACTTTGATGCCGAAATGTCGTGATCTTGTGTAATTGTCAATTTTTCTTCCAACCCGTACTTACTCGAAGTCTTTTGGCATCTCAACCTTTGGTTCACGGCGCTGCTTCCTTGCTCTCAATGCTGTACACCTAATATATCGCAAAAACCTAATGACGGGGGACATCCAGATAAAACTCCATTCAAACAGCGTTACTGGTCCGGGGACGTTCTAGAATAGAAGATCGGCGTTGCAATCTAACTGGCTTCTGTGCGCTTGGTTTGGTATCATTGTTTCAATTGTGTCTCTTTTCTACTCCACTATCACTGTGGCTGATTTTACTCATATTGATAGCAAGTTTTTGAATTTAATCAGTTCTCTTTCCTTCCCTGCTGTATGTTCAATATATAAATTATAAGGCCATTAAGACCAGAAAGATGCGGCGCAGTGACCCAGTCCATAAATACAGCAAAATTCACAACTCCATTGCGATGCAATTGTGCGGCTCGTTAAGATATCGTTAAATTATTTCACCCCTCCTCATCGCCATCCTCCCATTGTGTGCTATCGTATGCAATCTCCTTCTTCGTGCCATTGGTGTCAAACTTGGCAAGAAACTCCGGAGGTACTGTTGGGATATACTTGCGTTCTCTTTCGCGATTCACGCCTCCAAAACCGGCTCCATAGCTGACGAGCATGTCTGTGGAAGTTGGCAAGATAAAGGGTAGCATGAGAGATGGATCTTGGAGGAGGTTTTCCGGTGGCTCTTCTTCATCCGAGGGCGCATCCATCGTAGGTGTCGAACCGCTTGCACTAGGGCCCGTTGTTTCCTTCGTGGCTACATTGCCTTCCGCGGGCGTGGATGTTGATGGATCATCAGTCGATTTACGCCCAGAGGCTCTCTGTGGTGAAATAGGTATTTTTGGAGATGAAGCTGCTTTTCGTCGACTTTCTCGACGTTCTGCAAATTCCTTTTCGAGGTTGATCAGGTACTTCATGGCGCTTTTCGGCAATCCTCTCTCACCGACTTCCGGTCGATAATGACGAACAGCATGTACAAGTTGTTGTGGGGTCAGTCGAGTGAGCTGTTGAATAGTATCAACTAAAGATTCGAAGTCTTCGCCGAGTGAAGAGAAGCATTGCAACCATTGGAGCAGTTGTATGGTTGGGGCAAGATGTCGTCTGGCCGCGTCAACAGTGCTCTCGCCCGAAGTGTTCATAGAACCACTCTCAAAATGCTCGGGCTCTCGGTTGTTTGCTCTTGCCCAGTCCTCCAAGATTGAAACATTCATTCGTATTTGCATCGCTTTTGTTCGCGCCAGGTATTTCCGGTTCGACATGACGCGATTGAACAATTCTGCGCCAAGCCAGTAGAGAAGTTGCGCTAAAATTTGGACTGTGATGACCGAGTGAATATCGTATAGGTCTAGTACAAAAAGAGTGGACGATAATAGCGACGTGATATTTCTAGGCGCAATCTGCGCACGTCTCCTCGGGGAAGGGGGCCTGAATCGTTTCTCAATCGGCTCCGGTTCCTTAGCTTTGCTCTTTGATTTGAAGAGCTTCCATTCATTTTGAAATTGCACGTCTTCAAAACCCGGAATTATTTCGTGGTCAAGCATTGCAGCATCTAACAATTTGTCCATTCGTCGTTCCGCATCCCGGATGATCAAGACGAAAATCTCATTGATGAGCTCAGCTAGCTGAAGCTGGAAAGAAGTCGTGGCCTCCATCAATCCGGGGTCTTTCTTGAGATAGTGCATAAGAAGCGTCGCGTTTGAAATCCAAAATGCCAAGATAGTCATATCCCATTGATGGCGTTCGACAACATCATTTATTTTGTCCATGGCCGTAACAAGGAGCATTTGGAGTAATTCCGGGCTAGCGTGATAATGAGCGTATCTTGAGCTCAGAAATAAAATGTTTGCAGGAACGGGTTTTTGCGACGGGGACCGTTGCGGCGTCATGTTGGTAATGATTATATCGAGGATCCGTCCTAGTTCATTTTCTTGAAAGACAAACATTTGATCGTGGAGGCATCTGTCCCAGACAAACTCCTGTCCCTCCTCTTCGAGTTCTTCAGGAGACTAAAGTCACATTAACATTCATACTGTATAAGCTCTTGGAGTCAAACATACTTCCGGCTGCTCGTCAAGCCCCAAGCTTGACAGGTCAACTTCCAAATTGATTGCGCTTTCCATCATCATTCGTCTCTTCATTTCATTCTCGGCCATTTCTTCCTCAAATTTGTCCTGAGTCAGGCCTCCATCGTAAAAGTCGTCTCCCACCCCCACGTTCCCTATTTTGTAACCACTTTCGTGTAGATAATCCGAAATTTCGGTATTAGACGCTAAGAAATCGAAAGCTGTTCTGCCAGAGGAAGATCGAACATCAGGTGAGGCACCGTGGTCCAAAAGAGTCTTTGCAATGTTCTTATGTCTGTTCGTCATGGCCCACATTAACGGACTCCATTGGTTTCGATCTTGTGTGTCGAGATCAGCACCGGCATCAATGAGAGCCGAGACAACATCATGATGACCCTATACCAGATATAAGCAGTTGGATATTGGAGATCAAAGGTACTATTCCATACAAAGCAGCTTGCATATATCAAGGGAGCAGCTCCCTCTTCATCTGCCGCATTCACATCAACATAATCCTTACACCTTCCGTTCACCAGTCTTTGCACTCTTTCAACGTCGCCATTACTGGCAGCCATATTCAATGCTTTCTGCAGAAGTTCACGCTTTTCTGCTTCGGACAGTGTCTCGCTGGTGGCAATACCGTCCTCGTCCTGCGAAGGGGGCCCGTCTGCTCGATGTGCTGCTTGGGCCGCGAGCATTTCCACGAGGCGACTATCATTATCTTCCAGAGCGAGGGCTGTTGGGTCATCTCTATAGCGGCTCTCTTCCAATGAAAGCCTGAAATCAAGTGGACGTGCCGGAACGGGCGTGGTGAAGAATTGCGACTGCCCTTTATAAGAGTGAGCAAAAGAAGCCCCATCCGCAACGTGAACAACATACCTTGCCAAGCGTCATATATCTCGGTTTCTGCGCCAAACGTTGGAGCTAATCTTCGGTCATCCAGAGACCTTGGAAGGTCATCTGGAAGGGCTCGAGGCTTGGGTGAACCCGAGTCTAAGTCCGTCCCTGCCTCGTGGTGATCATCGTTGAGGTCCATTGTGATTAAGAGGGAGGTGCACAATCATGAGACGAGTATAGGCAGAGCTGAACTCCAGCTTAAGTCACTTCGTTTTTTTTCTGCCTAGAGCTTGCATTTGAGCCAATGTCTGGAGCCCGCTAGTCAGTTGGCAAGAGCTTGTGTTATATGATCGCATATATTGCGCCGAGCAACTAGCTGGACAGCCCGCCCGTGAACCCCCATGCGATCGCTTAAAAACATAGCATTCTGTTACTAGTAGAACACGTTACATGCCAGGACGCTCTACGGAGTACAGAAGCTTCAGAAATTAGTTAGTCAAGGCCAATTTCTGCATAGAGCATGAGATCTATTGATAAGGGTAACATTACAACGCCCCAAAAAGCAGATTTTGATTTTAAATGGGATGTCACTTTTGTTTAGCAAAAGGCCGGTGAATAAATGAATTCATTAGACGGTAACAACTACTTCTGACAGGGTTCATCGTAACCAGTTACTGTCTTGAGATCAAATGTCTCGTTCATTCCACTAATTTTCTAAAGTTCCCATACGTTCATCAATCGACAATTGTGTTATTTCCATCTGAGACAGTGGCCAGACGTCACATTACCACTAATTACCATAAAAACCTTCCGAGCTTTCCAACAATGCAATGAAAACATCTCTACTGCCAAAAAACAGAGCTCCACAGCATGAAGAAGCCATTTAGGAGAGCGTCTAGGTCTTTTCACAGCTTTGAAAAGCAGGAACGTGTGGAATAAAGCGTTCGATATTAGGGTCGATGAGTAGGTATCAAACGGTATTTATCTATAGAGGGGTAAAATTAACAGAAGAAGAGGCTGTGACCAAATCCGCTGGACAGAGTAGAAAGAGAAATCAGATGTCTTTTCTGAAAATGCGACATTTCAGGTAATGCGCTCGGTGGTAAATGGATGACATTTGAAGATAGTTGCAAGGTATGTCGGGGCAATGTATCGTGTAGTCCCAATGCTAATGAAACATAACCAGAAAATATTTGCATTCGCCCTCTTGTAGGTAACCAGAAAGTCGTATCGGGAACTTTTCCTGAATTAAAAGAAATCGGAGAAGATGCAATAGAATTATGAGGTATCAAAAGATGTTGCGCGTTCATAGCGAGGCATTCGTAGGGTGCGTAATTTCTTCAGAATAAAAATAATGACAACAGTAAGCAAGGGTATCGATAAAATCAGTAAGTAGGTGAAAAAGTAGAGGACGAATAAGCATCCTTATTCAATCCCATTGCTGTAGATTTTCATATCCTCGTCAGAAAGTGCAGAAATCCATATACATTTATCAAGAATCGTAGGGATAGGTCGAAAATTGTACCGTGAGCTAGCTTCAATCAATCGCAACAAATTTTTGACGATTGCCGCTGTAGTCAAATGGCGCTCAAAATTTATTAGGACACTACCGCATTCGTGCTTAGTCTCTGTTGGTTTTTGAGCATTGTAGATAAGATCATGGGTATAGAGCCCTAAAAGTGAGTGAGTATGGCAAACTTTGGTTTAAAGTAGGAAAATAGAACTTACCAACGAACGGTATGCATCCTTCCTCCGCACCAACGGTTTCCATCTCAGCTCTCAGGTTGTAAAAATTCCGGAAAGGCTGCACCAACAATTCCAGTTCTCGTAACGTCTGTTTCTCCTCGATGGGAACTTGCTCCCAAGTTTTCGAGAGCTTTGCGATTTCAGCAGATACCAAAGCAACAGTTATTTGATACATGGTAGCGTAATTGCGGTACTTCCTTGCGAACGCGGCGACGTTAATGTATTTGATGATTGTAAGAACTCTTTCATTGACGTTTCTCGTCAGGAGGCATTCGGATATAACCCATTTCACCATGAGATTGAAGCGACCAGTCACCAAGTCTACGCCCTTGGCATCAGAGCTTCTGAGAAAATCAACCCAATCATGCACTCTCATGGGCTGTTTATTCCAGTCAAGCTCGACAAGCTCTCTCCATTCTATTTCGTACAACGCGTCCTTTTCGATCAGGGTAAATTGTTGTGCCAGAACCTTTGCATCATAAGAAAGAATGAAGGGACAATGGACAGACGATATGTTTTCATAATTAGTATTTGTGGATGACTCATTCTTGTGTGGTGTAATATTGTGGAATCCCTCGTCGCAGCTGCCTCGACCTTGAACGGTCTTGGTTTTGGCTGTCGAATTTGGAGTTAGAGGTTTCTCGTAAAGAAAGCTTTTTCTCGACTTGGGCGACTTTGATACAGCATTTTCCATGCTCAGAGGAGGGGAGGGCGGGTGGCTTAGGGGGTGCCAGACAAAAATGCTGCCCGGTATTGACATAGCTGATCCTGTTCGCGAAATTGCCGCTGTGTCAAAATTCAGCAATCCCGGCTGAGGTACAGCCAACTTTGTTGCTGCAAGCTGAAGACGATCTGGGCTAGACGGTTGCGAACGGAACGCACTTAGTCTTTGGGATTCATCTCCTTCAAAGTCTAAGTCCCAACCGGAAGCTGGCCCTATGTTGACTTCTTGACGGCCTTTTGTCAAATGGGCTGCTGAGTGTCCGCTCAAACCACGTCCAAGAAGTGGAACAGAATTCTCGGAATATACTGAGGGGCCACCGACTGAGTTTTCTCCAAAATCTTGGTCGCAATCCTTTTCACAAGTGACAGGATTTTGGGCGCGCTCACGGCTTGAACTTTGGATGACAAGGGAGGATCTGTCATCAGACCCAGATGAATCGGGTAGCCTAAAAGCCGATTTTACAGCCTCATCTTTGATGTCCCATTTGGATCGCTTCTTTTCGTTTACGATCTGAGCCAGCCTCGAAAAGTCAACATCAGGTATAGAAATTGAGTTTCGATCCGAAGATGCTTCAGGTTGTTTCTGATATCTGCCTTCAAGCTTCAACAAAGTAGACTCAATACCGCCATCATCTTCTTCGTCGTCTGGAAGTTGAGCTAACTTGGCGACTTCAGCTTCAAATGACTTCCTCATCGCGCCTCGAGAAGAATGCGTTTCGAAGAGGGAAGGAGAGGTATTGTGGTCATTGTTAGCAATCAATGCAAGCGAATGACTTCTTATCCTCTGGCACTGACTACCTTGTTTGAGCAATCCCCCAGAAACCCTAGTACTGTGGCTTTGTTGTGAATTTCTAGGCGAATAGGTGTGTATCGTAATTGAAAGTGACGATTGTGAACGACTGCGCCGAAGACCTTGCATGTTGTGCGCCGCGCGAAGGTCTCCACCAGGCCGCCTTCGCAAAGCTGGACTTGCCATCTTCCGCGAAAGATGTTGAGGTGTATCTGAGTATGAGCCAGGAAATTCATTGGAGGCACTAAGGACTGTAGAGATTTCCGAAAGACTGTGCAATGATCTTGAACGGCGCAAAGATAGAGTTCTCTTTCCGATGAAGATAGAACGCTTGTCCGAAACGATTGACGGCGACGTTCTGCCTTGAAAGGCTGTCAGGTCCGGTGTGTTCACTACGTCTTCCAAAACGCATGTGTCTACAGATGATGACCTACTGCGGATGAAGCCAATGCCCCCTTCGGCAGTCATATTTCTAGAGCTCAGGCCCAATTCATGGCGGCCGGACCTGTTCTCATCATGATCATAAGACCGCTGAGCACCACCCGCATGATCAGGGCTTAAAGACCCGCATTTCTGATTCAAAGCTGGCGGAAATGTCTCATCGATATTGATATCGTCCACGATAAGGATCGATCTGCTGCTAGTTGTAAGGTCGCTTTGACAACGATACTCGCTCTCGTCCCCCAAATGCCGGAAATGACTACTCGTGAAGCTGGCTCGATGACTGCTTGGTGCTGGGATGCCCGCACAATTTTTGCATAAATCTGTTGGGTCATTAACATGGCTTGATCCCTCGGTCGTCGCGCTGAAAGCCTCGGCAGCTTGCGCAGTCAAAAAATCAATTCGATATGGCCCTGAAGGAGTGAACAGATTGGAGTTCGTTACTTCTGGTTGCAAATTCCCGGAAGAATTGCGAGGAAGGTGGCTCGAGTCGTCCCCTAAAGACAAAGGCTTGGCTTTGGAAGATCGATTTGCAGATTGGACAGGCCCCTTCCCAGCTTGTCTGTGGCTTAGAGCTCGACGTACGCTACCAACGAGCCGTTTTACGCCAGGGTTGGCGTTACCACTGTCTCTTTCAGTCCGTGGAAGGATATTGACAATGTCACGTGTCTCGACAATGTTAGTTTGTGCTCTAACAGGAGCCGTACCTCCTCGGAGGCTTACAAAAGGAGTTCCTGGAGAGACCACATTTCCTCTAACCAGGCCTCCGCCGTTGGGAATGACGGCGGCCGGTGGCGGCTTCGGACAGAAATCAATGCCGCCTAGTATCAAGGTTGTACGTGGATCTGTAAGAGCATCGGAAAAGCTGCGCTTATGACCATGCATTGGTCCAGAGCACTTCCCTAGTCTGCGATGCGCCCTTGAGGTATCAGAGAAAGCTGTGCTACCTATACTTGGTAAATGTACTGGACGAGCAACAGGAGCCCGGGAAAGGCTGCAGTGAGCCGTTTTGAAAGCTGTTGATGGCCCTGAGCAAGAGAAAACTGGGCCATCTTCTTCGCTGCCTGGCGAAGCAAGAGGCAAATCGAGTGGTCCTGTCTGGGGTTTAATTGTATTATCCGGGACAAGTTCGGGCAGTAGGTGTCCTTTGAATGGTTGAGCTTGGTTGGACTCATTATATTTTATCGGTGATTTACACAAGATTGTATCTGTTCGGAAGGACGGCGAACCAACTTTCAAGGCAAGTGAATGTCGCTTGTCTGAATTCTTTGACCATCCGCGACGATTCCCTAGCTCACCGCCTGGTAATATGGGACCGAATTCATCGGCGTCTCCTTCAGCACAATGAGGTTCTTTCGAAAAATCCCAGTATAATGAGCAAGTTCGTCTCCAGCATTTTTTTAATTCCTCGACTATCCGCAGATCTCCGGGACCTTCATAAGATCGATGGCGCAATTTTGTGGAAAGTTTATTGATTTGGTCACAGAATAAGCTGCGAAGCGCTTGATCGGGGACGAAATCGTCCACAAAGTAGTTCAAGATCCAATGGCGCAAGGCTACGAATGTGCGGACTCGAACAATTCGGCCTAAGTCGTCATGCCGTTCAATGGCCCAACGAAGCCGATTGGTAAGATGATTGGCAAGCTCTTGTGTAGAGAGAAAAGAGCGAAAGGTGAGAAAAAAGTCAGATAAAAGTTCATAGTCCAAAAAGTTAGCTGATGTAATTTGGGCTATCATTCGAAGTGGAGTCGCAGCGACTATGTTTCCAGTATTTGGCGAATATCGAACGACGGCTGGGTGATCGGATTCGAGGACCAAATCATCAAAGCTGGTGGGCATGTGACGTGCAAGTTCTTCCTGCCGCTCAGCGGACCTTGAATGGTCTAGATAAAGACCTAATCTCAAAGGAGCCCCGGAGCCATTTGAATGTAATGGCTGTTGTGGATGTAGCTGTGGTATTTCAGTGGAATGCCCTAGCATCTTTCCTGCACATGGCTGAAATGATGCAACATCGTCGGCCACGGAACTCGTCGTATACACTGAACTGCGCATGAAGGCATTTCCCTGCGTGCTGAAGCTAGGATGCCCAAGTCGGTAGTGTGGTATTGGGACTTCCAGCATACGATTTGCCCGTTCATCTGCGGTTCTTGGACGCTGAAGTGGGTATTCGCGCGGCAAATTTTTGTCTTTACGTGTTTGATTCTCTCCGAATGCAAAAGACTCTGGCGCAACCTGCTCTCTTTCCGCCTTCGTGGAAAATGACCGTGCACGTTGAGCTCTGATGCGACGAGGCTGCGAAGCATCCAACGTGCAGTCACTGTGATCGACTGATGAGCACTGCTCGCTTCTTTCCACATCTTTGACAGCCCATGAAGGGCGTGCAGACTCATCGTTGCTTTTGTGCGCCGAGGAGTTTTCCTGTGGGCTCCGCTTCTCTTTAGGGATCGACGCCGTTCCTGGACGCGCAAAAGTGAGCTGGAGCCCCCGGGTCATTGGCCGCGCCACCGGCCTGACATAAAAAAGATTATTAGTACATCATATGTGGGGAAAGTATAGGCCAGAAATAGCAGTACATATCTAGAAGAGCGTGACAGAAGAGGGTGAAGATATTTTGCAAAGGAAATACGTCAAGAGGAAGCCCGACAAATATGCTTACCTGAGATATATCATGCCATTGTGACCGACATTTCCAACCGTAAACTGCTTCCCAAACCTAATCCCAGAACTCCCACACCCATCATCTCGGTCACTGTTTCTCCGAGCCCGTCTGCGTCGTTCTTTGGGGCTGATGTTGCTATCGCGCAAGGACGCCTGGCCATCTTTTCGAGCAATATTTGATGAAAGCCTAGAGTTTATGGTATCCCGCGCACTAGAGATGTTGTTTCCGATGAGATCTCGCTGTCTATTTCCTAAGGTCTGCAGATAAACGTGCGACTTTGGCGCTTGGGCGTGCTTTGAATCCAGAGATACAGCATGTTGATGGCAATTCCACGGTTTGCAGTTCGATTGTGTCTCATCAGCCATGATGGCTTAAAGGTAGAGTTTTCGAGAGAATATGGCGCGCCAGCGGGAATGTTGTGGGTCATTTAAGCCCCTCCCAATGTTGATGTCACCAGTCTACGCGATAATGTCAGGTCCATCGAACAACAGATTTCGAGAAACGGCTTTGATGCTGGCCAAGGACTCACATTTTTAAGCCACTAAAAGTATTTTGCTGCTGCTATAGAGGTTTGACGACTGTGGTTGCTCATATCGCGAATTCATATTTAAAGAGCAATAATCCTTCCGCAGAAAATCCCAGGTGTGCGCGTTGACCTTATTCTCGGATGCAGTGTCATATAAATTAGGCCGTCTTTCCCTCTATAAGGTATATACGGTCTACTCGGTCGAAGGAGGAAAATGCTCAAAAGCAACGCGTTGCAGACGTTCTCTGGGAGACGCGCTGCGTTGACGATCAGACGGACAATAGATACTGTCCGTGGAGCAGAGGTCATAAAATCGTATCCGGCGAGTGCGAAAATTCTTCAACTGCGATTAATTGGCACGGTTATGAGAGTTACAAATTGAAGAGTTTGACGCAGCTTGGCCGGCATATGAGGGCTTAGCTTTGGGAGGTGCTGTCGTTCTAAATGGAACCGAAAGTTTGCGAAGCCGCTTCACACACACCCATACGAGATAGTCGCAGATCATAGTACATGGATTTGCCGGGGCACAGGCAACCCATGTTACTTGGACACAATCCTCAACTTTGGTTAATGAAATGAAATGGAGGGCTAGGAAGGTGCCGCGTCCCGCAGACGGGCCCTTCCAGAGCAGTACCATGTAACGAATCACGGGCTAGAGTCCCAATAAACAATACTTCGTATAACCCATATTTCATGGGCCCGCCCAGCGCAGAAGGATCACGCCTGAAGAACATGTATCGCGTGACTTTGTTAAAAAGCCGAGTTTTGCACTAGAAGCACATCTCCTCAATCTCCTATTTTTCAGCAGGTCATCAACCTGATTCAATGACGGCATTTGCAGTGTGTACGCTGCAAGGGGTCCGTTGAGATTTGACACAGCAATTTTCTTTGGGCATCACTAGGCTAGCCCAGTTATCGAATCTTATGCCGTCGGACAGCACGACTCATAAATGATATCTTTTACCACCTTTTGAATCGAATGGCCTGGGGGGAAAGACTTTGATTAATTTAATGACGAGATTCTCTATGCCCTCATTATTGATACTCCGGGACTGACGCGAAATCTGGATGTCAATTAAAAGAAGCTACTCGTGATACGAGACTATTTGAAAAAAAAAAAAAAAAAAAGTGTAGAAATATATAGCATTATACTTTTTGTGTGGATGTCATTTACCACAGGTGATGGGACCAAATACACAATTTGTATCGAATTGCCTTGTATGTTATCTTCCCAACTTGAAGTCGGCTCTGCAAGTTTATTATTCACAAGTGCTGGTATCCGACTTGGACCCTGCAAACGTACCTAGGTAGGTACCTTAGGTACCTAGCATCTCCCTTGACCCTCGTTTGTTCCCCAAGTGTCCCGTGTCACGCACCCTTCGTCCGTGCTAAGTACCCGAGCACTGTTTGGTTTACCAACATCATTGTCAGCAGCAACATACGACCGAGGACCGTTTGCTTGCTGCCCATGCCCCATACTGTCCTTTGTTTTTCAGGCCAAAGTTTTCACTTCAATAAGGACAGTCGCAAATTCCTACCTTTTCCACAACTTGAGTGAACTTGGACCTACTCCCAGCCTTTATCCGTTTCTTGACATACATCCACATTCTTCGCCTCCCAAGTTCAAACCCCCTCCAGTTGCAGACCGCCTGTGGTCGTTTCTTCGAGGTTTCGTGTTGATAGACGTATATATAATGGCGTTTCTGTTTGGCCGCGCCCGACAGAAGACATCACCGGACCTTGCGAAAGTAGCCAGGGATGCAATTTCCAGATTGGATGGACCACTGGGACAAAAGGTGACTCCTCATACCTCCCGTCTTTCAACTGCAAAGCGACGGGAGCTCACATATCTGACACTAGGCAGAGGAAGATTTGGCCAAGACTCTGCTTCAAATGAAGTTAGTACTAGGGGGAACTCACGGTATGTGTCTGGCTTCGCTCCTTCTTAACAAGCTGTAATTGGACTTGCTTTCGCTGATTTGTGCCAGATACCGACAGCAACCCCGAACAGGCATATCATCTCGTAAATAGCATCATCCAAGAAGATCTCATTCCGATCCTTGCCCGAACGATTCCCAGGCTGCCGTTCGAATCCAGAAAGGACTGCCAGGTGGTCTTTTCATATGTCTTTCGATTTGTTCCGCCAAATGGGTCCGTGACAGAGCCGCCAGCTCTTCAATACACACTTCATAGCCGAACGGATACTGTCATAGAGCTGTGCAAAGGCTACGAGCACCGAGAAAGCTATATGACATGTGGCACAATACTGCGAGAATTACTGAAGCATGAAACCGTTGCGGCAATTATTTTGTACGATGAGCCTAGGGCGCCCGGTCACCCAATTCGTCTCAATGATATTGACCTTAGCAAGCCGCAATCTGGCAATGGAGTGTTTTGGAAGTTCTTCAGCTGGATCAACGAATCTTCCTTTGAAGTCAGCACAGACGCTTTTACCACTTTCAGGGTGAATTTCTCCTTTCGCGCCATCAAGGCCTGGCCAAGATTCCAAAGACCCAAGCTAACATTTCCGCCATCTAGGAATTATTGACAAAACACAAGCAGTTAGTGTCGCGTTATTTGTGCGTCAATTTCGAAAGATTCTTCCCTCATTATAACAATGTTCTTGTGCAGTCGGACAGCTATGTCACAAAACGCCAATCGATTAAGCTCCTCGGGGAAATCCTCCTTGACCGGGCCAATTATCAGGTTATGACAGCTTACGTAGACAGAGGGGAGCACCTCAAACTCTGTATGAATCTCTTGCGCGATGAAAGAAAAATGGTTCAATATGAGGCGTTTCATGTTTTCAAGGTATTTGGCCAACATAACGGCTTGACAAAAAACCCAAGGCTTGTTGAATATTGATTGCATCTACAGGTTTTTGTTGCCAATCCAGACAAGTCTGTTGCTGTACAGCGAATACTCCTCAACAATCGGGATAGGTTACTTCGGTTTCTTCCCAAATTTCTGGAGGATCGGACAGAGGATGATCAATTCAAAGACGAAAAGAGCTACCTGATTCGCCAAATCGAAACTATGCCACCCGTACCTATTGAACCAGCGCGCCGAGGCGGAGCCACGGGTGGGGGATCAGCGGTCACAGCGAGCGTCGGCTGAAGTGTCGGCCTTTTTTACGTTGTAGATGGCGAATCTACGTTGGTTGAGGCAGTCTTCTGATGCGTCAAAGCGATTTACACGCCCATTTCGCTTGGTGGAGCGTTTGGGCGGCTACAGAATACCGTAGCCTCGGACTAGAGCGCTACTCGCATCTAGGAGTGAGACCAGTGTTGGGCACCTATGAATGTAATTGGTCGAGTGCCCTCATCCTTGACGTCGTTGTCAAGGGAACTATTCTCACTACTGTCGACGGATCTTTTTCTGACAGGCGAAATAGAGTCTTCGGGATATGGAGTTTGGCCAAAAGAATATGGTTATGCGCAAACTTGAATTAGCCGATCATTCACCTGTAACAATGTCGTAACTGGTGTCCAGCTAGGCACCTATCTCTAAATTGCACAGCGAAAAGCACACGCCAGCAATATGAAATCTGTAAAATTCTTCTCCAATCAGGCTTGTGTTTATGCTACCTAGATTTTGACCATATCTTCGCCGCGTTCTTCCATACTGCTCGCATGCTTTAGTTTCCGATGCACCCTCTGTATTCAAGACGTCTAAGCTTGTGCAGAGTAGCCCCAGAAGGAGGTGTGAACATTTGAGCGACTGTTTATAAGAACTACCCAGGAAAGTAAAATGCGAAGCAAATAACACACCATATCAAGTTTAAAAATTCATTGAGGAATGCTAAATTGATGATCTATAATCTGCAATTGTTGACTTCGTGTTTGGAATTGAGACGATCTGATCGAGCTCGTGGTTATTCTTGTGTCGGACAAGATTTACAAACAAGCAGTAGGTTACTCCGGAGGTTACTGAAAAGCGAATTGGAAGCCTGCTCTTGAAATGCTGATGGCAGTCATACCGCAGGACCGGCTTACACGTGCAAGGGATTGGCTGGTCTTGGTTTAGAGAGCTCGCTCAGACTTGTGCCTTTGGGAGTTGTTTGGCCGCATTGAAAGTGGCAATGATTTGATGGTACGACGGCTTCCCCAATCGTCCCGACCCCAAATCCAGGTACATACCCCAAAGAAAGGTACTGTACCGACATGCACGATGATCCAATTTGGATCAATGACGAATGCCTCATTTCTTTCTGCACCTGCATAGTGCACTTCGACGGCATATTCATCTCTCCCGAGTGTACTCCGTACAGAAGTGCGCCGTCTCTGAGTCTGTCGCTCGCTTTTCTTCGGACTAATCAAATTGTTACTGTGTACTTTTCGTCCTTTGCCTCGCTCTTTCAGCGTGGCAGCTGCGTGACTTTGGTGTGGCCAATCGCTTAGTGCGACTGACACGATGGCCCTGAACTAAAGGGCCCCAATAACGACTGGATAATGTCATCCACCAACGACTCAGGTATCCACCGGCCAGGGCGGTCCGATTAGACCTGTAATCGCCGTCAAATTTTCTTCACAGCCAAGTGTGTTATTGTTTGGATGTAGAGAGGGCTAGGGAGCAAAGAAAGGCGCAAACCCACACACAGAGCCACACAAAGTAGACTCCGGGCTCAGACTCCTCCATCCCCTGCGGCTTTCTGGAATTTGTGGATGGTAGAAGCGAGCGAGCCTATCACACCTTTTTCTGTTGATCAATTGCTACCAAATCTATCTCGCTACTCATGTTACTACCGACGTGAATGCTACTGCGAAACACAAACAAGGTATCAGCGGCCGTGGTATCGTTCAAGCAGCCCTTTTGCGAAATACTCTTCTAGTCTGCTTTCAATATCATACTTCTCTCTACCGCGAAGATTCATCTGATTGTACATCTCGTCTCTCTGCTTCTCGTTTCGTTCTTCTTTTCTCTCTTTTGAGGTCCCTGAGTTCAGTCAGGGAATTTGCAGGGTGCAGGTGGGTGCTTGGCCTACGTCATCGGTTAACAGCCGAGCCTGGTCAGGTCCCAGCCGTCGCACAGACCTGGTTGCTGGTCCAAAAGCCTCTGGTGGCCTTCGCACTACTGTTCTATTACGACCAACGAACGAAACAGCAAGACCACACTACCCAGGTCCCGCGCTACCTGACCTTCGTCTTCCCGGGACCGCTGTGACTCTCCCGCAACTATTATCATCATCACCACTCCTCATCGGGTGTCGCTGTGACGCTGGCTTTTTGCCCCTCACTACCCTCCTGAGCTCACAGCGTCCTTTCGACTGTAGGGCTCTCGTCCTCGGCCGTCTGTACGTATGGGGCCATCTATACTTGTGCTTGGCAAAGCCGGACCTTGACGGAGAGAGACCCTACAAAGTTTCTCCTTGCGGCGGTGGAGGAGTGAGGATTTGGGGACGTCATGAGTACTCCACCATTAGGACCTCCCGCCAACCCAAAAGGTGCTCGAGATGTTGGTCGACTTCAACGTCGCTCGCCCAGGAGCCCAGGCGCGATCCCATCTTCGACCACAGCCCCTCTTCCCAGCCGCCCCAAAATCCCTTTCCATGGCCAACCTTCATCACCGAGAATACCTAACGAATCGTCTACACGAGCTGGCAATGAATCTCCTCGAGAAGACTCCCGAGCCAAGCAGAATACCTCGGAAAATGCCAAGCGAGTCGATAACTCGGCGGAAGAAATTGCTCGACTGAGAGAAGCAGTCAATGCGAGAATCTCTTTGAATAACCGAGAGCGCTTAGCAAGGCAGAACAAATCACACTCTACTCACACCAGCGCGCCCTCGACGGATCTTCATGGCGCCTCTCCCAGCACCGACGAGTTCCTGGCTGCTGGCTATGCCTCCCTCGAAGCTGCCTTTATAAGCCCGCCACCTACGGGCTCACGAACTACCTCAACTGAGTCGAATGCGACTGTCCGAGGGGGCGAAATCGGGGGCACTCCTGATCCATCTCGCGTGCTCACGCCGTCATACCCCTTTCCCTATGTGCCTGCGGCACAACCAAGGCTCCCCACCACTCCTTTCCATCGGCCATTTACTGCCCTTTCCCCCACGGGCTTGCCGCCTTGGTTGGGGTCAAGTCGCCCGGATGAAATGGGAGAACATCCAACCGTGCCATCTGGGCCCGCCACGCCTCGGTCAACCATGACCTTCCTTCCGCCGAGCATCTCCGGCTTCTCTGGTGGCACCGAACATCCCAGCCCAAGCTTGTATGAACTCACACTCGCACTCACCTCGGAGCCGGGCCTGGATACTTGGTGGTCGAACGTCGTTCAGATACTGCGCGAGAATTATTGTGCAGAGCGGGTATCCCTCGCCGTTCCAGCGGATACTACGGATCCTGAAAACATTCCATGGGGCCAAAAGGCCACCTTTAATGCTGTAGAGGAAGATAAGTTCAGCTTGGCTTATCTGGCGCAGAGCCACCAAGATGCGGCGAGCGAGGAGGAGGACCCAGATGCAGTCGTTGCGCCGTCGTCGGGCGAATCTGTAGCACCAGCCGAGCATCTCGAGTGGTCCATGGCCTCACTCTTAGGGCATCGGCCTCGATTAGCTAGTCGTCACTCTTTCTCTGGATTTGAGGCTCGGAAAAAGCGTTCATCGCTTGGCGCGGCGCAAGTCCCCGAAGTGAAACAACCGAGACCTGCAGCATCTCGTACTAAAAGCGTTTATACATCTGACCAATTTTCACAACATTCAAGATTAGCTGTGCCTTTATCTTCTTCCCAGTTGAATACAGAGTCTTTGAAAAAGCACGCTGCTATGGAAGCCTCTGGAGAAGCCAAGGATGCGCCTATTGGCGAACCAGCGCAACGGGAAGCGCGCGGTAGAATGTTTCCCGTTCTACAAGCCTTGGACTTCGAAGCCCAGCCGTTGCTTGATCCCGGAGGTGTCCACAGAGTCCTAGAGAAGAGTGACGTGGTTGTACTTTCCAGGGAATATAATGCGCATACATTTGAGTCGGAGAATGTCAACATCGATCAGGGAGAGCGCTTTCAACCAGCAGCACATTCCGAGGATCTGCATCACGAGCGATTGACATCTACCTCAGGAAAGACGGGACATGTGCCAGCAACCGGAGAAAAGTCGCAGGGCGCATTTCAGAAAGACCTGGCGGGTGCTCGTCCCAATTCAGACGAACTGGAGAACACTTTGCACCTACCTCGCAACGAGCGCGGCCCAAGTGAGCCATCGTCGTATGAAGAGTTTGAACAAACACCTGCATCTCCATGGGCGCAGTCGCCAGCACCTTCGCCTGCTATTCGATCAGACACTAATGAGAACCCCTTCTTCGCTGCGGCAACCGTTGATGAAAGCTCATTCAGCCCTAACCCAGTCTCGCAAGATTATACCACTGGAAAGCAAGTCGAGGCCATTGGTGTCGATCATGCTACCACGATTGTTCACGTTCCCCTCTATCATCCTTTGCTATCCAAATCTGTCCAGCCAGCTCGATTCGAGTCCAATTCGGCTTTCATGGCAAACACAGATGCCGGCCTGGGCGTCTATGGACACTCTATTCCTGAATCGGTGAAGACGGGTTCAGGTCATAAATTCCACGATAAGAAAATCCCAATTGCTATTCTTTCTATCCTTTCTTCCGTCATACCCTATCCTTCAAACCTAAGCCAGTCGCTGTCTCTGCTTGGACCTCACCTTGCAACATCTTTTTCACTGGCTCGCCACTATACAACCGTGGAGAGTGAGGCCAGTGGGTTAGCACGACGACGTTACGGATCGTCTTCGGCGCTTGGATTCGGCGCGGTGATAGACCAGGGCCGTCCACTGGATGACCTCGCCAGCCTTGAGCACGCTCTCCAATTGGGTTCCGAAGAAGGCCCGACCGGCTCCATCACTGGCAGCATAACAAGCCCCAGTGAGTATTCCGGCGTTTCCAAAAGTAGTCCGCCCGGCTCCCTGGGCGGCACGCCAACAGGCGAGGCTCATGCCCATCCGTACCCAAGCGACAGGCGATCTATTGGTGGCACTCCTGGCCGTCCAGGAACACTCGAGCCAAATGACAGCTACTTTGTTTCGAAAAAGCCCGGCCATTTGAGTAGGTCTAATAGCGGGGTAGTGCCGACATTGCCTGTAATGAGTCTATCATCGACCAAGCAGACATCGAATGCTCCTGAGTCCCAATGGAAGAGGCGGTCGGGTGACAATCGAGGTGTGCAGCGAGACGTCACCTCACCAACAGAGGAGGATATAGATCGCATTGTGCCTGAAGAAGACCAGGAGATTGGCACCATGGAATATGAGCTCAGCCTGGCGAAGCGTGGAAGCGGACAGCGCTCGGAACGGACAAGGAGAAAGACGGAAATTTCAATATCAGGGTCAAGCGCCGGATCACAGTGGGAAGGCCGTCTTTCTGCTCGCGCTTCAGATCCGTCTGCATCGCAACGAAAACAGGCACCCTGGTTTGGACATGCTCAAGGCCTGAGAAAGGGAGAGCGTCCACATACACTTCTCCATTCATACGGTGCGGATTTCGGTGCTACATATCAGTCGCTACCTTCCGCTACGTCCGTAGGATCCCGGCCAAGCGTTGTACGAGCCCATACAAGAACTGCCTCTGGGTCACTGACTACGCCAGAGTCAAACATGCCACCACCTTCTGAACGACTTTTACGTACGATTATCGACTCAATCCCTGTTCAAATATTTACGGCGGCCCCCCGGACGGGCGCTCTGACGTGGGTCAATTCAAAATTTTTGACTTATCGAGGTCTCACTGTCGCTCAATTTTCTGAAGATCCTTGGCAAAGTATTCATCCAGAGGAGTGCGAGGACTATTTGAAATCTTGGGTACAGGCGCTACGGAGCAGCCAAGGCTTTTCACGCCAAGTTCGAATCCGTAGATTCGATGGCCAGTACCGCTGGTTCTTTGTCCGCGCGGCTCCTTTGCGAGATACAAGAGGCGTGACGGTACATTGGTGTGGTACCTTCATGGACATTCACGATCAACATGTTGCTGAAGTCAGTGCTGCCCGTCAAAAGGAAACCGCGCAATCCGAGGCCAAGTACCGTTCTCTGGCGAATTCAAGCCCACAAATAGTTTTTGCTGCCACCCGAGAAGAGGGAATAACATTTGCCAATACGCAGTGGCTCTCCTATTCTGGGCAGCATTTTGAGGATGCTCTAGGCCTTGGATTTACCGAGTACGTTCATCCAGATGATCTTGTCAAATGCAGACTGCCGCAGTTTAGCGACCCAACATCTACAGAGCCCAGTGCACGTCCTTCTCCAGGAGGTGGCGATATAGCCGCCTCTCCCACTCCTACGACGCAAATTGGAGGGAGCAAAAAGGTTGACATTTCGTCGACCGACTTTTCTGAGCTCACTCGTAGCGGGGTTATCAAAGTTTCCAAGGACAGCAATGGCAAACCATCCTATTCTACAGAGATTCGGCTCAGGAATAATGATGGAGAATATCGTTGGCACCTTGTGCGATGTTTAGCGGTGGACTCAATTAATTTTGGGAACGGTGAAGGCTCTTGGTTCGGCACTTGCACCGATATCAATGACCATAAGCTCCTCGAGCAAAAGTTGAAAGAGACTATGGATTCAAAAACGAGGTTCCTTAGCAACATGTCTCATGAGATCCGAACCCCACTCAACGGCATTTCCGGAATGGTCAACTTCTTGTTAGACACTCCCTTAACAGAGGAACAGATGGATTCGGTCAATATTGTTCGAACGAGCTGTGAAAACCTTGGCTATTTGATCAATGACATTCTTGATTTGTCCAAGGTGGAAGCTGGCATGGTCAAGCTTTCTTTCCAGCCATTTTACGTACGTTCAGTCATTGAGGAAGTCAACGATCTGATTTCTGCATTAGCGATCAAGAAGCGCTTGGAGCTTAATTATATTGTCGATGATGATGTGCCCGCCCTTGTCATGGGTGATCGGATTAGAATCCGGCAAGTTCTACTGAACATTATTGGAAACGCCATTAAGTTTACCTCGCGGGGTGAGGTATTCCTTCGCTGTCAGGTTTATCGGAGCCAGCAAAGCGCTATCAGACATCAGGAGATCATGCTGCAATTTGACGTCGATGACACTGGAAGCGGCTTCACAGAAGCAGAGGCAGAACTCTTGTTCAAACCTTTTAGTCAGATTGATGGTAGCAGCACCCGCCAGCATGGTGGTAGTGGCCTTGGGCTCGTCATCTCGAGGCAGCTGGTCGAATTACATGGAGGTCAGATGAATGCCACCAGCGTGCCTGGCAAGGGATCCACTTTCACATTTTTCGTGAAGTTCCAATTACCGCCAGAAGAAAGTAGACCCGAAGGCCAACGAAAGTCTCAAAATGTATCGGAGACACCCAATATTGAGTCGACCAAGTCAGGACAAGCAAAGGATTCGTCCGCTGTGGGCGAACAAGAAATTATCCGCCCGCTCTTGGCAAAGACGTACACTCAGTCCCCTGGGAACCCGGGCGTCCCCGGCACCGAATCCATCCAGAGTTCCCCCGCCGTCTTGTCCTCTGGTAGCTCAGCGCCCTCAGTTGGCTCCTTGCGAACTTTCCAGTCCGACCGGTCTTCAATGTCGTCAATCTTGCCCAGTAATTTGCAAGGGGGAGAGGATGCTGGAAAGATGAATCTCAAGCTTCCCTCAGTTGGACGTCTCTCCCCCAGCGATTCTCGCCCGGCGACCTCTCGTGGTGGTAGCCCGATGCGTCCGCCCATGTATTCTGTTTTGGTTGTGTGTGCGCTTGAACATAGCCGGGAGGCGACAATGAGGCACCTTGAAAAAACACTTCCGGAGGATATCCCTCATCAGATAACAACTCGATCTTCTTTGCCAGAATGCCAGAGGATGATTGGTGGAAATGATCCGGTCGTGTTCACGCATATTGTTATCAATCTCAGCGAAGCGGACGAAGTCATTGCCTTTATGGACCAGATTTTCCACTCTGACCTGCATCCGAGAACCTCTGTGATTATCGCGTCGGATTCTGTCCAGAAGCGTGAGATTATTGACCGAGCGCCACACCTTGACATGGATAAACTTGTCAAGCAGCTTAGAGTGCTCTTTGTTTTCAAGCCTCTGAAACCTTCAAAGTTTGCCGACATTTTTGACCCAAACAAAGTGAGGCAGCTGAGTACAGATCGCAATCGCGACAGTGCACAGCAAGTCGCTGAAAGCCAAAGACAAGTCTTTGCAAACATGGAGAACGTGATCGGTAACCGTGGTCATCGTATTCTGCTTGTCGAAGATAACGAGGTCAACCAACTGGTGAGAATATCTACCTTTAAACCCCCCTTGCTTGTAGTTCACTGATTGCTAACCCTGCCGTGAACTGCGTTGAAGGTTTTGCAAAAGTTTTTCCGAAGAATATCCGTCGTTGTTGAGACTGTTTCCGATGGAGCGCAGTGCATTGAACGAGTATTTAGTCAACCTCATGCGTTTTATTCTGCTATCATTGTGAGTAACATACAGAGCCTGGTGCTTCCAAGTTCAGTTTTGCAGTGAAACTAATGCAGGTCCAGTGCGATCTTCATATGCCCAACAAAGATGGTTATGAGACGTGTCGTGAAATTCGACAATGGGAAGATAAGCAGCACTTTTCGGAGCACGATTTGATTCCAATAATTGCTCTCTCGGCCAATGTCATGGCAGACGTGGTCGATAAGTGCATTGAGGCCGGGTTCAACAATTATGTATCCAAACCGGTGAATTTTGGCGAGCTGAGCAAAGTGCTCATGGATCTTTTGAATCCAGCACGACCTCGCCAATTGATGCGTCACAACTCGCATCCTATTTAAATCTTGTTGTTTGCGGGGTTGAATTATTCCGAAAATGACATTGTGAAGGTCATAAGGTGGCGATGGGTGGTTTTCTGCATCAGCGCGTGGCGAACTGGCGTGGTTCTGAGATTTTTCATTTTTTCCCCGTGGGGAGCGAAGGGGAGAAAAGGCGTTGCATGGAGATGTGTCAGTATTTCCCATAGCCCCTCTCTTTCGTCCCAACTTTTTTCTATAATGAATTTGACTAGCATCCCTAGCCTCTGCCCATGGGCATGCTCTCTGCGTACTGAAAGTATTGACCTGTTTTCTTTCTTTTTCTTTGCTACTTTATTTTTTTTTCCCTTTACCTTTTGTATGATAGCTTAGATACTCTGCTTTATTTTACTTCTTTTTCTTATTTCCCTCCCTTTACCCCTCTTTCTCTTTTCTCTACTTTTTTTTTTTTATTTTTTTTTTATTTTTTCAATGTCCCAATCTCAATCCATCGGACGCTTTTCCGTCAAGGTCGGATGACAAGGCGTGATTGGGAAGGGTTTCTTAGAGCATGCGCTTCGGTTCGTCCGTTGTTATACTACATATGCAAGACTTGCATCTTACAGACTAATACGGTATAATTTGAGTTCCTTAAGCAAGTCTTTAAACGTGCAGCAAATCCACGAACAGGGTCTTCTAGGTAGGCAGTGTAGTATCCGTTCGCTTGACTGTGGCGAGCGAGGATTTGTCAAATCAGGCCTTGATTCTTTTCATTAGTACGTTTCTGCCTGACCGCCAGATGCTGGGTGCCCAGTAGGCTGGAGCCATTCTCTGGCACCAACCGTGCGCGAAACGCTGTCGTCGTCCTTGCATGAGCCAAGTAGACAAATCGTGGTACGAACCTCGCATACCCCTCCATCCAGCATAAAGTTTTGACATGGAGGCACCAAGCGTTTTTTTTGATGCAGCTTTATTGGATCATGAAAAGGGTCAGATCTTGACACTCTTTTTGCCTGTGACTATTACAACACTATCCGCGGTGCCTTGGTCTTCGGCGTGTACCAGCGGCCATTGGCTTTCCAGCAACTCCAATCAATTACGCTCTCTCTCCCATGGGACGCAACGTTGCACAAGGATGACATGCGTTTTTCTTTTCCCTGACATGCACCAATTCTAAGTGCAACACCTCGTGCGTTTCTTTGACAGGCAGCAGCATTGCAGAGGAACTGCCATGCTCCATGTATGTCGCGCAGAGTACCCTTGTCAACTCAACGTACAGGGAGCATTTTTATTATTGTGTTTATGCCGTGTAATGCCGGCATCAGGGTACTCTTTTTTCGTGGCAGGAATTGCCTCTGGCACTGTTCTCGTGGTGTTTACTGGGAGCTATAGTTACTTGGTACTTTCCTTGGTTCCAAACTGCTCTACCAAAGTCGGTTTCGTTTTGGGGAGTTCCGAGGACCTTAATGATGGGTGGTGATCGGTATCTAATGCATGCGCCTTGTTTCCATCCTTGGGTTTTATAAGGTATATATTATCATACGCAGATATACCACAAGGTCAGCAGTATTTACGGAGTACAGTAGATCCGTCACCCCTCCCGCCAATTTGCCTTTCCAAATCCCTGGATCAATTTTTAATAATTGTATCGGCTGAATTGGACTGCTGTTTAACCGTGGCCGTTTAACAACCCGAAGGGTTATCTAAGGTGAGGTATGCACATGCAGTGTACCTGTCGCGCAGGGTCGAAATTTAGTAGAGTCCCCTCAAATGACTCCAATTCGAGCATTGATCTCGAGTATTGTAGTTGCAGCTAATCCCGTACAAGCTGAGACGCAGCGTCGACCGTGACATGATGATGCCTAATGATTTTTCGGCCCCAACGGCCCCAAAACGGCCAGCAGACCCAAACGCTACAACCACCACCACCACCACCACCATCACGACCATCGTCCCGTTGGAACCTGAGAAGGTCTCCCGCGCTGACGGCATTGGCCTACCGTTGGTCTGGGCGAGGCGAACACGCGAGAAGAATGGGAGACAACAGAACAGCCATGACTTGACTTTCGTACCTTTTCCACACGTTGACACCCTCCTGTCCCTCAAGGGCAAAAAGAGGAAGGGTGGGCAACAAACGGGCCCAGCCCGAAACTGCCAGCGAAGGCGTGACAACACATCAATTGAAACGCAGACTAGATGAAATTTGCATCATCATCATTTTAGATTTTTTTTCCCTTTGAATCTCGTGAGCCTGCATCAAACAATCAACCCCCCCCACCACCACATACACAGTTTGCATGACCTGCCTCTGTCCCAATTCCGTCCTGATAATTCCTTTACTCTCACTGTACTCTTTCTCACTCCTCTGTCACCCGCCTTTTTCTCTCTCTCTTGTCCGCTCCTCCATCCGGACCCCGCCGGCGTCTGCGCGTCTCGTTCGCCGCATCCATTCGTTGCTTGGAATGGTCCCCAGATGTACGACAGGTAGTAGCAGCAGCAGCAGCAGCAACAACAGGCTATGCCCTTGCGGCCAATTCTCTCGCGCCCTCGCTCTCTCTAACTCTCAATCTGTTACAACGACGATCATCCCGCTGCCGCCCCCGCGCCCGCGTTGACACTCTTTTCTCGTGCGGACTATCTTGCTCATCCCCTATTGCCCTTTACCCTTTTGCCCAGTGCCTGTACTCCATCCGTGTTTCTCTTGGTTCCCCATAGGTTCCCACGCACACACATGCCACCCGATGCCCATGCAACTCTTACTCTATCCAGGACGCCCCATTGGGCCTTGGCCTCACTGCAGATATGACGGCCCAGGTGGGGCCAGAGTTTTTCCTCGGGCATTGCGGCGCCCGCGCACGTCCAATGAGCCCTAGGTTTTCCTCAGGCCGGTCTGGCGGGGAGCATCGGATGTAAGAGTATACTAGTCCATTGAAGGAATGCCCGAGAGCTGCGAGGGGGGGGGTCGATCAAGGGCTGGCAATGGCCCAGCGGGATGCTCGCTCACTTTTGGCCTGGACGGATAATGCATCTCAGGAAACATATCACTTTCAGAAGAGCGGGGCTCAATGGCAACCTATTGGACTCTTTTGCCCCCTCCAATGGGTTTTCTACGCAATGGCCCCTTTTGATCCCTCATCCTGGTTTGCCTTCCTCGTTGGAAAGATGGACGACTCGATCATCCCCGTCCTGGAACCGTGCTCTTCCCCGGGGCCTCAATTGCCTATAAAAGGGCCGCCATGTCCTTGAAACCGGAGGATCTTTCTTCTTCTCTTTTTTATTTTTTGGCCTTCTTCTCATCTTCATCATCATCGCTCCCGAGCTTCAATTCAATCTTCCTCTGACACGTGCTTGAGCATCATTGTCCTTGACCTTGACCTCACACATACTTGGAATATATTCACTGTACCATCACTCCGGGCCATTGAAGGATAACCCTCTGCCGGGCCTTTTACTTTCTCAATTATCCTTTGCCTTGCCGATCTGTTCTTATCCTCCTTCTGTCAGACTCTCTCTCTCTCTCCCCAAGCGGGCTTCATCATATTGATATTACCACTTCATCTTCTCTTACCCACAAATCCTACCACCACTGTGCTGTGCTCACAATCATGTCTACTCGAACCTCATACGCAACTGCCTCTCTGCCAATCAGCACCGGCCCCAAAGGGTCCACGGTATATCCTCACCACGGGCCGTTTGCTCGCGGCAGCATCTCCCCTCCAGAAAGCGTTGCTAGCACATCTGCCACATCTTCCGGCGGTCCATCGTACAGTTACAGCAACACGAATTCCGTCATTTCCGGAAGTTATGCGAACAGCGAGCATGGCTCGACCGCGTCCTCGAGCAACGGCCTTGCCAGCATTGATCTCGTAGAGCTCCTGAACGATCATCTCTCTGGAGCATTCGACCCGCTTCCTCTGGACAAGAGCCTCGCCAAGCAAGCCCAGACGTGAGTTTCCTCGCCTTGCTATTTTTCTTTTCCTTTTTTCCCCATCCTTTTTAACCCTGCCTCTTTATCTTTCTACTTGTCCCAAAAATCTTCCCCTCCTTTCAATTTTTAACGTATTAATACATTAAATCAATAATTCCAGATCCGGCGAACTAAACGCCAAGCGCCGCGAACTGCTCGAACTGCAAGCCCTCGCGCAGCGTCGTCTTGCAGCCACAAAGGCCAATTTCGCCGACGGCATCAAAGCCGCCAAGGAAGTCCGCCGTGATCTCGAATGGACCCAGAAAAAAGTCACGTACGTACCTTATCCTGTGCATTTCACGTCGCCAAACTATCCTTAATTTCTTTTTCATTCTGTCATTCTATCATCCACCCTCTAGGTCTTCTGTCCGTTGTTCAGCCCAATATTTGCACCCAAAAAACTTATGCTGATTGAGTCCGCCTAACTGGTATATATATAGAACCCTAAAAGCAAAAACGGAGCGAAAATACCCCGCTCAATACCGCACAGCGAGTCAACGAATTCCTGCACCTGTTGATTATTAGACTTTCTTTATATATTTTCCATTTCTCTTCCAAAGCGGGACTGGAAACAACTTTTCTCCATTGTTCATATTCCTCGTTCGTTCAAGTTTTTTTTTTCTCCCGTGATTATACTCTACTTTCCTGGTTCTAATTTATTTATTTTTCCATTGCCGTTTTTACATTTTCTTATATCCGTGTTGATCACCGTTTCCTCCCCTTTTAACTTTCCACTCCTTACTCCCTCCTACCAACGTGGCTATTTTTTCTGGGCATACTCTATTACGGGCCGTATACAAAATTCTACAACACTTTATATCTTCCTCGCTTTATCATCTGATGGGAATATTGCGTATTCAGACTCTTCCGCTACTTTTCATAATTTGATATTTAGTTATTTACATCCGCAGGTTTGTCTTTCCATGTGTCCGCCGTACACGCCGGATTTCCGCTGGAAAAGACCCCTCCGCTGGACAAACCTGGGGCGGGGAGGGCCAGAAAATTTGGACACGCGGTGGGGAAAAAAAAGATTTGCCCTTTTCTATTTCTCCGCCCCACCCCCCTGCTATTCTCCATTCCACTGTTTACCGCCCACCCACTCCCGCTCCGTGGAGGAGGAGAGGGGGGGGGGGGGGGGGGGGGGGTTGCCAACTGCTCCCCGCCGCTTTACCCACCCGGCGCTACTTTCCGCTACAGGAGTAGTAGGGGTTGTCAGCGGAGCGGGGGCGCGGTTTCGCGTCCAATTGCACAACGTGTTTTGTTATTAAACCTTGTATAACTGGCGATTTAGCCGCGCGTAGCAATATCCAGCGCTTATTAAGAAAATAGCCTTATGGAGACTGTGCCGTAGGGAGAGACTACTAAAGGGGGCGGGTGAAAGTTGACTCTATGCAAGGCTTGACAGTGCCAGCGTGGCAAGTGAAGCTAGAGCAGCTCATGGGTCGAACGCAGGCCGGGATAGACGAAGCATATATAGACAGGGACTCGTTCGTTCCTCATGCAGCAGATACACCACATGCCACGCGCCCACGCCAGGACAACCAACTGGCCTGAAAAGAGGAGCCCCGGGGAAGGGGGGAGGAGAAAGAGGCACCCCCTGGCTTTTCCTCACTCCCTGGCCACCCACCCCGTTTCCCTGGGGGGCAAACAAACGTAAGCCACAGTAGACTAGCGACCAATTGCTCGGAGCTTTCAGCAACCCATGGAGCCCACAGGGCCAGGGATCCGGAGGGTTGGACCGGAAGCGGTGTGGGGGTTCTGCATAGTTCCTAGAGATCCGATTCCATGGCCACGGCTCAGGTTGAAGCATAGAAGAATCAAGTATAATGTGATGGCTCATATCCCTATTCGTTTGCCAAAAAGGTGGTATGCATATTGAGTTTGGCCCATGCGGCTATTGGTTATCCATAATGCATCTGGGAATGTATGCATGCGTGTAAGGGTTCCAAAAAAAAAAAAAAAAAAAAAGAACTCCCGCTGCTTTCGCTGGTATTGTTGTTGTTGTTGCTGCTGTTGCGGCTCCCGTTGGCACCGACGGAGGGGATGATATTAAAACCCCAACCCATAATCTGTTGCTGGTCTTGCAGCAAGACGAGAGAACAGGAACAAGTATTCCTGGTATTGACCAGTTTCCCCCTTTCCCTTCTCTTTGTGCTCTATCCAAGCTGGTTATGCGGACGACCTAGTAAATGTATCCATGGATCCTCGACAAAGCTTGGATCATAGTAGGCCTTGTCGCGGGGTCGCGATTCGAGGGACAAAGGATCGCTTGTGCCCAGGCCTGAGCCTTGGCCTGAAACAGGAGAAGTCGCGGTAGTATGATGCTGTGGTATACTGAAATGAGAATGTCCAGCACTTTTTGGCGCATAAGCGGGCGCTGTGGCTGTCTCCATCGTCGACGTCGGACCGCGCAGCGATTCTTGTGATGGTTCGTGTACGTTTGGCGGGATAGAGGCTGCGATTGCCGTAGGATTGTATTTTCGTCTCTTGCTGGAGTGATCTTGTGCGCCAAAAGACGAAAAGCCCATTGATGCGGCTATTTCGTCGAAGTTTTCTTGCTCAACGTCAAGAGGCTCTTCGAGCTGTTGTTGATGGTGCTGCGTTTCAGAGGCGTTTTCCATGGCGCACGGGAGAAATAAACAGCTCGAGTGTATATGATGCTCTGTCTAGTAGGCGAGAAGTGCAAGGTTGAAGCTAAAATGTGCGTATTCCTTTCCTCAATACTTCTTAAAGGATGCGAAGGTCAGGTAACTCAGCAGGACGTACGGAGTAAAATCTAAGCTTGAGCTTTAGTTTCCAAGTAAGAGGCCTAAGCTTCAGCTTGACGAGCACATATGCCTGCTGCTGGAAGCAGCTCTTGCACCGGCATATTCCGCAAACTCCATCAACAGTCCATGGGGGAAAAAAGAAAAGAAAAAAAGGAGTATATTCGATCATCAAATGCTTTAGAGATGTTTTATGCGCTTATTGAGTGCATACAATTTATTTGTAAGATGCTGCGGTTGTATGATATATAAAATACATGCATTTGTTTTGCAATCGACCATTGTCTAGATGCCATTTATATGAAACCCGACAGACAACGCCATTAAAACTTTCATACCAAACTTCATACCGATTCAATTCGATGATCGGTGATCGCCTTTGCAATGACTCTTGCAAGCCGCCCAGCCCTGTCCTCATCTTGCTTGGCCGTCTCAATTGCAGTTAGGAGTCTCTTGATTCCAATTCCAACCCCCTCGCTTTGTGTCATGTCTCGAATCACAGAAATTGCGTGAGCCTTTTCTTCCGGTGAGAACGCGTTAGAATCAGTAAGGACATGGTCCAACTCTTCAAAGGTATTGACATTAGGGACCGCAATTTCGGCATCAAAATATTTGAAGAGGTCCAGGTGTTGCAGCAACGACCGGTCGGTGGTGGTCCCGAGGATGAGCAAACGACGATCCTAAAAAAATCAGGATCAGGTTTATGGAATCACGAAGAAAAACCTATAACTGAGTGCTTACCTTTGGAGGATGTTTGCTTAGCAATACCTTGAGCGCTACCAGAACATTGTTGCTGAAACGCGGGCCAATAGGAACCCAGTCAAGGAGCAACTCGATATTGTCAAGCACGATGATGTTGATTGGCGATTTGTATGCATCCATAAACACCTTGTTCAAGTGCTGGACTTTCATCATCTCACTAAAGCCCACCATTGATTCTGGGCTCACAAGCTTGACAAATGGAAAGTCGGAGCTGCCAGCAATTTTGGCGGCCAAAGCCGTCTTCCCGCTTCCGGGAGGACCGTGAAGCAGAACAGAGAGAAGAGGTGTTGAGTCAGGCTGCCTGACCTGCTGAACGTATAAGCGACCTTCGTCTAACACCGTGCTGATAAATGGAGAGTAGTGGAGAATGCCTCCTCGAATGCATTGTTCCAGCTCCTCCTCTGAAACACCAAAGGCGGGTTTGACTTCCTCGAGCGCGTTGTGGAAATCCTGGCGGTTGACTTTCATATTTACAATATCGTCACTGATCCCAGCCACGGTGCCAACTTTGACGTGCCGGTTGAAAGCAAAAGATGATGCGGACTTGACGAGTCCGCCAATTTCAGCACCAGAAAAGTTCTTTGTCAATCGAGCTAATTCAGCGAGGTCAACATCGGTGTCCATGACATTATTCGCTCGCATCTTTGATGTATGGATCTTGAGAATCTGGGCGCGCCCAAACTCGTCAGGAAGCGAGATTTCCATGTGAACTTCTAATCGTCCCGGACGGAGGAGAGCCTCGTCAATCATGTCCATTCGATTGGTCATACCAATCAATAGGATGTTATTAAGTTGGTCGACACCATCCAGCTACTCGTAAAGCAAAGTCAGAAACAAATCTTGGACGAGGCCCACATACGAAATCAACTCTAGAAGTACGCACCTTTGATAAAAGTTGGTTAACGACGCTGTCCCCGACGCCTGTGCCTCCAGCCGATCCACTGCCTCGTTGCTTGCAAACAGCATCAAGTTCATCAAAGATGATGATATGAAGACCACTCTCGTCACCCTTTTCCTTGTATTCCTTCTCTGCGTCTGCGAAGAGCTTACGAATGTTTTCTTCGGACTGGCCAACATATTTATTGAGGACCTCGGGACCATTGATGACCTTGGGTTCGCGGGCATTTAGCATCTTTCCAATCTGGCGAGCAATCAAAGTTTTTCCGGTTCCCGGTGGACCGTAAAGTAGGATACCCTTCACATGCTGAATGCCCAATTTGTCGACCAGACCGGGAGGGAAAATGCGAGAGGCGAAAGCTCGCCTGAAGATTGTGCTGAATTCAGAATCCAGTCCACCGATTCCCATATCCTCAAACTTGAAGTCGGGTTGAATGATCGAGTTTGCGGCCGGCCTTCGGTTGGAAGGCTTGACCCGGATCGGCGTCTTAGCATCCTTGTAGAAGTTTATTGGCGTGTGACGCGTCAGAATTCCTCGAGCGCGAGGGTCGCTCGAGGTAGGCGCAGCTGAGACACCTGGCTTTTCCATTGAAAGATCTCCCAGCTGAACGGTCTTGATTGTTAAGATGAGGTAAATACTCTTATGGTCCATAAGTACTCTTTGTCCGGGGGCGAATATTTGATTTTCATAATTCTATAGAGTGTTAGTTGCGGTTGAGGTTTGATTATCTTGCGGCTTACTCTGATGAAGTACTGAGCGAGGTCATCCTGATCATAGGGCACTTCCGTAGTCTTTCTTCCGGCGAACCCAACTTCTGCATCAAGCGACGAGAGATAAGTTTGACTGCCTTGCGTAAATGGGTCGTACAACGATACATTGACGAGGTCGGTTAGCGCAACTTGCGCCCAGGAGCGCTGAGGATCAGAGAGACCAATATGACCTTGCGGAAATCCATCAAAAGGTCTTGCGGTGAAGACATAGGTGTCGTTCACCAACAAGTAGATGTCAGAACCGTCCCGCGAGGGCTGAATGTCGAAAGGAGACACGGCCACCCTTTTACTTCTTTTTAGTTTCTTTTCCAAATAAATAAAAGAATAGAATCGAATAGGCGAGATTTTTTAACTCACAGGTTGCCAAAAGTATACGTGTTGTCTGGACTTTTCGCCGGTCTTAATTGCCAAACTTGACCAGGTCTGCCATTGGGCGCCGGGCGCCCAACCGGCACTCGCTGTGGCGAGGAACCAAAATTCTTAGAATCCTCATAGCCGCCGGCCATTCTAACGTCGTGACCCCCTGATCGCGTTGATGACGGTGTTGGACTGGGACTCATGCGCGAGTAGCCATCTCGGGGAGTGGTGCGAGGAGCAGCATCCTGCCGTGAGGCAAACGGGTTTGGAACCGAAGGTAGATTGTTCCTGTTGAACATATTGACTGAAAGATCTTAAAAGAAAGAGTCGGCGTATCTGAATATAATGGTGAACAAGGGAGGAGGAGCGATGGTCCGGCCTATGACGGAATGTGGAGAGAATTATACAGCAAAGTCTGAAGTGTTTCGAGTGAGGGCCACTGGAAACGATTAACGAATAGAGTCTGGTTCGCAAATGTGTCGACACCGGGGCAGCAAATACATGAAACCCGGTGTAGAAGTCGATGAAAGTATCGTGAGAGTTGGAGCTTCACATGAGACCCTTTGGACAACGTTACGGGAGACAGTTGATGTAAAGTGGCGGCTCGGAGGATTCCCGGGCTCACTCAAGAGGGTACTGGTACCAATACCGGAGCGCGATACCTGTGCATACGTATTGTACCTATACTTGGCGGTGCTACGTCAGTTGTGTCGCGGACAAGGGGCTCCGGCGAATGTAAAGTCCGATGCACCGGCGATACGAACTGACGGAAGCCAGTCCGATAAGCTTTGAACCCTACTATAAGGAGTGCATGGAATGGGTCCACAAAAGTATTCAGTCATCATTGGAGATTTTCAACTTTATAGCTCAGTGCCTATGCAGATAAAATGCCTTTGTAAGTTCCGTTTATTTCAGCCAGCGAAAAGCCATCATTTTCATTTCAACCTGTGATTTAGACTTGCTAACATATTTCAAGGCATCTGCTAGGGAAGAAGTCTTGGAATGTCTACAATCCGGATAATATCGCTCGAGTTCGTCGAGATGAAGCAGCTGCTAAGGCTAGGGAGGAGGAGGAAGAGCGTCAAATGCAGGAAGAGGATGCGAACTGGCGGTTGGATCAATTACGTGGTTCAGTGTCCAAGCGGCATGCGCCTGAAAGGACTGTCGAGAATGAAGTACGAGAAGAGCGTCCCCATTTCGGTCGTAGTGAGGCAAGAAAAAGGAGAAAATTGGCTGGGGAAGATGATACGGACAGAGACATCAGACTAGCTGCAGAAGCGGTCCACTCAAGGACGGACGCCATCGCAACTCAACACGACCGAAAGCCAAGCCATGATGTTAGTTTAACGGATGCTAGCGGACACTTCAATCTATTCGATACAAGACCAACCAAGGGTTCTATTAGCAAGAATTCAGAAGCGGAGGCAGAGGCTGCTAAGGAGCGCTACAAATTTGAATCACAGTATACATTACGTCTCGCCAACGCAGAAGGAAATAAGGACTCGAAGAAGCGGCCATGGTACACTGCCACTGACGCAGTTTTTTCATCACACGGAGCTTTAGATGGCTTGGATAGGGACAATTCGGACCAAGAAGAGCAGCGGAAAAGAGCGCGAGCAGATGCTCGAAGGGACCAACAAGATCCACTAGCGAGTATGATGAAGGGCATCCGCGATCTGAGAGATGTTCAAAAGGAGCGGCAAAAATGGGATGCAGAACGGCGGAAGGAAATGGATAGCTTTGAGCCAATTTCAAGGCATCACCTCGAGAGAGAACGAAGAAAGCATGTAAAAGAATTAGACAACTTCAGCTTGGATTCGGCTCCTCCGGATGCGACAACAGCTGAATTTACCCACAAGCGGTCCTGCAGATCCCGATCGCACAATGGTAGCCAAGACCATCATCGGAATTGGCACCGCCATAGTCGTCATCATCATAGGCATCGGCACCACCATGGCGATGAAAGCCACGCTTCTTCCTCAAAAAGACCATCAAGACACGAAGGTGAATCTTCCAGACGGCGATCATGGGACAGGCACGAGAAACATAGGTCTGGAGACAGTTGGCCCAAAGTCAGAGAATAATTGTCAGTACCTAAATATGGTCGGAGATTGAAGATATATATTCAGAACGGAATATACCCCACAAGCTTGATTGTTTTACGGTAGCTCAGAGTAGACATTTTCGAAAATAATTTGCAACTTGGTTTATTGATGATTTTATTGATATAAAAATACCTAATGATAATTCGCCCCAAGCAGAGAGACTATTAAAGGAGAGTGGACCTTTAGGAATCGATATCATCGCCGAGACTGCGGGGTGTTGTTTATGTTTGAGCGGATCGCGGGATTCGATCTTTATCATCACGTGTTGATAAGAATAGGACCCTCGAAATCTTTGCGACAACAAAAACGCCTCATGAACCTCAAGCCTGCTTCCAAATATATTGGAACCAATTTTGAAAAAATTCTTTGAAGTTTAGGGCCAGAATTCTTCCAAATCGAACAAAGAACAAGGCACAATCACGTATTCAGAAGATTATTGAATATTCGCAAGACTTTGACATCAAGCCATGTCCTCACCGCCTTCATCCTCAAGCGAGTCGCACTTTGACCCCCTCGACCTCCGTGGTGAGGAAGGTTGGGAGGATGTCGAGCCGGACAATGAAGAGCAATCGGTTGTCTCCCTCTTCAGCGATGAGGTCTTCCCGGATGTCCGCTCAATGCTCCAGCATTGCCGCGAAAAGTACAATTTTGACTTGGTGAAGGTGCGGAAAGACTTAGGTTGGCATTGCACCCATGAAGCTCTGGCAGTGGCAGAACATTGTTGACATGTTTCAATTGCTAACTGTATTATATAGATCTTGACTTTTACGGTACCATAAAATTGGTCAATTATATCCGCTCGCAGACCAAAGCCGGCAATGTCAACCCTGATGTGTCCTCGAAAAAGGTTTTCGAAGATGATAGGTATATGACACCGATTCTCGAGGATGACGCCGTGCTGTTCGAACTCGACGACATATTAGACGAGCCTACTAGTGAGCAGAGTGCTGGTGCTCAGGCCTCTGGCCTTGAACCAGATGTATCAGGCAAGGAGTTGGATAAGCGTGTAAAAGACCTCGAGGAGGAGCTTGAGAAAGTCACGTCTCAGTTCGACCAATATAAGCTTCTCGTGAAGGATGCGTTAGCAGACCGCTATGATGACAATGATACCAAAGCTTCATTGGAGACTTCTGGTTCTCGTGAGCCTGCCCAGGACAAAGACGCCGGTTATTTCACATCGTATGCATACAACGGTACGTTCGTTTGCTCTTGAGCCCCAGTAACAGCGCTTTCCACCACAGACTCTGACAAAAGTTCTTTCTGGCAGATATTCATGAGACCATGCTCAAGGACACGATTCGTACGGATGCTTACCGCGATTTCATCTATGAAAACAAGGATCTCTTCAAGGGCAAAGTTGTTCTTGATGTCGGATGCGGAACGGGTATCCTTTCGATGTTCTGCGCCAAGGCCGGTGCAAAGAAAGTGATTGCGGTGGATAACTCTGATGTTCTCGACAAAGCAAGACAAAATATCTTCGAGAACGGACTGGGAGATGTCATCACGTAATCACCCTTTAACTACTAAGGATCTTGCAGTTTCTAATGTCTGAAACAGTTGCGTCCGCGGGAAAATCGAAGAAGTTACTCTTCCCGTACCCAAAGTCGACATCATCGTATCCGAGTGGATGGGCTACTGTCTCCTATATGAAGCCATGCTTGACTCCGTCCTCTACGCACGGGATCGGTATCTCGCTCCAGGCGGCTTGAGTAAGTCATGCATTTCCATATTTTCTTCTCATTCAGCTTCCCATCCTTCTTTGTTTCCAGTATTCCTATTGTCTATGTACTCTAGGTCATCACATATCAATCAAAACCAAGAAACACTAATTCATCTCTCCTTCCCTAGTGGTACCTTCCCACATGACGATCCACGTCGCACCTCTCGCCGATCCGGAATACATTGAATCCCACATCTCATTCTGGCACTCTGTGTACGGATTCAGCATGAGCGCAATGTTGGACAAAATCTACGACGAAGTCAAAATTCGCTGCACATTGCCCAAAGAAATCGCATCCGACTCGTCCATTTTCGTCGACCTCCCACTGCATAGCGTTACCACTAAGGATCTCAGCTTCCGCAAGCCCTTTTCCGTCACGCTTTCTAAGGATATCGATGCTCTCGACGGATGGGTCATTTGGTTCGATACCTTCTTCTTGAGATCCCAGGACGCAGTTCCGCCAAAGGGCGCGAGAGCCGAAGCTTGGCCTACAAAGCCTGGCACTATGAACAACCAGGACGGTGTGGCATTTACTACTGGTCCGCATGCAAAGGAGACGCATTGGGCTCAGGGCGTGCTGCTCATCGACCACAACAAAAAACGTAATTCTTCTGCTGGCCCGCTGAAGGAGGGCCAAAAGGTTGCAGGAACAATTAGCTTCCAGAAGCGCGAGGACAACCCGCGAGAATTGGACATTGGTCTTGACTGGGCTACCGAGGGCGCAGAGGAGAAGGGCAGCCAGTTGTGGTTTATGCGGTAAATAGCTGGCCGTTACGGAGTCTTGAAGGCATAACTACTTGGGGAAAAAAAGTTTGGGGGAAATTTTGCTCGGGGTATTTAAAAAAATAATATCTTTAGATGGATCTTAGATATCACGCTCGTCAAAACTTATTTACTCATTCCTCGTCGCGTAAATGTGCAACCCCTCTATCAGAGATGCGGCACACTCAAACTTGCAAGCAAGAGATTGACAATGCTAAAAACACCTTCGCCAAGAATCAGGCCGCTTGCAATGATAACAACAGGGGCGCCGTCATGTCGTTTGACCGAGCGCCAGTACCACTGGAGCAAGCCGCCAATGGTACGAGCAAGCGTGAAGGACGGAACGTTATACATGCCTGTGATTTATCAATCGATCAGTAACATCCTTTTAGCCAGGTGCTGTCTCTCCTTTTTTCTGCCTTGCAAATAGGTCTGAATTTGTAGGAAATGACTCACCAACTGCAACAGCAATTCCGCCAGGAATAAATTTCTGCCAGAACGTTCCGTGACCGGCAATGCGCAAGATGCTTCCTATGCAAAAGACAATTCCGACGCCCACAGCCCATTGCCACGCCATTTCCGGCAAGCCCTGGCCAGTAACCAGCCTAGCTGTAAAGATCCAAACGTATCCAGTTGGAACTTGGAAAAGCTCGCCGGGAACTTCGTAGACACGAATGTACAACTTGTACACGGCCGCGCTGACAATAGCGCCAACAAAACTACCAATGATTTGGCCGTAAAACTGAGCCTTGGGGGCAGCACCAACGAGATGGCCCGTCTTTAGATCCTGCATGAGGTCGCCCGCTTGGAGAGCGCCAGATTCCGAGACCGCACCAGCGAGCAGGTTGATTATGACAGCGTTCTTGTGAGAGCTGGGTACAATCAAAGCGAAAAGTAACTGAGTCAGTTTGCTGATTCCGGAGACGGGGTTCAGGTCGGTCTCGCCAAGGGCGCGGACGCCCATTACGGAGAGGAAGAGCGCGGCGATAACGGCCGTAATGGTTGCATATAAGGGGACGAGACTCCCGAATGTCAGGTGGATCGCAATGATACAAAAGGCGATTGAGACCACGAGACCGATAACAACTACGCGATTGCTGATCAGATGCTCTGGCGGCGCATCGACCTCGGGGAGTTCATCCACAGGTTCGTGCATGCCGGGGTATGACGACGGCGCCCTGGCGGGAATTGGGCGGTGCGTGCCATCTTCGCCGGTCTCGTGGGCAGAGGATTCGCGTCTAAGTGCGTCGGTGGGTTGGCGATTTGCCAGGGCATCAGTTTCAGAATCCCCATTGTTAAGTTGCATATACTTGTAGCCTTTGGTGGGCAGACTGGCTTTGAGGGTGGGAACGAGACCATCTTGTCGGATGCTTTGGTGGATTCCCTTCATAAAGCGGCTGCCGTGAGTGACCACTGGCCGAAGAGCAAGCCACCCTAGACTGATGATGGAGTCGACAAGCATGATGGAAAGGCTGACCCAAACGATCCAGCCTTTACTGCCGGTCTCCCAGTCGGCTACGGGACCAGGAGCCCAACCTTTCTTCTTCGCGAGGGGCGACAGGAATCCCCAGCCGATAATAGCCCCCAAAAGCATGTAGATAGTGGTAGCAGGACCCATAATGATTCCCTGACCAATATATGCTGGAGAAGGATTCAGGGACCACAGCCAGTTGGCCGCCATGGGACCCCCCAGAATTGGTACGTCGCGCACTTGAGGCACAAAATAAGAAAACAGGGTCTAAGGGCCAGAGCAGAGATTAGTGGATATTGCGCAATTGAGAGGCATCTCGTTTATCAACTCACATATAGAGCGGATATAGTAAAGGATATCACGAGGAGCTTGACTTTGGCTTTCCAATCGTTTTGTTCTCGAATATATGCTTCATCTTCGCCAACGGCTTGCGAGCCCGCAACCTGCTGAGAAATCTCGGGAGGAGTCACTTCGTTGACCATGGCAGAATTCTCGTGAGCATAATGAGCCTCAACATGTCTGGGTGCGGAGGTTTCCCGATTATCTTCCCCGTCACCACCACCCGCATGGAGGACTTTGATCATCAACGCCGTCGCGGTTCCGCTGGGAAATTTGAGCTTCTCGCGGATAATTACCTGCTGCCGCAGGGGGACCGCGAAGACGACCCCAAAAAAGCAAATTCCCAGCGACCAGAGAATGAGTTTCCACGTACTTAGATTTAATGGTCCATTTTCTTCTCGCGTTAGCAGGAAATTGAGAGCTGGAATGACGCCGACGAAGCCGCATCCTAACGGCATAGTTCCGACTGAACCAGCAACCGTCTGTACCAGTACATTTTCCACTGGCGTAAAAGGGAAGCGAATATATCGAGACAACGCTTTAAAGTAGGCAAACCCGATAAGCGCCGACGGCATCGACATGGAACTGACCCATCCCGTTTGGAGGCCAAAGTAGGTATTTGAAAAGCAAATAACTATGCCAATGACCAAGCCAACGAAGATGCCCCGAAGAGTGAAATTCTGGCCCTCTGCTGCGTGTTTGGCAAGATATCGCCGAGTTTCGCTGCGACGCCGGCCTCGCTCCGTTCGTCGCTCCGTATCGACAATCTCTGTCTCGTCCGCTTGCATGCCTTCAGGCGCATACGGCACCTTTGAGGAGATGGCAAAGTCCTCTGGCGTTTGCGCTTCAGCTAGGTGCGGCGCATCACCTCTGTCCGGAGCCATCTTTGCTCCGATAGTTATTCTATGACGCAATTAGTGAGCTAGGATATAGACATTTCGTGCGGTCGAGCGAAAGACAATGACTGAATCAAATCAAGTCTCAATCCAGGTTGCACTTACTCGGAGGACCGCTATTCGCAGCGTGGGTCTGCAGCTCCACGTTTACTGCGGCCAAAGATAAAGGTGACGGGCATGACAAGCAAAGGGCGGGAGATATGTAAGTTAAGTTGGTTCGACTAAGTTATAAAGGATGCTTAACTAATGAGTTATAGCTGATTCTTGCGGGATTGCTTACCGACGGTAACCAGCGCCGCACAGTAATTATTTTCTTATCGGGGGACCAGTTTAATGATTGATAAGCAGCCGGTACCTGTTCCGGTTCAACTTTGCAGGGCAGCCTTACTCTCTTTGTTAAACTGATCCGCTCAAACTGTCGGTCCATTGTTTATCTGATCCGAGATCTCCAAGTAGGTATGGTGGAGAGGGAAAAACAACCCACAACAGCAACTTCATCGCGTTAACAGAGAGGCGTCTTCCCAATTCCCCGCCTTTCAAGCTCCTCTTTCTTCAACCCAACTCCCCCTCCGATTTTTCTGAGATAGATATGGCTCAAATAGACATCAATCGCAATTTCTAATATACTTATAGCCTGACCTTTGTGCAGTTTTGAATCTTCGACTGACTAAGCGGGGAAGCGATACGATTCCCAATATGGTAATTGCCCTGGCTCACATGAGAAATGGCAACCGGAGAAGGGTCCAATGTCATTGTTCGACTTATCATCAGATGCAAGTGATGTTAGCTTTGCACTCGTTTCTTCACGGCGCAAGCGACCTGGCCATTACATGAACGGAGAAGAGGGAAGAAACTAGTCTTCGGCATCCTTTTCGCGTTATACTACCTTGGTCACGAGTGTTACATCTGTTCGTTGATCTTAGTTGTGAAGCTCGTGATGGAAAATTTAATGATGTGATTCATTTCGCCACTGCCTCATCAAAGCGCTCCTTTTTTGAGGGCCTAGTCTTGAATAGGGTTTTCCTTGAACTCCTATCACGCCCACTAACTTTGAATGATTCGAGATCTGTTTCGTTCCAGATTCGGAGCTCTGAAACAGGCGAGACGAACTTGAAGAATTCTTGGGCTCTGCATCGCCATTATGGCAGAACCAAACCATCCTCCTCAGGACCATTCCGCGCCTGCCGTGACTGAGCAGATAGGATGGGATCAGCCTCAAACGCAGTTCGCGGATACTTCTCAGCCACAAGGTCGCCAACGTCTCATTCTTGCTTGTCTTTCGTGCCGGCGTCGCAAGGTGCGCTGTGATCATGGTTACCCCACCTGTGCTGCCTGCCGCCGCGGCAATCATGTCTGCCAATATCCAACATCCAGAACTCCAGGTCAAGGAATACCAAATACGCCTCCGACGCGCGTAATGAAGCCGCCGCCTGTTACAAACCTACAGCACGCAAGTCAAGCCGAGGTTAATGTGAGACTCGAGAGGTTGGAGCGACTACTTGAGACAACTCTGCAGTATATAGCGCCACAACCTACACCACTGGACAGCCTGGGAGGCGAACCTGAGCTTGCACCATCCTCGGTCAGCAATGTTGAGAATATCGGTAGTACAGTGGGAGGGAATGAGGGATCTGCCGGCAGACAATTATACTATGATGGCAGGGACGGCGCTCTCATTTTGGAAAATGGTCAATCGCACTTTGTCTCTGCTCGTCACTGGGCTTTGCTTGCAGGTGAAGTAAGATTCCATCATTGAACGATATCCAACATCAGCCAGTTATACTGATATCATTGGTAGATCCAAGACATCAAAGGTTTATTAGGGGGACAAACAGAGGGTGTCGATGCTATTGACGTCTCTAATAATGGAGAGAGCATTGCTGACTCCTCAGCACATCAATATGGGCATGATTCTCTGTCCTCAAGCTTTCCGATATTCGGGACCGATGGCGTGTACGAAGACCTTACGCCTTGGGTTCCCAACTCACGAGAAGACTGCTACTTGCTGCTAGGGATATTTCTTGCAAACGTCGATCCAATGTTGCGGCTCATACACAAGCCTACGTTTACGCGGAAATTTGATGCATTTGTCAAGGGTCTTTCGCGGCAGCCTCGCCGTTCATCTCACGGCCATACGCCCGATGATCGAGGAAAGGGGTTGACGGGCTGTGATCCGTTCGAGCCACTCGTTCTGGCTGTGTTCTTCGCGGCAGTAAACAGCATGAAGACCCAAGAAGTTTTTGAAAAGTTCAGTATCGAGAAAGGAGTCCTGCTTGAAAAGTTTAAACAAGGAACGGAGCTGGCTCTGAAGCGGGAGAAACTTTTGACGACTCGGTCGATTGAAGTATTACAAGCCTTTGTCATCCTGTTGGTGAGTCGGTCCCGATACATTTTTAATTGTAGCATTCTAACCTATAGCCAGACTAGTCAATGCCGTGAAGATGATATGAATGCCATTTGGCCTCTCAGTGGGTTGGCTATCAGAATAGCGCTTTCTCAGGGGCTGCACAGGGACCCGGTGCTATTCAATTCAAATTCTCTAGACGCGATTCAGGTTGAACTTCGTCGTAGACTGTGGCATCAAATATGCCAGCTTGACTACCGTTCGGCGGAAGGCACAGGCCAGGAGCCCACCATTTCAGACGATGATTTCGACACCTTGTTCCCAGCAAACATCAACGATGACGACCTGACTGAGGGTGCAAGCCCGTCCACCTTGACGCAGAACTCGGAGCGCTTTACTGATATGACCATTTATCTCGTTCGCTTAACCGGTGCTCATTGCTTCCGGAAGCTGATGCAGAGCACAAAATGGCTAGAAAGGGACTCTAGAGCTTTCCGGAACGCAGAAACCTCTGATCCTCACTCACTTCTGGAGCAGCAAACATTGTTTGAGAATATGCGCAAAATGGTGGGCGAACTACTCGAAAATGTTCAGCGGCTTTATTTGAGACATTGTGATCCACGGGTCCTCATGCAAAAGATGACCCTCGGCTACGCGAACTTGCTGGAATGGAAATTCTGGATTATATTCTGGTTGAGGCTACCAGCGGCGTATCGTGAGGCGACCATCTCCTTGGACGTAAGGACAACGTGAGTTCCAATTTTCCCTTTCAAAGAGGCTACCTAGATTCTAACTTTTGGTAGTATGTTTACCAAATCACTAAATCTCATGGGAAGCCTCGTGGAAGCCTCGTCAAATAAAGATTGTGAACCGTTTCAGTGGCATATCAGGTCACATTCGGCATTTCAAGCCATACTCTACGCTCTCTCGGAGCTTCGTAGTCCCAGTTTCCAAGGCCCAGAGCAAGCAGCCCTGCGTGCTCGTGGCATCCGAACTCTCAAGGCAATGAAGGAAGTAAAAGGCAGCAACTCTGGTACAGCTTGGACTGTGGTCAAGCGGCTGATTGACACCTTACCAAATCAAAATCTTCCGTACCTTCCCAATAGAGGAGAGAGTATGTCTCAGCGCAGCTTTGCGAATGAGAATGGTATGACCTTTCCGTTGCGCGATTCTTTGCTATGCTCATCAACCCCGCCTATGAGTCTTGGCACGCTGGATCCGCCATCAAGGTTAAGTCATGTGGATGGGGCGGATCAAGAATGGGATCTCTCAATGGCAAATATTGGATTTGAGGAACTATCTACCGCTAGTGATCTGGTAGGTTCAATCCTCTGTCAAATATTAATTTTGGATGGTGCATTTCTCTGATCAAAGTTAGGGTCTCTGGGGTTTCAACATTCCTTCCCCATATGGCTTTGATCCAGCCGGCCTGTAACAGCCATGATAGGTGCCCAACACTGTTTGTGACTGATTAACGGGGCCATCTCCGCTAGCGTTCAGGTCAGCTCGTGTTCAAGGTCGCTGTAACATAGTGTCAGGGGAGGTGTTCGGCGGCCGATTTATTATCCGACAAAAATCAGCCGCAACAAACCGCAGACTCAGCTCCTCTAACAGCCATTGCGGGAGCAACTATATCTTTGTGACTTAAATTATCGTTCCCTCTAACCTGGACTTGCCATCGATATCTGCTTAAAGCCGCGAAAACCATTTTTGGCACGGCTTTTCTTTCATTCATTTCGATCCCTCTATTTCTTCCAATAAACAAAAATGGCGCCCTCGATGACAGCGAATTACCCTTACTCACAAATCTCAGAGTTCTCTAAAACTATCGCAACTTCATCAGATCTCGATCCAAATTTTGGTGGCGGTGTCTCATTCAAACCTTCAAGCTGCGGTGGCATTACAACTGCCCGAAAACCATGGCAAATTTTACAAGATGCACTTGGATTTCGTAACGAAGATGAGCATTTCTGGTGGGAGACAACTGCATCGGTGCTGGGATGTCTTCTTGAAAAAGCTGGTTATGATGTTCATCTCCAATATCAGTACCTTTCTCTCTATTACCGATACGTCCTGCCGTCCTACGGCCCGCGTCCTTTACAACCGGGAGTGCCACACTGGAAGAGCTTCATGTGTGATGACTTTTCACCATTTGAGCCCAGCTGGAACTGGGATGGATCCAAGTCCATTATCAGATTTAGCTTTGAGCCCATCAACAGGGCGTCGGGCACATCTGCCGATCCTTTCAATCAAATCAAGCCGCGAGAGGTTCTGGCTGAGATTTCTGATATATCGGCAGGGCTCGATACACAGTGGTACGATCACTTTGCAAGGGAATTTTTCTTGCCTTCCGAGACTGCCAGCATTATCCGCTCCAGGCTTCCTGAAGGCGAGCACATGTCGCAAAGCTTTCTCGCATGGGACCTAAATGGAGGTGAAGCTTCGACAAAAGCTTACTTCTTTCCTATCCTAAGATCGCTTGAGACTGGCCGCTCCACTCGCGACATCGTCGTGGACGCAATAACGAAGCTTGACAGCGAGAAGACTTCTTTGCGGCCTTCACTCACCGTGCTGGAAGACTACATGTCGTCGTTGCCGACCGAGTGGCAAGCCAAGTACGAGATGATTGCTATTGACTGCACCGATCCAAGCAAGTCCCGCATTAAAATCTACGTGCGCATGCCATCCATGGCATTCAACAAGGTCCGGGACATGTACTGCCTCGGGGGCCGCCTGCATGGTCCCAACGTTGATGCCGCCATGAAAATCCTCGACGACCTCTGGCCTCGCGTTCTCTACATTCCTGAAGGCACTGGTCCTGATGACGAACTCCCTAGCAATACTCACCGCACCGCTGGCGCGATTTTCAACTTTGAGCTCAAACCAGGAAATCCGTTGCCCGACCCGAAACTCTATCTTCCAGTACGCCACTATGCCAAGAGCGATCTCGATATCGCACGTGGTCTGCAGTCCTTCTTTCGCCTTCAAGGCTGGGATGAGATGGCGGACTCGTACGTTGAAGATCTGAAGAACATCTTGTAAGTAATATCCTTACACCTACGTTGATGATACCTTTCTCTTCTTCAGTCCGTTCTTTGCCTCTCTCTCTCTATGTTCCCATTCTTTGCGGGTCTCACGAGCTAATTAATACTTCTAGTCCTACTCATGACCTGGCCAATACGGCCGGCTCCCACACTTACCTTTCTTATTCATACAAGAAGAAAACCGGCGCGGCCGTTACAATGTACTACAACCCACGAATCTACGAGTGTCCGCCTGTAGTTGATGAAGTATTTTAAATGTTGGTGAAAAGGTTGTGGAGAGATGCGATGAGGCCTTTTCTCAGCCCCCATTTCTTTCTTACATTCTGATGTTGTTTTCTTTATAGGAAAGCATTTACATAGAATGTATCGACACGAATCAATTTGAAGATAGGCGAATCTTTCCCTTTTCTTTGTAATTTTTCTTAGTCAGCTTTTCTCTTATTAAGGCTGAAGATTAACCTTTGTCAAATTTATCAATCCTTAAGTGGCATTTATCTTAGCAGGCGAATTACTCATCGAATTTACTTGACCCTCGCTTCAATCCCATTGTAATTCTCGTCTTATCACTTCATATATTGTATGAATGCCATTTGAGGGTTAGCTGCGTCAGTATTAGATGGGAACTGGAATGAATTGAACGGCCGCTCCAAGTAGCTCATTTACACCTTGTTATATCCTGGCATCACATATCTGAGCGAAAATATATGCATTAACCGCCCGTGTATGTCACATGAAAAATTTGGACGCAATAAGAGGGTGGACGTTTTGTTCCCAAAGCTTGCATGATTGAAGAGGCCTAATAATTAGAGAATTTTAATAATTTAAAATAGGCGCTCAAATTAAAACTACTGTCTATCTGCATTGTAAAACTTTTTTTTTGGTTGCAGAATGCTAGAATCGGATATTGACATAGAGGGGAGGATTTTGGGTTTCGGGGGTAAGTGTGAAGCGAGACGGGAAAGGCCAGGCCAGAATCAATATGGTTCCTGTACATTCATGGAGCCAAGGAAAGAGACAGGGGCTTGTGTTATCAATGATAATGACATGTGCGATAAGTGCGCTGGAGCGGGAACGTGTAGGAGTTGGAAAAGAAAAGAAGTTTAAAATGTAAAGACCTGGGCGCAATGCCACAATGGAGAATATGGGAAGCAAAGACACGAAACCCTTGTCGTGGTCAGGCAGGAATAAAATCAAACCTTCGCCGTGAGACGGAACCCTCCCTTGAGCACTCGAGCAACGCCAACAAGGAATCCTCCAAGGCACATGACAACACCGGCGAATATCATCAACCCTATAAATTTGTCTCCTTCTCGATCCTTGATGGCTCCTTCAATTGGCAAACCAGTCAGAGAGCCGAGAGCAATGGCCAAGCAGAAGCCGCCGAGTTTGACGCCAATTTCTTCAACGCGTCCTTCTGCGAGAGAGACAACACAAGGAGGCCCTAGGCTGACAAAGCCTCCACTGACGAAACCGTAAAAGGCAGCAAATACAATAATGCCGGCATTCGAAGGGTGCAGTTCTAGCGGAAGCCAGAAAGCAATGAGAGATGCGCCGGACAAAATGGATACAACAAACATCATGTTGAATTGACCGATGCGGTCAGACATCCACCCGGGGAGGATTCGGCCAAAGAAAGACCCAGCGCTATAAAGAAACGACTAATTAGTCTTAATGCCTCGGAAGATAATAGAGATCACGGGAAAGTTGCTCACTTGGTTATTGAGATGGTATATTGTGCCAGGGCCATTGACATTCCTTTCTGGGCTGCCATTAGGGGAAGGTAATTGAGAGGAGCAAACAGACCCCATCTGAGAATTACAATCAATTGTCAGTCTTGTCTTCGGTTGGCCAAAATAGATGATGAAAGAAACCTACATAACGAAAAAACAGCCCAGTGTAAATGCGGCCCAAGGAAGACTCTTGAAACCTTTAAGTCCCGCACTCTCCTTCTTCTGAAAGCCCTTTGGCGGAAATGGAGAGCTGCATGCGAGATTGGCAAGAAGTAAACAGATGCCAACAAGTAAACCAGTCCAGCGGACGGCAGCAGGAAACCCGTGCCTTGCAATTAGTCTCGGGACCATGATGGGGAAGATGATCCCGCCTTTGTTTCAAATTAGAGAAGGACATAGCCATGAAAAAGCAGTCGAAGTAGAACTTACCAAAGCTGCTACCGGCTGAGACAATACCGACCGCCAAACCCTTCTTAGTCGAAAACCACTGCGATACGAGTACCATGGCCGGCATTGAAACCCCAGAAGTACCGAACCCGAAAGCAACCCCCTGCGCGAGCATGACCTGCCAGTAATTTTTGCAAAGGCTGAGCATGAATATGGCAAAGACGCAGAGTGTTGAGAAGGGGATAAGGATCGGCCTAGGGCCAATGGCGTCAATGAGCATCCCTACCACCGGCCCGAAGAAGAATAGCAAAAAGATCTGAAGAGTAGTGATCCAGGCCAGAGACGAGGATGACTTATAGCTGAGCATCTCTTCAGCGTAATAGAATTGGAAGATTCCGCATCTAAAACGGCTTGTCAGATTGATTCGATGACATGTGATAATTCCGACTTACGCGTTGACATAACCAAAGGAGGCAAATTGAAGTAGAAAAGACCCGGCAACGCATAGCCATGCCTTGAATCCTCCATCAGGTGGGATGTATGTGTTGGGCTCTTCTTTTTCCATCGCCTTTTCGTCGCCGAAAGTACGTGTCGCCGGGTCATGGGCTGCCTTATTCTCGGTCAAAGAAGGTCTATTAGGTTCTTGAGAGGAGAGCGACTCGCTCCTCTCGCCAAGGGAGGAGTCTCTCATCACGAAAGATGTTAGGAAGCTTCAGACGTAGAGATAGTTGATTGATGGTAGGAGAGAAAACAAGGAATAAAAGGAAATATTTTCCGACGGATAGTCTAGCTGCGTAGGCAGAGGTTGATAGAGTAAAGAAATTTAATTTAAGTCAAGAATGAAAGGAGACATTCGAAAAACATATATTTTGCTTTTTTTAACGGGTCTCTGGTGCTGTTGACTCTTTACTATTTTCAAAGAGCTAAGGGATGTATCATCACGCCTCGGTGGCCTCGGCATCGGGGTGGAGCTCGGCCAAAAGGCATGTACAACGGGCCTTTGTCTTCCTCCCGTGAATGTGAATCCCTATCCCGTTCAGGTATGCCATCGTGTTCTACCGACTATAGAACCAATTTTGATGAGCACCGGTGTGATCTTTGCTATACTTGCCAGAGCAAACAAGCAACTGACCAGCGGACTTTGGGGTCGTCCGGGGGAGAGCCGTGGACTACCGAATAGGGTCTTTTGGCGAGAAACGGGCCCGGACGACTAAGCAAGCCGAAGCGCCCGTTGCCAGGGGCTTACTAGAAGGGGATTAGCTCCGGGATCTAGGCACGGACCTCGTGCGAGCTCGCACGAGCTCGTACGAACTGCTCCGTTGTCACTCTTTGGGAGTAGCAGCGAGCAGACAACAACTTGACATGAAATGGATTTGCTGCCAAGAAATCAAGTGGAATTTCCCGTACGCATACAAAAGCCCAAGTTAAAGTTACGAATGGATCCTTTCTGGCTTTCAGCTTTTAGTTTCCTCGTTGGCTCCGCTGGCCAAATTTCGACGGCGCTCGACGGCCCTTTTGTCCTCCCCCATTTCGCTTTCTCCTGCACGGATACTTGTCGGTTGGCTGCCAGCACGTCTGCTACAGTAAACGCTCACAGGCTCGGTGAAAGACGTTTGACCCACCTGAAACTCACGGAAAAAAAGCCAAAAATATTACTAAATCAGCCTTGTTACCATCACCTAACCTTGTTCGTCCATGGCACGAAAGGCCCTAAAATAACGCCAACTTATGTTTCTCCGCTCACTGCAACACTACCCCGACAAGACCCCACCCTCGTTCGCGACCTTACGCATGTATGGAACGTCCAACGCACTATGATGACAGACCTTGCATTCAATGCGGCTGTTTCCAGGGCTGATGCCAAAGACATCGGTGCCAGCTGACGTGAGGTGTCTTGAAATTTGACGAAAGTTGATTCATATCCAAAGCGTCCCACTACTATATGCGTGAGCAATTGGAAAGGCCCGGCTAAGATCGCTCGGTGCCGTTCCACTCTTCTGCGGCTGTAAGGAAAAGGATCGCTTCAAGGGTACGAGTGGATACGACCGGCCGTTACCCATGAGCTTCGATCCGTTGGTCCGCCATGGAAATGGATTTGGTGCTTCTGGATGAATGAGATTATTCATATTAGCAAACCACCTACTGGATCCGTGTCCCTCGTGCATATGCACCCAAGCTCTCGGGTCGAAGCCAAGGGTTGCGCCATGAACACGTGAGCCGTCCACCTTGGTGATCTTTGGCCGATACGAGTCGAACAGTGGGAGATACTTGGCATGCACGAGTACGTTGATTTGGCATTTCCCCGCATCATGATCGTCCTGGGAATTAGGACCTGGACCTGCCAAGACCGATGCCTTCTTTCTGCCACATGAAAGGTCAATGTCGAGCTAAAGCGCTGATCACGACAAAACGGGGACCTAAGGCATCAGCCTAAAGAGTCTGCAGAGAATCATTCTGCGTGATTAGAACCGTGGGCTGAACTAGAAGCAAGGTGTGATATCCGGGCTTCGGCAGCGGCCCGCCTTCCGCTCTCAGCCCTCGCTCAAAGCAGTCCAGTCCAGCAAAGGACTCGTCTCGGATATTGCAGTCGAACCACGGTTTCGTGCGAGGACAGTGTCCCTTCAACCCTGTGCTGGTTGCTGATTGCTTTAAAGAACGAACCAGCACTATCACATTCCTTCCGTTAGTGGAGTCTCCACGCGCTTTTGAGCACCAAACGCGGCCAATGGAATGTCTAGCTGTTGTCAATTTCAAGAAGGACGCTTGTGAGTTGCAAATTCCATACGTAAGCTCCACCACCTTTTTCCTCCTCCCTGCTCACCCCTCGTCAGCCCACGTGGGGCTAATGGAGAGGCTATTGTTGGCGGGTTCCAGTGTTGGTTGTTTGTCCTCTAAGGGGCCGTCCTATGCTGTACCTGAAGTCGCATCATCGCACCCCGAACCCTAGTTGCGGCTGAGAAACGATAATCACACCTTTTTCCCAAATTGTAACATCACGAAGCGGCATTGAGCATCTGGGATGTACATGGCTTACTCCAGGGCCATGAGGAGGCGGTGCCTGCGGGGGCAATGGCTTTCTGCCCGCTGTTCGACTCCCTGACTATCCATCCCAACCGGTTTATTAGTTCCGGACAATCCTCGGCATTTTAGTCTTCAAAGGATAGCCTTGCTTGAAGTTCTGCAAAGAATATCCAAAACCCAGACTATTCCGCCTTGCGAAGCTTCATGATGGTCCAGCCCAGAATGGAAACCGGCCAAGCAAAGCAAAAGCTTCGTCTGGCCTGTGACAATTGCCATCAAGCCAAAGTGAGGTGCTCCGGTGAGAGGACCTGCCACCGCTGCTTGGAGAGAGACCTGGATTGTCGTTACAGCTTAGCAACGCGAGCAGGGAAACCAAAAGGTAGCAGAAATCGAAAGACTCTAGAACGCCTGAGTAGGATGCGGGAAAAGTTAGAACGTGCTCAGAAAGAGCACACAGATGTAATTCAAGATGCACCTCGCTCACTCAGTGGCTCTAACACTTCGTCCGTCACGCCCTATGAAGCATCATGGTCTCCTGGCAGCAGTTGTCACACCGAACTGAATGGAGTTGTTGATATCGACTTGAATGCTTTCTGGTATGGTCCTGATGACTTGCCCTCATTTGGTTTATTATCCGAGACTGGCAATTCCTGCACTATGGATACGGTCGATTCATTTGTAAGTGTCTAGGCGACCTATGATGACTCCTCCTCTGCAGTTGTTGATTAGTCGCTCAAATTATAAGCCAGACTATACTGACAACTTCGTATTCAGGATCCCGTACACAAAATGTCCTCCAAAATTGTAGGCCAATTTTCCACCACCTGCAAGAATGGAGATGAAAGCTTTAGCGCGGCCATATCGGGCCCGGCGGGTTTCCATTCCAACCTTGATCCGTCTCTTTTGCTAGATTCTGCAAAGCCGCCAAATCATCTTGACGTGGCTACGTTTACGGAAGTGTCAGCCAATGACAATGTTCAAGAAAATTCGCATCTGCTTTCATCGACCGTATCAACGGAAATGCTACTCAAAGAGGCTGGTGATACCAACAAATCTCTGCAAACTCCAAATTTATGTAGTCGGTGTGAGTGCATCGAAAATCAAGTGAAAGTGGTCGACCGCTTGTTCCGACTTGGACTGTCATCAGAAAAACAGCGCTTGGATCTTGGTTTAGAGTGTACGACATCCGCGCTTTCGACTTGTCGAACATTTCTCGTCTGTGAGAAATGTGAGAAGGACTCCATTAGCACTCTCCTCGCTCTTTCTGCGATTAGACTTGTCTTTCGTTGCTTTGAGAGTCTCTTTGCCCATAATTTCTCCGCACAAACAGCTTCGGACCCGATGCCATTAAAATTAGGAGACTATCAAGTTTCACAAGAAGAAGGGAAAGTCGTCAAGACGGTTCTCATTCGGCAGGTTCTTCTGCGTGGAGGTGATACCCTCGCAAGCTTCCGTCAATTGCTGGATCGGAACGTCGAAGCTAGTGCAGGCAGTGTTCGAGGATCTGAGCCAGACGGATTGGTGTATGAAGGAAAAGCAAGAAGCTATCCCACTCCCCCTGCCGTGGCATTTTCTCAAGAGGAGGATCTTCTCGGTCATAGTCTAGCCTACCCACTGGCTGCGAGCTCTCCAAATTCCTCGAACCTGGGAAGCCTCAGCAGATTTGATGTACGCTATCTCCAACACGAGATTAAACAGCTCGAGGGAGTTCTCGAAGGTTACATCCAAGACATATCAGACTGCTCCTCAAGATAGAGAATCTTAAAGAATTCAAGTTTCCAATATATGAGGCAAATTGGTCCTTGCTTGCTATAAAAGAATGACAAGGCTTTAGAAAAAGTTATTAGTATACGCGCATTCGAAGAAATAAAACACAGATGCCGTATGTACGCCAGATTCACTGATCAGTGCCCTTTGTGGTCGGCGGAGAAGAAAATTGGCGACGGTCAGCATACCATATTTTATGGGTTCAACATTTGTTGCACAAAATGATGAGCAATTGATCAATGTCAGGCCATGGAGATGTTCCGATACTCTTCGTGAGGTTCGAAGAGAAGAGTGTTGGCACATTGGCGCACTGAAGCAAGTCGACGCTCTTTTGGCGTTTTCAGTCTACTCTTGACTCGATGCTGCCTAGGATGGTAGTAAATCTTGCTAGAGAGAAGGATGCGTCAAAACAAGTGTACGAAAGAAGGAGGGATGAATATCGTCAATTGGGGGGCGGGGCCGGGTCCGGATGCTTATATCTGCCACGCAGCGATTAGCGGGGTAATGCACGTTGATAATGCTCGAGAGCATTATTAGCCTGAAGAGGCTGACGGAGCCATCACTTCCTGATAGCTGATGGATAAGTTACTGCGAGGTGTAAGGCGATCAATATCAGATCGTCCCCACGTCAAAGAATTGAATACAGAAGCACTGCGTACCTTAAGTTAATTGCACTTAGCAAATCATTACTAATTTCCTTGCTTATCTGTCAGAGGGCCAGAACAAGGAAAGATTGGCCTTTTCCAATGCGATCGGATCCACCTACAACACAGGGCATCACACACAGTCAATTATTTCTAATCCGCAACCTATCAACGGCTCAAATTCGTCCGAGCTTGGCAAAGGAAGGTTTTTATAGCTGAAGTTTACTTATAATGAGAGCTACATTTTAATAATCAAACTTGTTGACATTGATCGTGATAAGCCAAGGTGGGTGAAACTGTTCATGATTCTGCCATGGGGCGCAGATCCATAATGTGGGTGAGACAGCCTCTGGGAAAGATCAAGCTGTGAATCTTCCACCCGCTTCGCTGGGCCAGAAGGGCATAGTCATCTAACGTTCGTTCCTTGGTCTTGCATCGCGTAAGCATCCGAATGTCCCCGTACCGCCCCATGCGACCCATGCGCCCTTCAACCAGGACTGCCTCCATGACAAGGACGCGACTGACGCCTGGTTTTTCAACTAGAGCACGTCGAAGCTTTTGTAGGAGCATCACACATTCGTCGTCGGACCAGTTATGGAGCACCCATTTAAGTAGGTAAGCTGGATGAGAAGGAACGTCTACCTGGAAAAAGTCGCCGCCATGAACTCCGACCAAGCGAGTCGAGACGGTGGGCTCGGCCGCGTCGAATCGCTTCTGGATCAACTCCACTGTCTGGGGAAGCTCAAACGCGGCTGCGGTAGCCTGGGGGAATCGATGCAGGTAGGACCATACAAAATCTCCCGCTCCCGCGCCGACATCGCACAGAGTCTCTTTGCCAAGCTCCTGCCAAGGGTAATCTGCCAGCAGCCCGGGCGCTTCAGCGATGCTGGCAGTACCAATGGCCTTGTGGAAACGCGCCGTCCGACCTGTCTCGGCCAAATATTGGTAAATTGGCTTATCCGTCTTGTAATACAATTCGGCCGCGGTGCGCTTTTCATCGGCCTTGACCTGCTCGGGAAGGTACTTGATCAAGTCGTAATACTCATCTGGATAAAAAGTGATCCAATTGTGCCATTGCGCCCAGTGGTCCCGGCGCAAAAGATTCGAGACCATGTTGTTCGAGTACCTGCCCGTGGCGGTGTCGTAGTTGAAGTACCCCATATTGAGAAGATAGCGCATGAGTTGAACGACCGCATCGGCATGGAGATGAGCTTCCTCTGCAATTTCAGCAGTAGTGAGTGGCTTCTCATTGACAATGTCGGCGATTTTGTACTCGGCGGCGCAAAGCAGCACTTTACTGTTGGTGAACGCTATTATATCTACTGTCAGAAAGCGAAATCCTTTATGGTTTTAATGCGAGTCCCCGCCGCGATTTTGGTGGTTCCCTATGATGCCGTAAGGCAAATTGCAAAACTTACCAAAACAATCATCCATGAGCGTCAAATGGGGCGGCGTTAATTTCTTCTGGACTTTATCCAAGATTTGTATAGTCTCTTCAATCTTCTTGTTCAGCGGACCTGAGGCGCGAATTTCGTCCTTGTCCAAGGTGAGCACCGATTCGGTCTCTTTCGCCAATGGCTCTTCAAGAAGAGCGGCCGCATCTTTGGCGGATGCAAGCAGACGTCCGATTGTGGCATCCAAATTCTGATACGTCATGATGGAATACGGCTCAATCAAAATTACCTATAGAGGAGAATGGCGCGCCAAGAAGCCGAAAGTCGCAGACGTTTTGATGATTGAAAAGACGAGATCTTAGGGAAGGGCTTCTGGAAAAGCGTGTGCGGAATGGTCAGCAGCTGCGGATTTTGCTTGATTATCTATCAATTCGTCTTCCAGCATGTCTGGATGGAAAAAATATCTGGCTTGCAAGGGACAGCGCAAGCATAGCTTCTGATACCGAAAATTTCGGCGTGCGAAGCCGCGGCGGTGTTGGAAAACTTATGCGCCGAAGCTGAAATCACTCATGCAGGCGCCTCCGAAGCTGAGAAGCGTGGATCAACACCAATGCTTGAGCTTCATATTAATTTGGCCATGGGCGATTTGTTCAATCTTCTTTGGTTTTGTCTAGAGCACCTTTTGAAGATTGATAGTTCGGCTGGAAATTGCACGAGCAGCAAGAGCAGGTGTCATGTCTCCGTTCTCGGCGAATAGTGAGGGCGTTGTCGAGCCGCACATTCAACCAAAAGGACAAACTCACCAGTACAACACGTTGATAGACCTTTTTCATCATAGCGTCACAACGAACCCGAGAGGTATTGCTCTTGATGACTGGACCAAAGAGCCTCCATCTCGGAAGCAATTGACATATGGCGAACTCGATGTGGCGTCAACCAACCTATGCCAGCATTTACGAGAGCGTGGGGTTGGACCAGGCAGCATCATTCCAATTTTATCCACGCGGTGTTTTGGAATGGCCATTGCAACCCTGGCAGTTTTGAAAGCGCGCGCATGTTACGTCCCAGTCGATTTGAGTTCATGGGCAAAAGATCGCATCGAAAAGACCTTGTCAATTGTAGACTTCCAGATCCTTATATCGACTGATGAGAGCTCACTGGACGTATACCCAGAATGTGGTGTTTTACTCGAGCCCAATTCGACTACCTTTGCCATGAAAAGCTTGGGTGAAGAAACTGTTGATCATTCTTCATGTCTCCAGCCACTTTGGGGAAATGGCACCGACTTGGCGTACATTATCTTCACGTCAGGCACAACTGGGACTCCAAAAGGCGTTATGGTTTCTCAAGAGTCGATCACGGCATATGTGCAAGAAGGCAGCCCCGGACCGCCTTTTAATCTCGACGTTGACATCTCGAGCAGAGTACTTCTTATATGCTCTATTGCTTTTGACGGTAGGGAGCTGCCGTACTCATTTCCGTCTAGGCTTGGCTGCTAACATTGGACCACAGCTTGTGTTGCCATTATGTTTAGTACTCTTTGCAACGGGGGTACACTGGTCTTAGCAGATCCACCTACCTTGGCGGCGGCTTCGGATGCGTGCTCCATCTTAATTTTAACGCCTAGCATACTTGCAACGCTCAATCCTGCGAATAAGTACCAGTCAGTACGAGCTATCTTTTTGGGTGGTGAGAGCCCAACCTCAACTTTGGTTTCTGCATGGGCGAGCGCGAATAGACGGATTTATAATGGATATGGCCCAACGGAAGCGACCTGTGGTGCACTCATGGCGGAGTTAAAGCCCGATCATCCCATCACGGTTGGGAAACCAATCTCATTCGCCGACATTAGACTCATTGATCCATCAACTTTAGAAGAATCGGAAGAAGGCGAATTGTATATTGGAGGCATAGGAGTTGCGGTAGGTTACTACCGCAACCCGGAGCTCACAGGAAAGTCGTTCGTCACTCGCAATGGAACTCGGTATTACAAGACTGGAGACTACGCCAAAACAACTCCGGAAGGCATCGTTCTCTGCGGAAGACGAGACTATTTCGTTAAAAATCGTGGATTTTTAATCAATCTCGAAGGCGACGTCGAACCGGCCATGGCCAGTTTCCCCGGGGTCCAAGCTGCCATTGCTCTACAATATAAGGGACGCCTTCATGGATTCGTGACTCCTGCAAAAGCTAAAATGCATTTGAGGGAGTATCTCGGGCAACATTTCAGCAATTTTCTGATTCCCGACGTCTTTCACGGCATGGATTCATTCCCTAATACATCTAATGGAAAAGTAGACCGTCGAGCACTTCTCGCATTACTAGAAGAGGCAAATCATGCTCTAGAGCCCCTCGACTTTAACGAGACCCTTACACCGCGGGATGCGGTGCGAAGAGCATTTTCAGGAGCCCTTGGGGTTCCGGAAAAGCAAATCTTTGATTCTTCCTCTTTTATTGACTTAGGCGGTCATTCTCTGGCAGCAGTCATGGTTGTTTCCAACCTTCAGAAACTTTCATATTCAGTTGAGGTGTCACGCGTTCTTCAACTGGACAATGTTGCAACTTTGGCCTTATCATTGAAACCATTTGACACTACAGCTGGCGCGGATTCCGATTGGCTTTATGAAGCTTCCTACAATTTCAAGCAAGGCATTGAGCCTTCGCTGCTGAAAGACGTGGAAGTGGAGACAGTGGCTCCCATGACAGATATCCAGACCCGAATGATTAGAGCATCAATTGAAAATCCGGGTCACAACTTTATAAAAGCGGCAATGACATTTGAACACGATGTGGAGAGCATATCCGAAACCTTACGGTATATCTGGACAAATGCGCTTCAACCCCATAGCATTTTCCGTACCTCTTTCCTGCTATCGTCCGGAAAAGGTGTACAAATAGTGCACAAAAGTTTTACAATGAGGTGGGAAGAAATTGAGGTGTCTGAAGATGACTGGCCGGTATCATGCAAAGAGTCAGAGTCGCTAGAGGCTGCTCACTCGAAAGTCTTCAATGAGCAAGATATATTGACCCTGTTCCATTTCAAATTACTCGTCGTGCGTCACCGAAAAACAAGACTCATTTGGACAATACATCACAGTCTCATTGACGGATACTCTGTCGCCGGAGTATTCTCTGGGGTACGTGCGGTAGCCAATGGGGAGAACTTGTCGGAGGTGCCGCATTTCGCTGAGGCAGCCTTTCATTTGCAACACATAGAGCATCAAATGGCAGAAGCAGCAGAAAGGTTTTGGGCTGACACGCTGAAGGTGAGTACTGTGGACGTTTCCAATTCATCTCATCGTGGCACCGCCCTCTCAGAAATTTTGAAGCATATGCTCACTGAATCTGCAGGATTTCAGTGCGGATTGCCGATTGAGAATTTCACCGCCAGCAAATTCTCAGGCATCGAGCCAGGGAGGTCAGAAATTTACACTACGCGCAACGCTGTCTGGACTTGATCAATGCGCTCGAAAGCATCGAGTAACTGCTGCAACCATCTTATACGCTGCTTGGGGCACTCTCCTGTCGCGTTATACGAGGTCAGAGCGAGTGACTTTTGGAGCGGTTCTCTCTGGAAGAAACCTTCCCATACCATTAATAGACCAAATCGTGGGACCCTTTATCAATACGTTACCGTTCCCTATTCATGTAGACGATGAAATATCGATCTATGATATTCTTCACCAAACATTCGAAACGCTTTGTGGAATGTTTGATCACCAATGGTCCTCTAACAGTCTAATCCAAAAAGCGACAGGGACTAGAGGCACTGACTTTTTCGAGACGGTATTCGCACTTCAATTTGATCTACCCAGCACACTTGGCGATTGGACACAATTACGGGCACCAATTGCCTTAACATTTGAAGAAAGTACAGAAGCGCCGTTAACTGTCCTAGTGGAAGAGGCTAGCGGAAACATTGTCCTCAGGTGTCTGTACAAGCGCTCCTACTTCAGTGCGGGAATCATGAAGCAAATGATGTCACAGTTTGACACCATATTGGAGACCTTCATGCGATCAGATCCAGACGATTTTCTGGGAGAGGTGTCTTCGGATATTGTGGACAGGTCATACCTTGCAACGCATTTCAATGGCATTGACCGCAGTAACGAACCCTATAACGGACCAAGAACGCTCAAAGCAGCTTTCAGCCGCTCTGTCAATGCACACTTTTATCTTCCCGCAGTAGAGTGGAGGGCATCAATACTCTCATATGGAGAACTCGACGAACGAACGAATGCCTTAGCTTCCTCGCTGGCGCCTCACATCGCCGCTGGCGACATAGTTTGCATATTGAGCGATGGATCTATAGAATGGCTTTGTGCAATCTTAGCAGTAATCAAACTTGGTGCAGCATACTGCCCGATTGATCAAAGCCTCCCTCAGGAGCGGCAAAAACTGATAGTGTCCGCCTCTAAGTGTGCTTGCATTATTTATCCGAGCGATTCATTCGAAGATACTTGCAAGTCGTTTGAAGGCAAGGCATGTTTTAACGTGCAGTCGTGCTTGCTAGATGCAGAAAACGAAAGGGATTTCTCAGAACGGGAATCTTCTCCTGAAGACCGCGTTTGTTTGATCTTTACCTCCGGTAGCACTGGCGTTCCCAAAGGCATGTCAAGTAGGGGCAGTCCTGCATTTCAGACACTGACTAACAAAAGGTTTCAGGTGTTCAGCTGCAAAACATTGGAATTCTGTCATTACTCGATCATGAGCCAGCTCGGTTACACTCCAAACCCGGTCAAAGAAATGCTCAACTCCTTTCTCTTGGTTCGTATTCGATCCACATTTGCCTAAACCATGTGAACTAACGAGAAGACCGATTTTTGCAGGGTTTGACTGCTGTGTGAATGAAATATTTTCTACCTTATGTTTCGGAGCTACACTTGTACTGAAAGATCTCCGCGATCCGCTTGCTCATTTAACTCAGGTTGATGCAACTATGGCCACTCCATCACTTCTCTCTGTGTTGGACCCACTCCATTATACCAACTTGAAGATTGTATGCTTAGTCAAGTCTTTTCTGGTGGAAGGTTTCTTCTGCTAATTTACGCAGGTCACCCTAGCTGGAGAAGCCGTCCCTCAGAGTCTGGTAGATAGATGGGGCCATGGAAGAGTTCTGCAGAATGGCTATGGACCAGCAGAAGTAATTATCAATGCTTCAAAAGGATTTAACAATAACACATGCTGACCAGCCCTCAAGTGTACTCTCTTGTGTCTAGTCGGCGAGCTGAAACCTGGTCAAAAGGTATCTATTGGGCGACCTGTGCCTCGATCAGTCTGCTACATTCTAGATCAGCGGCTACGACTCGTCCCCATTGGTGTAAGCGGCGAGGTTTTTATATCCGGAGTCCAGGTAACGCCTGGATACTTTGATTCCAATGAACCTTCTGGAAAGAACTTCCTGCCAGATCCATGGCACGATGGCTGGCAAATGTATCGAACTGGAGACATTGGACGATGGCTAGAGACCGGAGAGGTTGAGTACGTCGGCAGAGAAGATAACCAGATCAAGCTTCGAGGGTACAGGATAGACCTTGGTGACATCGAAGCTAATGTATGCGCCATTTTGCCGGATATTCGAAGCACCGCGGCGCTCATTATTGACGGCAATTTGGTAATCTTCGTATCTGCAGAGGGTCTTGACACTTTTAGCGCTCAAAGGCGACTTCAAGAGATTCTTCCTCACTTTTGTCGGCCATTTCGGGTCATAGCCTTGGAACAGTTTCCAACTTCTTCGAATCAGAAGATTGACCGAAAAGCTCTCAGTATGCTTCCCGCCAGCCGCATTGCCCCCGTTGATCCTATAGAGACCGAGACGGAACGGGTCGTATCTGAGGTGTGGAAACAGGTTTTGGGAAAGACCAGTTCATTCGAGATAGGAGCGCAGGATAATTTCTTCGATCTGGGGGGACACTCGCTCCTGCAAATCCAACTTGCTAAGAAGCTCTCAGATGCGTTTGGCGTGCACATATCCCTTAGGGATATCATTCAGCATCAGATCCTCCGAGACCTATGCAAGGATCTTGACGTGATCATATCGAAGGAGTCCGGTTCTAAACCAATGTCATTCTTGTCCAGCTCTCCCGTTGAGAAGGCGGAGTTAATGCCCTTGTCTTATCTGGAGAAAGATCTTTTTACTGAAATTATGGGCGTAAAAGAGACTACAGCGTTTAATATGCCGTTCGTTGCGCACATCAAGGGAAATATTGATATTTGTGTTCTCAGCCAGGCCGTCAAAGAGGTTCTTCTTTGCAACTCTATACTGCGGGCAAGATATACGTTAGTTGATGGATTGCCCTGTCGTTCGATCGCATCCAGAGTACAAAATCCGACTATCATCTCTGGCAAGCATCCGAGCAATTTCATTCAGCAAGAGATTGACAGGCCTTTCAGCCTGGCAGAGGAAAGTCCGGTTCGAGTTTGCTTGCTTTCAGACCGTCCTTCTTCCAGTTTGCTTGTTATCACAATGGCTCATATTATCGGAGATGCCACCTCGCTTGGGATATTTCTCAGACAGATCTCAAAACAGTATTCACATTTAGTCGGCTGCAATGGTTTATTCGACTCGTCCACAGCAGATAACTTGCGGTCAGACCAACAGGCGCTAAATTACCAAGATTGGGCCTGCTGGGCAAGGGACCAATTGCCTAATCCTTCATCAGAGCAATTCTGGAGAAGTTATCTGGCAGACTTGCCTCCTCCTCTTGGTCTTGTAACCCATGAAAGACCCCGCAAGTATCGCGGAATGTCCCGCAGGTGGAGTTTACGTCCATCCCTCTCTAGGCAACTCAAGCAGTTTGCTTCTGAAGCCGGAGTAACACAGCATCAGCTCATGCTTGCCGTGATTGCCCTTGTCGTACGGAATCATTGGACGGGAAAGAACGACGTCATTCTCGGAGCTCCTTTCGCCGATCGCATTGAACCCGGCACTGAAGAGATGCTTGGCCTCTTCCTCGATCGAGTGCCAATTCGCGTCAAGACAGACATAGGTCATAATGCATCGGCCTTTACTCTACTCGATCAAACGAGAGAGAGTAGTCAAGCTGCCATTGCCAACTTCATGCCTTTCCATCATATTCGCAGGCTCCTCGACGATTATGCTACAGCATCAGACTCTGCTTCTCTCATCGAGGTCATGGTGACGTACCATACTGTCGATGAGGCGGTTGATGAGGCGCTGCAATTTCCGGATGTCAGCATTGAGCGCATCCACGCACATGCGCGGGGTTCGAAATTTCCTTTGATGTTTGAGTTTACAGAGTCCAACTCTGAGATTGCCATCGATATCGAGTATGATATGGATTCACTCGGAGACGACAAGATGGATGCAATCGAATCCACACTCGCGGTAGTATTAGAGCTGGTCGCACAAAGGAAGAAGATGGGTGAAATTTTTTCTGTTTTGAGTATCGCTCAAAGTGTCTAGTTTTGCTTGCCTTTATTAGAAGTCATGAAAATCATGGCCCCACTGATGTTGTAAATTCCTGTAGTATCCAGGAAGACTTGGTAGATGTTTGCGATAGATATCCGTCACGAGATAGCAAAATTGTTAGATAGATTGCCTGGGCATTTAATTTTTATGTTGCGAAGATGATGCGACTGTGGCTTATCAAGACATTTTTGTTTCCATTCCCGCAGATATCCCTTCCCCTGAAAGTAACCATACGCTGTGGACTATGAATCAAACTCCCTATATATAAGGTTCCTCAACCTTTCTGACCCAGTACTCTCTGGCGGCTGAATTGGAGAGACCTCGAGGTCCCGTATTCGTGGCGCAATCGGTCAGGAATTTGTCGTTTGTGGTGTTGAAACGAGATCGGAACGCGAAAAGGGTATGTAACGTATTAATGACCTCCCAGGCTACATGGTCGTGATTTCATGTACGCATTTTCACCAAATTTCACTACAAGAATAGCATCCTCTCGATGCGGACTGGAACTCCAGCATCAGCAGTATGCCCATGGCAGAAATTCATACAATGTCCTTTAATTTTTTTTTTGTATTCTTCCTCTTTGCCAATGACAGAAAGGCCTGCACCTTTGTGTAGTACCCGGCGAAACCTGCGAATGGCGTTGCAATCCAGACCTACTCCGTAAGCCGTCAGCTCGACCCCTGACCCCTTTGTATCTTGCCAAACCTTCAGCCCCGGGCCTTATCCGCCGACGACCTCATGCGCCGGAGCCGTGGGTCATAAGCAGAACATACAAACCTACCTACACAAGAGCAATAATTCGCCGATGCTGACCATGACACAGTTTTGCGGCGTTCGAAGGACTATTCGTATAAATGGTTTTTTTTGTGATACCCGCCGGCGGGGCAACGTGCGCTAATGATGAAACGCCTTTTGTTGCATTGATTTAATTCTCGTCCAGCCATTTCTCTTGCTGTGCGCATTGTTTTGCTTTGTAAAGTCTACGTCCTCGACATCTCTTCTCGTCTTTAATTCTGTTTCTTTGTTGAATATTTCTACATTGAGCTTTTGCTCCGTTTATACATTTTGGAACCTGCTTCCAAGAAGCTTGATCATTCACGTATAAAATCGTGTATGAGAGAGGAAAAATTAAAGAAGTAAAAGAAGTTTTGGGGAAATATAAAAGAAGAATCTCCCAGAGATTCCCAATTCCAATTCTCCTCGGTTTAGATCTCGCTCGAAACGCCGTGGAGATGCAAGACATGACTCCAGAACCTGCCATGCATATTAGGCTATGGCCTATTGCGGTATTGGTGATTGCTACATCATTACTCTTCCGGAAAGCCTCTGTGGAGTTCTTCATCAGCGTATGTCTCACAGCTGTCTGTTTAATTTAACCTCTTTGCTATCCATTTTCCATTCCCTTTCCCAAGTCCCTCAAATCCGAACAAGGAAAATGTGAAGAAGAACCCGGGCAGTCTAAAATTTCACGCAATGAATTCAACACTTGCTAACAAGATGGCTGCTTGAACTCTGCATATGTAGGCCTTTCTCAAACTCCTATACAAAATCCGCGCAGCAGAAGGAGGGAGTCTTCTTGATGGCCCGAATTACTCTTGGCCAAACGGGCAGATGGTGGAAAAGTTTCTTCAAGCAAGAACAAAGTCATGGGAATGGGAGAAGAAGTACGGCAAAATCTACCGTATTTGGGCGGGGACTGTTCCTGAAGTGTGAGTTAATGGATTGACTAATATTTTTGCCCGTTCCCCCTTTCCATTTTTTCCACTTCGTTCCTCCTTACTTATACATACTCAACCGCATCCTTTCCATACTTACTTTCGATATTTAACTTTCTAACAATGAAATTCACAATGCAGTGTCATTACGGATCCAAAGGATGTGCAGACATTTTATCTTGACTCCTCCGACCATGGAAAATCTGACAAAGCTAATGCTGGATGGCTCCTATCTCTAATCATGGGATCAGGTGCAGGTCTGATTAACGGAGACTCATGGGTCCGTTTACGCAAGTCATTGGATCCGATGTTTTCGCACCGCCGAGCGCTCAGTCTACTACAGGGTTTCATCATTTCGTCCAAGGACTACGTGAATAACATTGATACCTACAGGCTGAGGTCTCAGCCAAAGTCCAATGGTGCGGCAGCGGAGCTTACTATGACCAACCAGGTTGCTGGTGCTGAAAAGAAGGAGAAGCAAGATGAGAAGGAGGACGGTGCGTTCATCGTCAATGCTGTCCAAGCACTGCAACGCTACCCTTTCTTTGAAACTGCTCGGATCTTCTTTGGAAACATGAATGCCGCGGAGACAGACCGGCTTTGGGAACTGTCCAAACTATATGGACGAGCTTTTCAGCACGTCATTGCCGGCGGACTCAATCGCACAAAACTTACAAAGTGGGCCAGGACGAAAAGCTACCGCGAGACAATCGAGTACCAGAAGCAATGGGACGAGTACTGCGAGCAATTGTACGAGACCAGAATCCGGGATGGTCGGCATCATACTCCGCTAGTCCAGTTAAAGCAAGCTGCTAGTAAGGGAGAAATTACCAATCGAGAGGTGAAGCACCGGATTATGCTGGCTCCGACCCCAATCCACCATTCTATACTATTTTGTACCAGACTTGCTAACATTTCGATCAATACGATTTCAGATCTACCATACCATAGCAGAATCGCTATTTGCCAATCTAGATGTAACGACGCATGTTCTTGCCTCTGCAATCATCTTGCTCGCCGACAATGCAAAAGTGCAAGCCAGCCTACGGAGCGAATTCCAAAAAGAATGCGCCAGCGAGAACGACCTAGAAGCGTACGTGAGCAGGAAAGATACGCTGCTTCATTACTGTCTGCTAGAATCGCTGCGGTTGCAGCCGGTGCTTCGTAAGTTTTTTGTGTGACCCTTAATGGCTCTATATCTTGCATGTTATTTGTCTTTCAACTTGGTACTTTTCTCCATTGTAACCATCTTTATCTCACGCTTCTTGTGGGGGAAAGAGAAAACGAAGCCAAAGCCAAGACTCAGCCCAACACGAGGATAGGTTGCTGATGCAGTTTCTTCCCCTTGCGCAGCATTCACGTTCCCAGAGTATGCGGGTCAGGACAAGGTTCTTTCAGGATACGTAATACCAAAAAATGTAAGTCTTGCTATTTCGATTTATTTCCATTCATACCGCACTACTCTCTCCTCACTTCCCCCGTCAATCCTTTCTTCCAATTCCTGTCCATTTATTTCTTCTCTCTTGTGCGGCATGCTAAATCCAGCGTCTGCTGTAAATAACTTTACATTTGGCATGTTGCTTCATCTTCAGGCCCACGTCATGACTGGCAATTGAACACCATGAGCCACAAGACAAACCTCACACTGACACCCCTTTTTCTTCTGTTCAGACCACTGTCATTATTGACGCATATGCAATCAACGTTCGAAACCCCTTCTGGGGTTCCAATAGCGGGGAATATCAACCATCGAGATTTGCGAATATCCCGGTGAATTCTGTAAGTCGTTCAATTGGCCCAAAAGTTTCTACCGGCCCTCTTCGCCCATTGCCCACCTTTCCTTATCCCAAAATTGTCCCATTACAAAATGATAAAACGAAAAGAAAAGTCAAGATATTAATAATAAAAATTTCCCGAAATGGCAAATATATGCAAAGAGTACGAACGGCTAACTGATCACTTCCCGAAATTGAAAAGCTTCGCTACAATCTCTCCTTATTCGGCTATGGACCTCGCAAATGTCTAGGTCAACATATTACTGATAAAATGTTGAGGACGTTTATCTACTTCCTCTTCACGAAATACAGAGTTTCAGTCCTTCCGAATCAGATTATTGACGGTGCATTCAAAGTTGATAAGAGCAGCTGGGTCGGCTTGTTTGACGTGGAACTTTCCCTTGAAAAGAGATAAGGGTCTAATTGTTTTTAACGCTGAGGTGATGCAAGAAAAAACCAACCGATGATAAACTGCGAAACCTTTTTTCTTACTTGTTCTCGAGATAATTTGTCCTATTATGCCTTTGGAAGCATGTCAAATCAAATTCGTTTCAACCTCTCCGCCAACTCCGTATAGCATGTATGAGCTAGTGGAACTGAATGGATTACACCAAAAATAAAGTAGATTGACCGGTCAAAGATCTACAAATCCCAAGGTGGCTAAAGATTGATATAAATCCCAGGGCTATCAAGTCTAAATCAGGCTCATCTCCGGTGGGTTTATAAAGCCAGATTCTGTGATAAATGTTGCAACGCACTCTATTCAGATGCATGAAATCTAGAAGACATAATTTGGATTTCATCTTTCCACTCATCAATATCCCTCTCCCATTGTGTCATTGCAGCTCCTGAACTGTCTGAAAGTCGAAATGACAGCATTGCACACACACGTGGCGCGCAAGAGCCGTGGACCAGGCATCCCTTTCTAGAGAAAGGCCGTTCCAAGATTCTTTCCTTGTTTGTTTTCCTTTTCTTCTATCACCACCACCGCAAGGTATTCACCGAAGGTCTTGGGTCTGTCGAGCTGGGTACACACAATAACCTTGATTCATATGTCATTGCTAACACAGCTATGTCCATTCAGAATCAAGATGAGCCTTATCTCACAGTGTGATTCTCCTGATTCTCCTTTTCCTGTTGGCGGAAGAAAAAAAAACGGCCGTACCTCATAGTACAAAGGCATGTTAATATCCGAACGCCTCTCACCAAACGCGGCTATGATTTATCGGACCTAAACAGTCATATATTGAAATTGAAACACCACAAGAAAAATTGCTTGGGTAGTCTCAACATATAATAATCGAAATTTGGCAGGAATCAAAGCGTTTAAAAGCCAAAGTTATCCAGCAACGAGCTAGTACTTGGCTCCTGGAAGCCTGCTGAATGTTTCACTCCAACTGGTGGTGGCGCCGTTTCTGACCAGGAGGATGTGGGGAGATCAGACAGGATTAGGGAGGTCCGCCGCTGGAACTTCGGTAAAGTGCTAATCTGATCAAGAGGATGGATTCCTGCTTTAGGTGGCGGCAAGAATTCCCAGTTCCTGACTGCTGTCTGATTAGAACTGTGCAAAATTTCACCGTCAATATATTCAGCTTACCCAAATCTAAAGCAAGCAAGTCACAGCCCATTCGATCATAGAGGCGAGCGGTGTGAATGACAAAATTCCATTCGTCCGTTGGTAGATTCTTTGATGCGCCATGTAATGTTTGCAACGTCTTCGAGCGCAATTGCCTATACAAGACAATTAAAGCAGGATCATCCACCAGGAAAGATTTCGCATGAAGGTTTGGCGATTGTTGGGTCTCAAGCAATGTATATACTGGCGACTGCGTCCAGTGAGCAAACAGCACTTCTACCATTGCTTGATATAGACTTACTATCAATGCGCGCACTGCGAGGTCGCGGCGTTTGAGCATCCAAAATGCCCATGTTGCCAACCATCGATCCCCTTCTTTTGCAGCTAGGGGAAGAGCCGTGTGTGTAAGGATCTCATGCAAAACGGGGCCATTGTCTCCCTCGTAGACTCGGACTATAGCTATTGCCAATTGAATGTCTTTAAGCTGATTAATGCAGACAAGCGCAGCATCTTTTAGATTTCCCGCAAGCAAGAAGAATGCAGCAGCATATTCTTGATTATCGTTAACCATAATTCATTCGTGCGACAGCAGAAATTGATATCTGAGACTTACGGAAACGTCGTTTTCCAAGTAATGCAAATGCATTCTTCAGCGCAGCAGTTCTCCATCGAGAATCCTGAAAATTGTTTGATAGAAGTTTTTGGGTTGCGGCTTGTTCTTTATTCCAGCTTGCCATTCGCCAAAGTCCCACAAGGACGTTCTTCTTTCGAAGAGCGATATAGTACAAGCTGCAGTCGATCGGATTCTTTTCGTCCGTTTTTGTATATTCATTGCGAGCAATGATTTCAAATTGAGCTCTCTGTGCGCTGCGTCAGAAGCTGTCTTTGAGTTTGGCGCATAAATAAGATGCACCTACCAAAGCTTGCAAATCCGTCATCCACATAAATACTCCACTGTCTCTGGCTTGCTCCCAGAGCATTTTCCCGAGGAAATGTCGCGAGACAAGATCCACTAAGATATCCTGGCTGCCACTGTGAAATGCCCATGTAATTTCCCGCCATGAAATAGTCGAATCGTTAAGACTATATTCGTTCAAAGCCGCTCGCCCTCGTCTGAGGAAGTGCTGGCGGAAAAAAAGCAAGAATCTTGTTGCATTGTCGTCCATTGAGCGACGGTGCTTTTCCGCCGTGGCGACGCATTCAACAATATCAGCAAGGTGAAATTGCTCCCAATTGGAGAGCTGTGGTATTTCAACGGTTGTCAATCTCTCATTGAGAGAAGCTGCCATCTCATCAGTGAAGGTCTCCGAGTCATCGGTAGAACTAAGCTCTTCATATGATAGGTCCTTTCGTGCCTTCGTCGGGCCCTTTTTTCGATGGTAAGCATGCGCATGTGAGTAAGGCATACACACTTACCTTGTTGTTTTCCAAATGGTTGGACAAGGATACGCCCAACAGGCTGTCAAGTTCATCGCCGGCCGTGAAGTACTTAAGTGCTTCATTCAATTCAAGGAGAATTTTTCTCACCAGAGCGGACTTTCCACAAAGTATGCACTGTGATAAAAATTGAGGATGAAAAACGGGTAGCGGCCCATTAAGATAAGCCACTATATCAAAAATCTCCCTCGAAAGCCGCTGCTTGCGTGAGACTCCTAGGCCGCTGATTTTACTAGCACTTATTTCAAGCTTTTTGTCGCACACCAGAAGCTGATTGCCGGATCCGATTACTAGATTGCCTCCCCCAAGCCAGGTCGAATCTCCAATAGGATGCGATGTTACTCGGCTGATATCTATTTCTCTGACAGTTGTCCAAGCCGCTTGAGCGCCAAAGTAATCAAAGCGTAGTTGCGAAAGCAGGTGGACCTTGTGTGGAAAGCCGACAGCCAAGATCGACTGCCCGTCAGGAGTCGAAGTCCAATCTAGATCTTGTACGTAATCTGGAGCTTCAAACTTTTTTTCATATTCGAGTTGAGCGCCGCGCATGTCCCATATAGTCAGTCGAAAGCCGTCTGAGTCTACCAAGGCCGTTTTTCGGATTGATGTTGCGCTCGCAAGTGATGGTTCACTAATACCGGTCTCCACGGCGGATGTGAGTAGCCATTGAACCTCTCTTAAATGTGTATCGACCTTTGCCGTCCATGACCGTAAAACGCCACTCTTTGTGTAGGATATAGCTACGTCTCTAGCAAAAGTATCGAGGAAACCGGATATCAAGTAGTCTGAACCTGCTGGATCAACGGGTAGCACAAATGCCAAGTCATCTTTCATACCCAAGTCAAATCTGAAAAATTCTTGTAAAGTAGGTTTAGTCCCATTGGAAAGTGACCGGCGATTTTCCCCATGACCGGGTAGATTTACTTCCCACGCTATGCCTTTCATCGTAGAGGTAATAGTTGCGACATATGCTGTCTCCCTCGAAGCCTCCGTCCCGGGAAGTGCAATGAGACACAACGGCTTTCCGGATACGGTGTACTCGACACTCGCTGCTTTACTCGCTGTTGCGGACCGCGCATCATACACCGAAATGCTAGTATGGTGTAAAAAGACCAGGAATTGGCCGTCATTCAACAGGCAGGTTCGATGAATATGCTCTGGCATATTTATTTTGCTTTGCCGAGAAATATTTGTGCCAAACCGAGTTGATATCTGTTTCCACACTATAACTTCATTATCGTCTGTCCTGGAAACGACGGCATTTCCGGCCGCAGTTCGAACAACCTTTTTGATTGCCCCACTATGACCAGACCAGGCAAGCCGAGGAGTGAGTCGCTTCTGGCGAGGCAAAGCGTCGAAAAACTCGTCCACTTGAGCTTCGAGCCATTCAATTCGGCCATCGAAGTGGTGCACTAAAAACGTAAAGGACTTATTGTGTTGAGGGTCGCAGAAATATTCAAATTGGGCGTAGCTATCATCAGAAGAGACATCCCTAAAGCCCCAGTCTAGGCCGTGAACATGTGCGACATTAAAGACCTTCGTCTTCACATGGGTTTTATAACCACTGTCTTCAACAGCCCAAGCAGAAAGGTTGCCATATTTATCAAGTACCACAACAATGTCCGGCGACCTGGCGGCAATCTCCACGAGATGCTCCAATGATTCCGCATTTGCACTTGGCTCATTTTTCGCACGCTCAATCGCCCATGCGAAATCTTGACTGTTGATAATGAAAGCGTATCGCTGGGTGGGTCGGGTATCAAATTGATGGGAAGCTAAACGCGGTTGAATGCACTCAAGCAGATCAATTTCAGCGGACAGTTGAAGGAATTGTAGGCCGTACGTGTCAGTTCCGTGCCAAATTCTGAGCTTATTGTCCGTGCAAATAGTATACAATACGTTCACTTTGTGCTCTTGGCGGGATGAGCATTGCCACTGGATCGCAGTTACCGCCGATGGATGAGATAGGTAGGTATAATCGAATCGGGTATCCGTAGGATCGAAAGATTGTCTTCTCCAGACTTTTACAAGTCGGTCGTAGGTGCTGATGGAGACGATTAGGCCAGCGTCAGGAGAAAACAGTGCGCATTTGACATTGTTTGCCAAGGCTCTGCTCCAAAGAAGTCTTCCTCCTTCACTGATAGACCAGAGTTGAAGAACGGAGCCTCCAACAAGCAACTCCCCAGGAATGCCCCATGAGAGGCTCAAAGAAGGCCTGTCCCTCTCTTTTTCAGCAGTTTGAGTCTCATTAAGCAAACAGCGCTTAGACCACTGGATTTTTCAGCTTCTTTCTGATATATCAGTACCTAATCAGCTGACCTTTGGTTGTTCGGTGTTATCATCAATTGGAGAATATATCTGAACTCTCCGCCCAGCACTCACGGCTATTGCACCCGTGGCTTCATCCAGTGCCACCGCATCGAGGAGGCAATTAGCGTCATGGTATATTGTCTGTAGAATCTCTCCGGTGCCGTTAAATATGACGAGGGAAGAGCCGGATACAAATGCCTGTAGCTTCTGTTAGGGAGTCGGCCGTGGGAAAGGACACCAAGACGTCATACAACAAGCCGGATATCTTTCCAACATCCAGTAGACAGAGCCTGCGGTCGTCGCCGTGGCTCTCCCGGCTGCACGGTCCACATCAATATCGGGCAAAGACAGAATCCGCTTCAGAACATTGCAGAATCATCCAGTCTGTGCCCTTTTATGGTCCCTCTGAAATAATGTAGTCTACCGGCGCACATGAGCTACATTTGGAGAAGCTCACAGGTCCGAGCATACTTGGTACCGAGATACGTAGCTTAGCTTTGGCTATGGTGTAGAGAGCACTACAGAGACACTTGATGCGAATATACTACGTAGTATAGAGCGAGGGGAGCAGGTGGAGGAGGAAAGTGCCGAGGGCTTGGTGGAAATAGTCATTGCGCGCCCCTACGTAGTACAGACAAGAGACCTCTCAAATCGAGTAAGGTACTTATGGACGAGGCCCCAAGTTCTGGAAGTGCCTCGTGCGTACGAGGGTACAAGAATCTTACCGCGCTATGACCGGAACAAGTAAAAATTCTGTAGAAATGTAACTTATATCAACAATAACAGCTATTGAGTAGATATTTCTGTCAAAGTCTGAAAACTCAACTGAGTAGGCATTTTAATCAAAAGAAACCTACTTGACCATCTCCTTCGCAGCAAAGATATATACTATTTCTAGTCTCGAATCTACAAGAATTGACCAATTGATTTGAAAACAGACCAAAAGTTATTTAAACTTCCTCGTAACTTATGTGTATATTTACTTAAAGAATCAGTGTGCCTGATTTCAAGCAAAAAAATAACAAGTGCACTCGTAGTTTGGGATATAACTTCTATATGATCACATTTTTTTTATGGGTTCCCGACGTGCTCACGCCGCTTGGGGGTTACGTTTGCCCTTAACTGGGCATCTCTCTTGATGCTGTATCAGACACTTTTCCCCTGCCCAAAACGTACTGTGCTAGGGGGCGCAACTTCATCTGTTAGGGGCTTTGAGGTGATAATACCCCAACCTGAATGATTCAACTTTTACGCGAGATATTATATAAAATGGAATAGAGAAATGATATTAAGAACATATTTGTTTTACAGATCAAAGGTATAATATCAACAATCGAGTGTCTTTCTTTTCAAGATTAAGCCCTACTTCGGGGTCATCCTTCGTTACCGTAGCGAAATTTCCTTAGAATTAGTTTTCTAGTGAAACACAAACAAGGAAAATTCATCTCACTTGATAAACAAGTAAATCAGTCGACATTTGGTTTCAAGAAAATTCATCAAATTTAGATGAAAGCTATGATCTTAAACATGATAAGCTTTGGTAAGGTTCTCAAAATGGGCAGATATTGCTGACCCCGAATGCGGTGGACAGCCCATGTTCATTTGTCGCAGCACTCGTAAGGCCGCAACACAAGCTTAATGGAAATATCAAAGATGGGGAAAAAATATTATCAGATCGATACTGATTGGTCGTTATTATTCTAATGCTTTGATTTCGAAACACGATTTCTGTTTCTTGGCTTGGTGCTGATGAATAAAAGGATAGAGTTGTGACAATAGTAGGCAAAGAAAGCATACACAGCGTCCAATACTATTGTCTGCTACTGATAGACACAAAGATATGTAAAATGCTCTTAAAGGCGGAAATTAGCAGCCAAAAGTCAAGTCACTTTATTCGAGATAATGAATGTCCTGATGGCCAAAGAGACTAGTTCAATGGGTGAGAAGGCATCACAACAGGACATCTCGAACAAGTGTCGCAGCAACATATATCAAAAAAGAAGAAGAAGAAGAATAAGAAAGAAAAAAAAAAGAAGGGGAAAAACGATATGCCAGAATCAATGTAGACCCATTTCCGGGGGGGTATCTTAAAGCCAATAACCAATGTCATGTTCAAGCAATGCTTCGAACTCCCCAAAATCATAACCCTTGTTTTTTTAAAAAAGAAAAAAGAAAAGAAAAAAATAGCGGGAAGAAAAAGAAACGAACGAAAATTATACACGAAATGGGAAAAGAATCATGGGCTCGAACAGCTGGCAGCCCAGATATGTCACTCAATAGTAATCGGCCTATCATTTGAGGTCTCCTCATCTCCAGCTAGATTACTTTCGGCGAGGATTCTCTCATCTAACGGTTCGCCACGAAGGGCCGATTGGGATTTCAGCCGTTGGGGAAAAGGCGTGCTTCTTGGTATCAGAGGCGTCGAGGCTGTTTGAGCCAATATTTTGGCTCGGGCAACACGTTTCGAAGGCGTGGTCAAGTAACCAGGTAAGGGAGTAATTGCGGAAATCTCATTAGCATCAGTGCCAAACTCGCCGAAGTCATAGCGGTCGATTAGTCGTGAAACGGTCCATCTACTGCTTTTCCAAGGCTTTCTCGAGCTCTTGCGGTTGCCATTCGGGGTTTTTGGCTGCTCGGCGCCTGGTTCCCGTTGAGACACTCGACCAGCATATGTTTCTGCCCAATAACGCAAAATGTTTCGAGAATGTCGGCGCTGATTGCGTTCTCGCAAGGAGTTAGCAGTTTCATGCCACCGTATGAATTCGAACACTCGCAAACTAAGCTTCCGAAGTAACCCCGCTGCAATAATTGATGTGTGCAGAGTGTCGAAATACTCTGCCTGTTGAACTTGCTGGGCCATCTGGTGGCTCCGCTGCACCCAGTGCTCGAGATTACGACGAAGGAGGTAATCCGTGATCGTTGAGTCCGCTCGTTGGACCAAGGACGCCTGATGTTCTGTCCTCTCTTTCCAGATGGCCAAGATGTGTATCCCAGAGCTTTCGACGCGTTTATGATGATATTTTTCGCTCGAAACATACATATTGCACAAGATAAAACAGCGTTGACGCCATGCAGAGAAAACCTTTGCAGCTAACCTCAACTTCAGCTTGCGTCTGATATACGAGTACGCCTCCCGACGCTTCCGTTTTCTAGCGTTGGCGAGAGCGTTTTCCCATCTTTTCAAAGAATGGACACTGAAAACATAAAACGCAGAAGCTACTGCCCAGCTGTCTATCAGCTTGAGGTGGTCGAGTTTTGAAGACCAAATTTGGAGGACAGCTTTGGAAATACGGGAAGCAGAGAGGCTCAATGTAACTAGTTCTCTCTGTCGGTGCATCTGAAGCTTAAGACGCCAGTGATCCAATGAAGACCTGAGGCTTCTCCTGTTCCGTGCAGATTGGAAAGCCATTTCTTTCTCATGGACCCTGGCGCGAAGAATCGTTTGTTTATGAAAAAGTCGATTATGAGTCTGCATCTTGAGCCGCCAATTTGTATACCTTTGCTGGAGCTTGCAGCGCCCGGCCAGAACCCATTTGTAGAGCGCTTGGAGAAGAAGTCGATCATCCGTACGAGCAGCAAGAGCTTTACAACGAAGATTGTCGTTCCAAACGGTCCAAGCGCTTTGAAGAATGCGTAGACGGTTGACTTTCGAAGCATCTGTTTCCATACGCCATTTCTTTACCCAAAGGCGGAAAACCTTGTTTAAAGTCTGGCAGGTAAGAGATCTAGTATACACCTCAGCAAGTGGCCTCAGTTTTGTGATTAGAGCCCAATCGCTCAGAGATTGCTTCATCAGTCGCTGGTCCTTGAAGTCATGCGCTTTGTGATGCAGAAGCCTTATATCTGAGACTCGTCTCGCCCATGAATGAAGAACTTTTCGTTGCAAGCGTTGCTTCTTGATACCATATGCCCATCCTTCTTTCTCTCGTCTTTCCTGCACTGCTTTGACCCAGCATATTAAAACTTTCCATTTCGTTTTCCCCGCCCACCAGACTGGAGCTCTTTTTTCGCAAAATGACCAAAACCATCGCCAATACATCGTGCGAAGGAGATGGGAGCAAAGAATGTCGTTTGCGTCGATCGCGATACTATCCATCTTCGAGACGCGCTGCCTGCAAATAGAAAAGAACTTGCGGAGGGTATGTTTTCGGACCTTGAGTTCATTGATACCAGTGCCATCTTTCCAAGCATTGAAAAATTTCGCTCTCAAGAGATGCCGGCGAGCAACTGAAGTGCGCAGGAGTTCTTCTGAAGTACACTGTGCCCAGTGACTGAAAGCTTTCGTCAATAGAAACAAATTTCGTGCTCTGATTGCACGCTGTTCCATGCTGGTGAAGAAACTTTCCGTCTCCGACAATTGTTGCCTGGTTCGAAGCGCGAGCCGCCAATGTCCAAAGCCGGCCTCGAGCAAGACAGCCCGATCCCGCCGTCCAGCAGTAGCCATCAAAGTATGATGATGTTTCTGGTTGATCATCGCTTTCGAGCGCCAATTGCGAAAAATTCGCCGAATTGACACAAATATATGATGATGGTAAAGATATTGCGCATCAGCTATCAACTCCGATTCCACACGTTGATAATGCCCCTCACTCCATGGGTGGAGAGAATTGGATAGCTTTGCTTGGTGTGTAAACTCAGAGCCTGATCGAGACATGAGCGGTAGCTCGCTGCGAGGAACAGATTGGCTAACGTAAGCAGGTGGTAACCTAGGCGCCGAAGATAGGGCAATGTCTGTTGCTAGATCAGATGTGGCCTTCACTGAGCCGGGGCGTTTATCATCCCTCCCGAAAGCGCCTTGAAACTTTTCAGGAAATTGATTCAACGAGGTCTGCGACCAGATAGCCTCAGTCCCATTAGATCCAATAATTAAGGAATCTTGCGATGTACGTCGCAGTGACATGGCTGAGTGTGGCCGGCCGGAAAGTTGTGGAGAGGACGCGCTCCAGGATGATTTAGAATTCCACCCTTTCTTCTCGTATATCGAGCTAATCGACGCGCGCCTGTTCGTTCTCAAAGGCGGTTCGTTTTCTGGGGAGCTGGCATAGTGAGACACCGGTTTCGTACATGTTGTCGCTACTGCCTTCAGGTCTTCTTCAACATCAATTTCTAGTTGAATGCCGATTTCGGCAAGTGCCTCCTCGAACTTTCGGTATAGCGAGAGCCGTGAGAGCTTCGAGTCTCCAAGTCGGAACAAAAAGCGGAAATAAAGAGGGTCGTAGTCTGGATCGAGCCCCTCATCGATCAAAACCTCTTCGTAGGCAGTGAAGAGGGCGCGAAAAGGCAGTCTCTGCGCGCCCGGCAATTCCTGTGCTCGGGTGACAATCCGGTGGAGGATTGCAACATCTTTAGACTTAAATCAGCGAGGATCAAAATGACCGATGTGGACATGAATGCGCAAACCTTGATCCGATATCCGACTATGGTCATTGATAGTGGACTGTGCGGTCGAGAGTGTAGGGGATAAAGACATCGACGGTGGTCCCGCTCTTTGCGCTTCCCAAAATCCATACGACGGAAACGTATGAAAAACGTCCTAGATAAAAAATTATGCAGGCGCGCAAAGTAGCAGATACCAGCAATGTAACTTTATGCGATATCAGAAGAATTCGAATCCATGCGCGAAAAATCTAGCATGGCAAGGGGGCAATGTGCTTGCAACGCGTCTTATTGGATGGTGATTAATGGAAAGCTATTGTAAATAGTTCCTTCCGGTGTTGGCGGCGAGAAGGTAAATATTCGGATACAAACGAGGTCGTATTGCCGGATTACGCGAAGGTTTCAGGATTCCTCGTGAACCCCTTCGATCGCCAGGACCTGGGCGCCATAAACCAGTTAGGTACCTTGAGATGTACATCCTTCCAACATGAGAGTCAGGATCAAGCTCCCAGCGCGATACTGCACTTGAACCGATGATATCTTCCTTGATCATTGATCGAACCCTTTGAAAATAGACCGATCTCTTGCTCTTCTTTCATTACATCATAATGCCTTTCAGCGCCAGACCTGTTGAGCGGTTTGCCCGGGCCACGGCTAAGTGCGGACCAGAGGTTCGCTCCTTCTGCTCTCAAATGCGACAACTGCTCTAACAAACTCTTAGGCTGCGCTGTATGGCAAATGCATTGTGGCTGATTATAATCACGTTCACAAAGACAAGTGCCTCACTCAATTTTTAAGGCTCAAGGACTGTTATCTTGTACGTTGGCTACGGTGGCATCTTTCGGAAGTCTCTGATGAAATTGACATGGCACAGAGCGCTCTGAGGAAATAAACGACTTAGCGCATAGATCACAAGTTACTCGCCTGAGTTTTTGACCACCAGTATTCGCGCACTAGGCTAAATATTTAAATAAATGTTGGATTTCTATCTAGAGCAGGATTCTTTGCTGCCAACTGTTCAATGTACTATTCCATGAATTGTAATGTCTACGATTCTAAATGACGCGGTGCTCGTAAAGTTTTATCTTCTAAAGGCTTACTAGAGTTTCATCAGTCGGAGTAAGAACGTCGCCTTTTGTACCTCCTGCTCTTCCTCCAGAATAAGATCGCGGGTGACTGAAGATCCTGCCTTCGATTGTCCCTCGGCAGTAGTGGTACTATCAAGCGATCTTCTAAGCGCTTTCTCGATCAGTGATGTTTGCTGCTCAAAAGCCTCCTTTATCCCAACCATTTCGGGATCGCTGAGAACCTGATATTCCATTTTCACGTCATCGGTAGGAACCAATCCCGCCTTTTTGCGCAGCTTTTGGACACGGTTTATAATCTCGCGAGCGAGACCCTCTTGTGCCAGTCCAGGGTAGATTTCTGCATCCAAAATAGTCAAGACTTCGTCATCCACATTAGGTTCTAAGTTCTTCGAGGCATCATCTTGACCGAGTGCCCGCTTAATCACGAGATCCTCTTGGCCAAGCTCAATTCCATCAACGACGATCCGTTTCGTCAGCGCAAACTGCCGAACATTGTCGCTGGTCAGGCTTGGAAGGGCCTTTTTAACCTTCTGTGCATCCTTCTTCAGCTTCTTGCCGAGAGTTGGCCAATCTGCCGTGACGCTGTACTGAACGTTATATTTGTCTTCATTGGCTGAAAGGACAAGATCTCGGATATTAAGCTCCTCACAAATGTAGGATTGAAGAGATCTGACGTCATCAAGATATTGCGGGTCTGGGTGGATCACAATGAGAGACTTCAAAGGGGTCTTAAGACCAATTGCTCTCCTCTCTCGCGATATGCGCGCGAGTTCAATGATCTTTTGCATCCTCCCAACACGACGTTCTACCGCTGCATCGAAAAGCTCCTCCTTGACCTCTGGGAAGGGCAAGAAATGTACACTCCTGGGATCTTCGCCCTGGAGTTCCCCGGGGATGTGAACGGCTAAACGTTGATAAATATTATCTGTAAGAAAGGGCGTAAATGGTGCAAGCCCTCTGCACAATGTGAAGAGCACCTCGAAAAGCGTATTGAGCGCGTGCTGTGTATCGTCGAGGCCGAGCTCACCCTTCAAGCGCTTACGGTTGAAGCGAATGTACCAGTTTGTGGTGTTGTCAATCAACGCCAACAGGCGAGGGACGACCGTGTATAGTCGATAAGCTTAGCCAACGTCAGCGTGTCAGTCACATTATGAAAGTTTCAGTGCTTACCGGCCATTTCTTCGTTCACAAATTTGAGAAGGCTCTGGCAGCTGGCGAGAATCCACCGATCCATAACATTCTCGTTGGTGGATCCTGCCTTCGGGTCGAACACATAGTCAACATCTTCCATCTTCTTCAGTAACGTGACTTGTCCTTCAAAGAATTTGTAACTGTTCCACAGAGGAAGTAAGACCTTAGCAACGATTTCCTTGACCCCCGACTCCTTGAACCTGAGCGGCTCCGCTCGTACAACAGGAGAATTAATAAGATAGAGCCGAAGTGCATCGGACCCATATCTGTTCATTATGAGGGAGGGGTCAGGATAGTTCTTGAGCCGTTTTGACATCTTTTTCCCATCTTCGGCAAGGACTATGCCGTTTACGACGCAATTCTTAAACGGCAAAGTGCCAAAGAGATGGGTGCCGAGGACTGCAAGGGTGTAAAACCATCCACGGGTTTGATCCAACCCCTCTGCTATGAAATCTCCAGGGAAAGACTTCTCGAAGACGCCTTTATTCTCGAAAGGATAGTGTTGCGAAGCGTATGGCATACTGCCCGATTCAAACCAGCAGTCAAAAACTTCCTCGATGCGACGGAGAACACCGGTTCCTCTTTTACTGGGGATTGTAATTTTGTCGACATGATCCCGATGCAAATCGCTCAGATCTCCTTCAAACCCACTCAGCTCCTTGAGCTCCTGAACGCTGCCGACACATACTATCTCGGTGAAATCCTCGTTTGCCCATAATGGTATAGGGGTCCCCCAGTAGCGATTCCTTGAGACGTTCCAGTCCCGAGCATTTGCAATCCAGCTGGCGAAGCGCTTTTCCTTTACAAAGGCAGGTACCCAGTGGGATTTCTCAATATTATCCAGCATTTGCGGAATGATATCGGGTATCCTCACAAACCATGCCGGAACAGCCCGATAAATAAGCGGCGTGTCAGAGCGCCAACAGAACGGGTAGCTGTGAGTAATTTGTCCATCCACAACGAGACGGCCAGTATTCTTCAGATGTTTAATGATAGCCTTGTCCGCTGTCTTTACATATTGGCCCGCAAAATCTCGCACTTCGGAGGTGAAACAGCCACTGTCATCCACCGGGTTCGGAGGCAGGCGCTTGTCACTGATCACTCCTGCCTGGAAAGCAACATTGTAGTCCTCTTCACCATAAGCTGGAGCTTGATGCACAAGACCAACACCGCTATCTTGGGTGACATAACTCGCATTGAGCACCCGGAAACCAACATCCTTGAATTCCTCATAGAAATAGTCAAAGAGTGGTTCGTATCTCCAGCCTAGCATGTCTTTGCCTTTAAATCGTTGAAGGATCGTGAACTTTGCCTTCTTCGGATCCTTGTACAATGTGCGAATAAGTGCCTCTAGAAGAATATAGTTTTTGCCAGACTTTTCATCGTGGATTTTTATATAATCAAAGTCCGGATGGGCAGCAAGACCGGTGTGAGCTGGCAGGGTCCATGGTGTTGTTGTCCAGGCCAGCAGGTTGGTCGTGGGATCATCAAGGAGAGGAAAGGAAACGACAATAGCGGGATCCTGTGTGTCTTTATAATTTTGTTGAGCTTCAAAGTTACTGAGTGGAGTATGGAGTGCGGTGGAAAATGGCATAACGCGATAGCCCCTATAGACCACCTCTTTTTCGAAGAGCTGCTTGAATACCCACCAAACGGATTCCATGAATGTGGGATTCATAGTCTAATGCGTTATGGATACTTAGCATTTGCTCTGAAGATTTTAGACAGTTGAGGAAGCGATTACCTTATAATCATTATCAAAATCAATCCACCGACCAAGTCGATCGATTGTTTGTCGCCATTCAGATGCAAATCTCATGACAATAGCCTTGCATTCTTGATTGTAGCGCGTAATTCCCAATTCCTGGACTGCTTGCTTCCCTGATACTCCCAATTTTTGGTCGATTTCGTATTCGATTGGCAACCCATGCGTGTCCCAGCCAAATCTTCGTTCAACAAAATGGCCTTTCATAGACCAGTATCGAGGAATAATGTCTTTGATCGTAGACGCCAGCAGATGGCCATAATGCGGGAGGCCCGTCGCAAATGGAGGTCCATCATAGAAAGTGTAGGGTTTTCGGCCTCGAGAAAGTTCTATTTGCCTTTCAAAAGCTTTGATTTCTCTCCACCTCCTCAGAACCACTTCTTCCTCCCTCGCGAAATCGATAGACATGGCAAATCACTTCGAGGAGGTTGCGACGCTCAACTATACAAAAGTTGTAGTGGGGTGTTTTGGAGGGGATCTTTTTTATCGGTGCTTGTGGATTAGAACCCCACGGCAAGCGAAATGACTCAGGATCTTAGGGAGTATTCCAGGAAGCAATGTTGGCACTTGTGCGGTGCTGTACTGCCATACCCGAAGGACCCCTCGGTACATCGTACTTTCAGATTCTGCAGTCTTTTCTCACGGAACGTCAAGGAGTTGGTCTCGCGACACCAGGTGCGTTGCGTGGGGTATATATGACGATGAAAGGGTGATTACATACTAGTCGCACAGCATTGTGACTCTGACTGAAGCAGCTCTGACTGGATGTAAAATTTATTGTATTGATCTGTGATAATATGAGATGCGTGCTTTTATAAGATTATTGTTGCAGTAAAGGAGCTTTCGTAATTTCTTCGTTTGCTCAGATGCTTCTTTAAGGTGGAAAATGTGACGTTCCCTGTCTATTTTACGTGTTCCTTCTCATCTCTTGAGATACAAATAATAACACTTTCAATTTACACAATCCTCTTATCATCCTTGGCAGTCATGTGTCCCCATGCAAAAGCTTTTCAATATCTGCTTTCAACGGCGAATCCGTAAACTGGAGGAGTACTACTTTCGTATATCTTGAATATGAAGAGAAGATATTATTGTAATGCGGAGAAATGGATCGAGAAAGTAAGGAAAACAAGGAAATATCTTTTCAAGCATGAGCTGTCTACCTCTTTGCATTCGAGCCCTAACATTAAATGAGAGCGAGGCTGACCAGAAGAGCGGGCGGGGCACGGCTGTGTTCCCGACACAAAATGCATTTCAATTGACGATATCCTGCAATTGTTAGCTGGGTTGCCAGATCCTAAAGATTCTGCGTACCTCAATAAGACCTATTACGGTCTCGATTTTGATTTGATCTTCTTGCTCGCCTTCATCTTCCTTGGCTACCTTCAAACCCGAGAAGCCTGCACTGGTGGCCAATTTCCGGAGGAGGTCCGGTGTATGACTGTTCTGTGGCTGTGTTGACGACACCAGTCGAGTGAGGATGTGAGCTATTTCCAGAGTTTGGACATCTCGAGAATTTTTTAGAAGGTTATGCAAAATTCCCATCAAGCTGGGTGCCCTAGAAGTCTGAGTTAGCGACATGGTGATAATTGTACTGAAGAAGTTCCATACATCATTGCAGTGACTTCTGGTTTAGTCCTGAATACCGGCACAAGAAATGATAGAATCTGCCCTCTTATTGAATCATCCTGCGCAGAGCAATCGTCCAAGCAGAGAGCTGCATCAAGCGCAAGTTCAGTCAGACTTAAACGTTCGAGATCAAACATGTCGTAGATCCGTCCTGGTACTTCAGTAACAATGGTCCGTGGTCCTCCAGTAAGCCATAAGATTTCATTTTTCTCTTCCGCTTCTGTTGCTCTCGGCAATAAGTACGTCAAATAAGGAATTAAAGAGGGATCCTCTGGGAAGCATTTGGTTTCTGGTATATCGGAACTGAAAATTTCCAGGAAAGTGTTTGCGGTGGTCTTTCCGATTTGTCTTGGAAGGGGACCGCCGATGGCTTGAATCAACGTAGTAACGACAGCCGCATGGAAAAATTCTAAGCTAAATTGGACCCCGCACCAGTCGTCGAGTTTCGATAATCCCTTGATCATAGGTGCCCTACCTCGGAAAATGAGTAGAAGCAAATCGCGGCCCTTCAAGTTGGAGAATTTGGAAATTGCTCGCAAACTTGTCTCTAACAGAGAAGCAGCGTTATTAATGCAATTTAAGGGGAGCACCCTGAATAATGAAAGAGCAAGCCAAAAAATCTGGACAGTGTATCGCGAGGACGTAGTCAAGTTTTCCATTAGCTTTGATAAACTCCCAAGGATGACGATAAGCATTTCATCTTCGTCATCCGCCGCAAAGGCTTTGATGCTACCACGAAGTGCTACCAAAATTTGATAGAGAAGGTCATCATCAGCGCCCCCTTGAGCTAAACAGCCCAAACTTGCAAATGCTCTTGGTTGCACGGCAGGATTGCTTTGGAATGCACTGCTGGACACTATGCTCATCCAGCGTGCCCGCCAGGTGTTAGCTAAATCGACAGAAGTAGCTCCGAGACGGATGACGTCCACAAGAGTCATTGTGAGGCTCTCAATCGCGGCTATATTAGAACTGCCAGAAGATTCCATTTGTGAATCAGATTGCAGCATCCAATGAAATAAATGTGAACCTTTTCTTAATATCGAACTGAGTAGAACTTCCAACGGGTTCAGATCGCCCTGTCGACCTGGTGCCACGAGTGAAACGGAACGTATTGTCGTGATTAGAAGAGCACGGGTGATAGCCGCAGCATTTCTCGATCCGCAGTTGTAGGTAATGACAATCACGTGGAACATCTCAGGGAGGAATGACTGTACAAGGTGTGGACACTCAAAAGAAAGAGCCTGCAGTATCTTGAGAAGAGAAATAAGCTCCGGCCAAACATCATTCTCGCACAATGACTTAGTTGGTCGCAAGGAGCTTCGATTTAAGGCTTTGCGGATTCGAGCCACAACTTTTCCTAGCACAAGGCCTGTTCCTAGGCGCTTAAGAATTGAAGAGAAGACATCGGTTGTCGTCTCGTCGTCTACAGCCACCTGAAGATATCGGAGCATCTCTTCGACAACACTATCGATAAGCCAGTCATCCTTTGCAATAGCCGAGCATATTGTGTTTTGAATTAAGAAGTCCAATTCTGGGTGTTTAACGATTAGAGCGATCATTTTCCGTACTACAGAAGCAAGTTTTTCTCTTCCTCTAGTGGAATCCTCGTCTGAAGACAAGACATCACTGCGAAGATTAGATACCCAGGGAGTGATATAGCTCAGATAGTTTGCTCTTTGTGATTCTGAGATGCAGTCCCAGCCGATAAAAAACTCCATCAGGAGGTCATATGTCAAATGGACTTGTGAGAATGCTAGATGCTTGCTAATATCAAGAACCAGGGCAGCTGGATGTGCAGGAACCAGAATCGATCTCAGTGAATGGGCCTCAGGGGAAATGGTCTGCGGCAGCAGAGGCAGCGTTGAGATAGCTAGATGGATAGAAGGTCAGCTAATAAGTAGTGATATGAGCTTTACAATAGATTTACCTCCGGCATTAGTCGCGAGATCTGTAAGGGAAAATCTGTGCTTTTTCCCTAGTGAGCACAGAAGCCTATACGATGAAGTCCGCAGAGATGGATATTCGCTAGTCAGATTTGTAAGGCATATGTTAATAAGGCTTCCCGGTACGTCGTCAGACTTGATTATGCGTTCCGAGCCTACAACTTTGTCCGAGCCTTTGAGGATTTTGGATTTGGCAGCACGCATTGCTTGCAAGATATCGACTTTCCTGGGACTCGTGAAAAGCATGATTATCTTGCCATCTCCTGTTTTGAATCCAAATGAGTCGTTATCACGTCCCTGTGTACTGTGGGAGGCCTCCTCAAGATCGGCGAGGCGGAAAATATCATTGATGGCTGCCTGCTGTCGAGACCCAGGAATAATTTCTTGCTTTCTAGTTGTAGTGACTTGCACAAAATACCCGCCTATCTTTATGACCACATCAACCTTGCCTCTTGTCTTAGACAACCTTGTAACAGGCTGGAAAACAAATTTGGAGTCCGTCACGACGGAGACTGGAAGAATTGTTAGATGTGGCAAATTGAGGAGAAATTTCACTTACTAGTGCTTTTCGGTAAATGAAGCGCTCCCAGGTTGAAGTGTGCCTGTAATTCCTGGAGGCTTCCAATAGTCCGGTATTCCACATTCCTTGGGTTGAGTATATGGTTAACATCGTAAATCGCATTGCGAACAACTCTGCGGAAGCATTTCCGATACCCGCTATTCATATTATATGTATATATCCTAGAAAAGTTGTTGGCCATTTCCTGAGGTGCAAACAAACTCAACTTCCGAAACAGATCGTCTTGGGGTTCGTTCATGCTACTGTAACATGTGGCATCGATTACGACTCCAAATTTTCTTTGCCACATGCGGCTTGCAATCTATCAACCGTCAGCGAGGCAAAACAAAGTAAAGCATAAGCGTGTCGAGTTTGCGGCTGATGAACTAACCTTAAAAAAGCAGTAGAGGATCAGGTCTTCGTCTAATCCTTCAAGTTCAAGCTCTCTCAAAACCACACAGATTACCGGAAGGCCATCCTGCATCTCTCGTTAAAATATGTCTGAAACTTGTTTTCAATAGCTACCCACCTTGCTTTCCCCTCCGGCATATATAGCACTGGCAGCCGGCCTCAGCGCCCCAGTCCCTGCCGCGTTGCGTATCATGAATTCTTGAAATCGGCAGTAGGATTGGGGGCTGCTCGAAAAAATCTGTGGAGGTACCCAAGTCATCTCCACCGGCGGTGCTCCAAGTTTCGACAACAAGTCGGTGAAGCGTTCTGGTGCTGTTTTTGAGCGAGAAAAGGAAGTTGCTCGACTCGTATTTGACGCCATATCCTTACGCATTGTTCTTTCTAAAGCGTTGAGACGGTGTTTGATCATTTCCCAGTGGTCGTAGATAAATTTATGCAGCGCCACAGAAGATCCAAACTCAAATGTTTCATTGCCCACTTCTTCTTTCTCTTCTTCTTCTTCTTCTTCTTCTTCTTCTTCTTCTTCTTCTTCTTCTTCTTCTTCTTCTTCTTCTTCTTCTTCTTCTTCTTCTTCTTCTTCTTCTCCTTCTTCTTCTTCTTCTTCTTCCTCCTCCTCCTCCTCCTCCTCCTTTCCTTCTCCCTCTTCGGCATCATCTTCTTCTAACTTGGTGGAATTCTGCTGCTGCACGTTTTTAGCGTTGAACTAACTTCGCAGTCAATTCCGAGGGTTGCTCAGATGCCACTTACTGATAGCTCTCTGAGAAAAGTGCTGACTCGATAGATATGAGTACACAAGAAATCGTTCAAGGGAAGCATATAATATTCCTTTGCACCGAACAGAACGTTGTTGGCCAAATTTTGTAGAACTTTAGCAACCAGCAGCAATCCTCGACGAGCCGATTTCGTAATAGGAATGTCAATAAGCTGCTCCACGTCAGGCGCAACAATTGCTGGACAAAAAAATCGTAAGAAGACAAATGATCCAACTGCAATAAATTTCGCTTCCGGGAAGCGTCCTGAGACCGCCGATGCTATGGTACTACAAATTCTTCGGAAAGAGGCGGGAGCATGACGTCCAGATCTGCAAATACTATCGATGAGGGCAATCGCTACCTTCTGCAATTTCAGAATATTACTTTCAACATCCTCAGCTCTACCGACTCTAGTGGGGTCAAGCTCAATATCCAATTCTCCAGGAGAGGATAGAAGCTGTGACAAGGTTCTACCGAGGGTCTTTTGAAGGTAGCAGGAACCTTTCCACCTAGCGTAGTGCGAGAGAACTTTGGTTGCAATGCAGTTCCGTCTCAATATCTCGGATTCATTCTCTAGAAGAAACGAAAGTGAGAAATTAGACACCATATCAGTTCAGGAGGCAAATTTAGAATTACCAGTCAATTCAATTTCGTGAACAATTAGCTCTTTGAGAAATTCGTAGCCTAGACCTCTCGCTTCGAACACATCAATTAAAGATACAGTCACCTCATCTAATCCGTTGTTTGGGGAGCATTCAGCTAAGGCAATCCCAATCCTCGGATTGCGGATAAGGAGCTAATTTGAGTTTGTTAGATTTTTTTATTGTTGGCTCGTTTGGAAGGCAGAAAGGGAGATGGTGAAGGATATTTTTAAAGTAAAACACAATTGGATGTAGTGACTGACTTACTTGAAGAAGAGCCGCGTAATTTTGAATGAGGGCAGGATCAGATAATCTGGTCAACTCACTGCCCTGCACTACAACATCACATAAAACACGCATAAATACAATCCTTAATCTGGGATCATTGTGATAGCCAAGATCAAGTACTTGCTTGAGACCGACGTCAACGTTTGCACTCAAAAGATTCGAGAGGCCCGTTATTGCAAGGTCTGAAGCAGTGTGTTGTTCCTCACGTGCGGATGAACTGGAAAAAATGTCCTTCTGCGGGGGCCGATTTGTATCTGCCTCTTTTAGGACAGAAATGAAGCTTGTAAAGTAGTTGCGAAACCTATCGATGCGTAAATCTGCAGAATCATTTTCGCTCGTATCATCCATAAATTGCAATGGCATATGATACGTCAAACGCATCAAAGCCCTGAGACATGATCGGTCAAGATCGGCCTTAATCTTTTCCAATCCCGCAGGACTCGACCTGCTTAACCAGTCAAAGAGTACCTCTGCCATTTGGTTTCGAATGCGCAAATCGTGTCGAAGTATTAATATCTCGGCTTTCCAAGCCACTCCCTCAAATAGATGGCATATTTTGATCTTCACCCGGAGCACATTGTTCGTATCTCGCAAAGCGTGCAGAAAGCGACACAAACGAAGGGAGATTTGACCAAAATCTACAGGAGATGACGACTCCTTTGGGTGATCTAACCGACTTGAAACGATAAGACGAAGAATAGATGCTGCTTGCTCTATAAAAAGCAATTGCCGTTCAGAGGTCATACTTGTTTGCGGTCCGATCATGGTCTCAAGCTCAGAATCCAGGGCCAGTAACAGTTGTGGATGGAGCACCGCATGAAGCTCGGAGCCAAGAACATCTTTGATTGCTTCCTGGGCGTAGATCTTTCCGCACACAAGGATTTTGAGAGATTCCAGAAGGTACTTTTGAGACAAAAATGCTAAAGACTCCTTGTCGTTTGAGACTTCCAGACTTGTAGAACGAGGATCAAGGTCAACATCGCCATCGGGCTTGCACACGCTTCCTAAAGCAGCGAGAAATCCCGAGTAGTTGCGCCATTCAGTAAAATAAGAAGCCTCTGACATATCAAAGTTCCTCTCAGGCAGAGTTTCCTTCCATGACTTATCATCAAGAAAGTGTTGATTGAGTCGCGACCATCGCAGGAACACAGTCCGCCAAGCTCGTATCAGCCCAGCAGTCGGCTTTGATATCTTCAACAAACAGCGGCGAAGTCTTTTTTGAAAGGCAACCATGCCTGTCAGTCGAAAACTTCGAGAAGAGATTTCGCAGTAGACTTCAAGATTCGCGGCTACTGAAATTAACGATTTTACTTCTTCCAGTTCCTTTTCGTACAAGCGCCCTTCATCGCAAATATATGTGAGCGAGCTCATAGCTTTGGCACACATTGCCAGATCGCTGGAACAGAGATAGAGTAAGAGAGCTGTTTCCAAGTCAGAAGAGGCCGCTAGCCTTAAGTCATGGTGTTGGGTTTCTCCGCTAATCATCTTTTTATAAAAGTTTGTTAGTGAACATATCATGGCGAGAGCGAAAACGTGTGGGAAATCCTTGAAGAGATGCAAAAGAAAGGGGTATAGTCCTTGCCTTGTCTGCTGAAATTATGCACAGTCTTGACTCGAGAAATGTCGCACTGTAATCGAGTAATGTTTTAGAGGAAGGCTCGTCGATGGTGTTTAGCAGACCTCTCGCTAACATTAACATAATCTTGGACCTATCCGAGGACAAGTCAATTACGTCCAGGGCTCCCAGAACGAATGACGATAAGAGATGGCAATTGGAAAGAGGGTGAAAGAGGAAGAGCCAAAGGAAATTGTTTTGGAGCTCAATAATGAGATTCGGCTAGATTTTTAAGTAGAACAACTTACGAAAAATTCCAAAAGGCTGTGGGAGAGCGGCCGCCACCTGTTCGGAGTTCTTCCCTGTCAAGTACGGTTACAGCCATTGACTCAACGATTACTTGTCCGCCGAGTCGAGATATCTCGGGATTAGGCGCTATTATATACTGAAGCAGGCATTGATATTGGCGTTCTTCCTCGTCCTTCAGCTGGACAACTTTATTGATGTCCTTCAGGCAAAGCATTTCAGGGAGTAGGATGAAGAATGTTAACGCAACGCGAATTATAGCCGTGTTTTGAGTGGCAGCATATCCATCTTTAATGTACTCGGGGGGTAGCGGGCCATCGCTGAAAGCATCGCCCTGAACCCAGTGTTGAGCTGCCTGCTCGTGATCAGCTAATGTCAATATGGTTACAGGAAATGCCTACCAGTAGATTCATCCAAGCAAAAGGCGCCATCTTGCGAAAAATGGAGAAAAATCGTCGTGGATCAGGTTGAATTGCAAGCTCGCAGCATGCGTTCAGTATGATGAATGCTAATTTTTCATGATATTCGCTTTCAGAAAGCTGCGATAAAATATTGGCAAGGATGGAATCCGGATCAAGCTGCGAAAGGACAATAAGAGCCTCCACTGTGGTATTGAAACCAAAAGGAATACCGTCAACTTCGAGTTGCGGCTGTTGAGGTGTAAACAATTCTTTCTCTAATTGGGCTTTGACCTCCATTATACAGGTCCACACCCCAGAATCAGAAGGAAAAATGTGAGTTAGCTTGCACAAAAAAATCAGGCATTTCGCTGCAGCATTGCATTGCTTGGGAGAGCGGAGATTTTTTCTAATCATCTCGATAAATGCGCATAGATCATTGATCATTTGGTTTTTGCCATCCGTTTCAGTAACTGCTTCTGGCAAATATTTCCACTGCACGGCCATCAAACAGCAGATCAATTGCCAAAACTGAGCATCTATATGATAGGGGTCTGAATGTTCGCAGCACGTATTGCAGAGGGCTTTAGCGGCTTGAGCTATTTCAATCGGCGGTCTTTCCCCGTCCGTGGATCGACATTGGCGTTGTTCTAGCCATCGCAGGATTGCGGGGGTGAGCAGGCGTGCAACATAGTACTGAACGGGACTTGGCAGAACAGGAAAAGAGAAGCTGGTCTGTTGAAATATGATAGCCAACTTATCTTCATCCACCCGAAATTGTGAGACTAATTGCATAGTAGACATGTTCGCGCAGTCTGCCCTTGTCCAGGTCGCGGACGGCCCGACATCTTCTGCGCGCTTGCCTCCAAAAGATGCATTTTGAAGGCTGTTGAAGCTGCTCTTCCAGTAATTGAAGACGGTGCCCCAATTGGAAACCGATAAATACTGCACAATCCACCAAATGGCGCGATTTCTTCTGCAATTTCCATTACTTGAATTGAGCGCGTATTGATGGTAAGCATATCCGGGAGAATCACTTTTTCCAATGCTGGAAAACCCTATTCGATCAGATGCATCATCTGTAAGGGAAGGCGGTTCTAAGGATGTCAATATTTCGAGGATTCTTGAAACCAGAGTCTCCGCAAGCGGAGAAGGGTTATTTGTCCAAATATCTGGCACGGTGTGTCTCTGTTCCGTATTCAACCACGTATTTTCCAGGAAAGATTTGCCTTCGCCCATACAAAATGACAATGATGCAACTGCGTCCCCTGCGAGTGGAAATCGATTTGGAATATAGCGACAGCAGGATTCATGGCCGTTGAGTTTCGCCCAATTGCAGAAACAGCATTCAGCGACGAGGCAGAGGAAAGCCGTTTCCACAGGACGATAGTCTACTCCGGGAAACTTTTCATGTAGCGGTGCCTGATGACGCTACTAAGCTTAGAACATGATGAATCCTAATGATCCCTAACCTTTGAGAGTTGTTGGAGAAAGTTCACCAAGCTGTCAAGGACCTCGGCTAAGGAGCCTTCACTCGCAGCAACCAGACTATCTCTGTCAAAGTCATATCCACCCACTTGATCAATGCCTTTCTTATCGGAATTAAGTAGCTGAGGAAGCTTGAGCCTGTTACTTAGCCCGCTCATCAAATACTCCAGGAGGCGCACTACCTTGTTTCCCAAATTCTCGACCAAGAGGTTGATAAGCTTGCGTTTAGCATCCATATGACAGGTGGTATTTGCGAATTGACAATGTCAGAGCTTCTGGGCTGGTTGGGAGCTTTGGGAACGTTGTCTATGTGGCATTGATTGTGCTTGTTATGTGTGATGACGAAACCGGTCGCCCAGTACTATTCTATACAAAATGAGTTTCTGGATCTATAACTGATTTTGTCGATTAGTCATGTATATTATCAAGAAGCATCGTCGTTAGAGGCAGTAAGGGAGGGCAAGGATAGGAAGTTGTCCGGGGAAGAGACCGTGTTGCGCTGTACTTCGTTGCTCAGCGCGGTGATGGACAAGGTATATACCTTAGGTAAGTAGGTATTTATAGGTAAGGTAGGTATTAACTATATATTAGGTGCTCGACATCCCGCCAATTAGACAACCAAATCTCGTTGCGCTCTTGCTGAACCAAATAGCATTATTTTAAGGGAATTGCTTCATACACACCCCCTTTCCCCTCGCGCACACCCCCCCATGTAAATTGCCTGTTTAGGAAAAACACCTCTCATCCTAGAGCCCGAAGGTACTTCAAATTACTAGCCTGAGTACATTCAAAAAGAAGACTCCAGGCTTTTAACCACAGTTTCTTACTCTACACACAGTAATCACCCTATTGTACCTCCAAAATTAGCTACATCTTGCTTTCATGGCATGCTTTGCTGACTTTTTGCCTCAAAAACATATATTAATGCTTTAAATAGGTTGTAATTGCAGTTATGCAATGCTTAAATATACTGCAGTAATTTAAGCTATATACGGTATGCATTAATTGTCAAGATTCAAGTTAGGCTCATAGCGAAGATGCTCGTCTAATTTACCATTATAGGTAACTTGGGGACATGGGGGGTGTGCGCGAGGAGAAAGGGGGTGTGTATGAAGCATTTCCCTATTTTAAATGCTCCATAACTCAGCGACCACGCATTGAAAATTGGCGACAATTTTATTAAAGCCTATCTGAGATATCGTACGTGTTGGCTCAAAAAAAAATTTTAATTTACGAATTTTCCTGCTTAATATTTATAATTTAATTGGCATCTGTCTTGACAACAGCACCAGCGAGCCCCAACAGCATCCTGTCGATTATCTGATAAGATCCGCGGTTGTCATTCATCCTAGTGACAGCGGTCGTAGTCTCTTTTCTCGGCTTGACTCAGTATACTCACTCAACATAATCTACCACGTCATATCCATGAGCCTTGGTTCTAAGGAAGCCAACATTTTTTGAAGGTATAGTTCTCCTTGTTTTCCATTTTTCCCTTCTTAATGAAGATTGCCTTCCCGTATTAAGACAACACAATGATGTATGGTTATGGGTAGGATCATTCCCCAGTTAGTTAATTCCCAGGTAGTTATGCAATTAGACTTCTTACTAACTTGATGGACGCCTTGGGTATACGAAGCGTAGCTTTTAAATAATTGGCTTTTCTCCACAATATTTTCTCTTAAATATAAGCGATGAGATAGTTTTGATAGCAAACCTCATGCCGCTTGCCTTCCCACAGTAGCACTACCACAATCTAGAACCTTTCCGACGTTTCCAAAATAGTTCTAGAATTTCACCTCTTTAGTATTTAGATGGGCCCAATTCTCTATAATATTATCGAGCAATATACTATGTACCGTATGGGTTAACTTTCTGCTGCGCTTTATATTGTGATATACAAACATTTCCATCGCTCCCTTTTTTTTATAATCTCGTTCGCTGTTTCAATTAAATTTACATATCAGAGCATGTCATAGCTTTGGCCAATTCAACTGCACAGGAAAAAAAATACCCCAACCGTACAGCGATATTCACGAAATTAATCAGCCCAGCTATAAAGTCAATCTTTCTTTTGAGCCAAGGACGCCGTCTGTACTAATATAAACTTTGAGTACATTTAACCCAAAACGCCGGCATTTTTTGGGTCTTTGCAACCCAGAACTGTTTGACATAGACTTTCAGTGGTGATATCCACTGTTGTATCCTCTGTGGCCAGGCCGGGGCCACAACGTGTTCCCATGGGTGTTTCCGCCATCGGGCCGCTGTGTGTCCCAACTCGAAGAACTGTTGCTAGTTGCTGGTTGGAATGATGGTGGTACCTGATACCCATAGGAAAATTGCAGACTTGGGCCAGTCCCGGGTGCTGGTGGGCCTCTTGCCCAATTACCGCCCACATGTGGTGCTTGCTGATCCCAGGTGTGTGCACTCGATGCCATAGAGACACTTGGATGCTGATGACCAGGAGATGCGTATGGCAAAAAATTCCGGTTTATATGTGCCGCAAATGGATTTGGCCGAGAGTTAGAATTGCTCCATTGTGCACCATTTCGATTACGGGTTTGCTCAGCTCGAGTCGGTGCACCTCCAAATGATCGGCCCGCACGATTCCCTCGATTCTTGGTGGCATCAATATCCGCACGATTGAGTACTGGAGGGGGAAATTCCACCCCGCGAAGTAGCATAGATTTGTGGATATGCCCGGAGTGGGGCATTTCATAGTGCAAGCTAATGACTAGTTGTTAGCACGAATCCACGCTTATCCCGCTGTAACTTACCTTATAGTATGGTCTTCATCTAGATCTGGCATTCCGCCTTTCTCCAAGGGAAATACCAGCGAGCTTTGGGGAAGGTATGTATCGTTTTTCTCGACTTTGCCTGCCAAGCCCTCGCTTAGTTTGGAGTTGAGCTTATATTTTGGAGCGCCCTGCCGTTTCGAGTAGAAATTTCTCACGACTTCGTCAAAGAGAGGATGTTGATCCGAGATCAACAAAACGTCTTTCCCCATCTCGTTTCTCGCAGCATCTTCGGGGCTGAGAAGTGGATACTTATCAGACATTGCTTTGAGGAGACGATTCTCATCGATGAAAGGGAGCAGAGCAACACCTTGCCATGCAAACTTTTTTCCGTTCAGGTCAATTGGAAATTTTTCGGGGTAGAAATCAATGATCTCGCTCTCCTCGTCGGTCATCAGAGATCGGAAGATTTCAGGGATTGCATGGTTTGAAGCAGCTGGCAATACGCCCATAAGTTGTTCAAATGGTCTAAAAGGGCTTCCCTTTTCGAAGTGTATATTGAGATCAGCCAGGTCAGTAAAGTCTGCTGCAAAAGGCGCATAGTGGTATGGATAATACCACGTCCAAGACGGGCAGCCTTGATAGTAATATAGTAGAACCCACGCAAGCCCTTCGACGTAGGATCTGGCTACCTTATGCCGAAATGACGTATCTTGGGGATCAACCCCAAATTTCTGCTCGTAATATCTCTCACTATATCCGTCTTCCCACAACCTTACCGTATCTTGAGGTAGGTCGTCTTTGGAAGTGGATGGACTTGACAGACCCGGGGTGTGACGACCAGGGGTGCCACTATCCTCATCCATAACATCAGCCTTTCGCTTACCGAGACCAGAGGTATCGGAGTTGGTCAATGTTTTGATATCCGTAGATCCGACTGCTGCGGGAAGTTGCTCAGATTCATCCACGACATTCGAATTGGAATCGCCTCCCTTGGCACCCAACAACTGGCTTTTGATAGCGGCCGCAGCACTTTTATTTGCAATATTCGCCTTAAAGATTGCGCCGCGGTTAACTGCGATATCGTGTGTCATCAATCTAGCCTCCTTCGAAAGATGACCCTTAGCCGGTGCAAACAATGGAAGGTCAGATGACGAAGGGACATGGTTGGATCGCCTTGACTGGAGATCTTTCGATTGCATTGGGCTATAGTCTGGCGATTGTCGTCGTTTAAGGCTGCGTCTATCTTGGTTTCGATTTTCCTCTTCTAATTTCCTTCGCTTCGCATTGGCCTCTCTGCGCTCTTCAACTTGTCGACGGCGCCGGAAAATTGCCGCCTCTTGCTTCGCAAGCCCAGAAAGAATGAGCTGGGCTCTCGCTAGGTCGACGTGACCATCACGTGTGAGATATCCTCCCATTACTGGAATACAATCCTTCCAGATAGCTATTAAAGTATCTATGCCATCTTCTCTGATGTCGAGGCAAGGTAAATGCGGCAAGAAGTCGTTTCCTACGAAAAAGCACATGAATACCCAATCATCAAGAGCACGTTCCAAATCAAATCTAAAAGGTTGATTAGGAACCTGCAGCTCAACTGCGAGGTATTCTCGAAGTGTTGAAACATGAAGCCATATGAAAGGTTTCCGAGGGTGCGCGGCATTCTTCTCATCGTGTTCACCTTCAATCTTTTTGGCCTCGCCCCGGCATTCTTCAGCCCTATGGCCCTTTTGTCCACAGATCCGGCAGGTCCTTGCCTTGGATTCTTGGAAGAAGACATCTTCTCGAAGGACATGAAAATGCGGTTCATGGGTGGCAAGGCCAAGCATAATGAGGTCAGCATCCTAAATATCTATTAGCATACACCTACTGAGAATTCCCGTGAAGACATACCAAGCCGTACATAACATGCCTCGTATTCGGGTCATGCTCTGGAGAGGACCGCTGTGAGCGGATAAATTCCATTATCTTATGTTCTCCCTCTCCGGGAACCGTGGCGTCGGAAATGATTATTTTTAACTAAAAGAAGGTCAATACAGTATTTGAACGTTTCCTAAGTAGATTTCTCAGACCTTTGCCCAAGCTGGGTCTGTATTTAGTTTATAGGCAGTCCAATATCTCAAGCTAGCTGCGAGAATGTCCATGAAAGGAGTTCCTGGGGTGATAGCATTGCTATCCCATGTTTTATTCTCAGCAGTCACAGAAGTTCCCTCATCCGTGGCACCTCCGTTTTTTGCCCGCAACATCTTCAAGAACTCCTTCTTATCCTCATCCTTTTCTTTAGCTTCCTGAGCTGAACGGAATCTCCGAGATCGTTGCTGATTCATCTTGGCTCGAGGGGCAACTCCATCTTAGATTTGAATATCAGTAAATTTATACGATAATGTTACGTTGGAGAAGCAAGCTCTTCAATGATTCGGAACTCCTCGTTGTCTCGAGAGTAGAATGATTTGATAGGCTTATAAATGTGCCATATCTGCAAGACTTACCGACGGCAATCATTAACAACTTCCGCGGGCGTACCATCTGAACTACCCTGTCGGTGTATTTGAAAACTTCCAACATCATTTCTTCTTCTGAAGCAGGAGGAGGTCGATCTTCAGGGTGCGAGCACGGATGTACAATGCCATTCATATCCAAATATAGATTGTCCATCTCTTCTCCATTTGGATTGGGTCTGGTACAGTCCACGGGGATTTCTAGCCCATCGATACTTCGAGGTTGTTCCTCGACGACAGGAGAGATAATCTTGGGATATTTCTGAGACAGCCATCGGAAAAGAGCCGGCACACCCATGATGCGAATGAATTTGGTGGAATGACGTATCAAAAACCGGACTATTGAATGCGCAATTTCGTGGATTGTTTGCTGAAATAAGGAGCTTTGCTTTTGCTCCCACGATAGCTCTCACTCACAGTCTGGCATGCGTCTTAAGCAGACAAGGAGAGTGTGTGATTTTCGGTATATTCCCATCCGTTATTTTCACTAGATTCCGGGAGCCACCAAATCTTGAAAATTGATCGTTCTGTGTCAGTTTTTCGTGATCGGTCGCTCTTGAGATTTCTTCACCCCAGGCCACTAGTTAGATATCAAGTTAGACGGTCCAGATTTACCTCCCGCTTACCTAAGGGCCGCTTTGCCCTTGCCGCAGTTAAACTAACGCTTGCCGAAGACAAGCTACAGCACGGCGTTGACAGTATTCCGTAGTGCAATCATTCAGATTAAGAGCGAGGAGGGTTAACGACGGCCAAGCATCTTTTCGAGACAACTAGAGCAGCATATTCTGGGCATCAAGGCTTCTTACTAGCGTGCAATCAGGACACATCAATTCACTTCTGAAAGACAAAGGATATCAAATTACGAGGCTCGCGATTTGGTATCCCAACTGGTCCAACTAATGCGTCTCTGAATCCTACTCGATCATCATATTCCATCGGAGACGATTCTCTGCCCAAATCAGAATCAGCGCTTTTTAACGTCCCACTGCAAACGAATTATTTCAGTCAGTCGTATCCTTTGGCCGAAGGCTTGCTTGGACAACTGGATTACATGCCAGGCTCCCTCATACAATCAAAGACGGTATATTGAGAATAGAGTGTAAGAAGTGAACTATGTTCTCTTCGGATTGAGTCGGCCGTCTTTTCTGTCATCTTACAGGCAGCCCGTGGGAGTGAATCTGTTTCCGGGATTCTGAGCGTCTTAGATTCATAGCAGCAAGTGTTATGAAAGCCTGCATCAATTGAGGGCAGAGATGTTCCGTATACTCGAGTCTCAAGCACCTGCAAAGCAGTCAGCCACTGAAACAATCAATGTGTTGAGTAGCAGATTGGCCAGCGCATCCTTATTAGAAGATCGTCGTGCTGCAATCCTAGGGCTTAGGAGCTTTGCGAAAGAGTATCCTGCTTCTGTGGCGTCCGGCGCTTTAAGAGGCCTTATCAGCAGTCTAAGGAGGGATATTGAGGATGTCGACACAGTTAAAATTATATTGGAGACATTACTCATATTATTTAGTCCCAATGAGGCGAGTGTATGTTCATAGCAGAGAATGGACGCATGCAGTGCAAACGTGGAGAGGAAATGTTGACCTCAAGTATTTCAGCCAGAATCGTCGGACGACATTGCGCTTTGGCTAGCAGATGAATTTACACAGGTGATTGTTTAAAGCCTCGGACGCGTATTCCAAGCTAACCCGATAAATAGCGACAAGATAACATAACGATCCTCCTGAACTTACTCGAAACTACTGAATTCTATAATCGTCTCTATACTTTGCAGCTGCTCTCGGCAATATTGTCTGCCCGGCCTGAACGAACTCAAGAGAGCATTTTGGGGGCTCCATTGGGAATATCTCGCCTTGTCTTGACGTTGGACGATCGCAGAGAAGCAATCAGGAATGGTATGAGTTATTTTTCTCCGGAAACAGTGCAGAAGTAAGACTTATCTAGTGCTAAATTTTATTGTAGAGGGATTGCTACTGCTTGTTGCTCTCACACCTTCATCATCGGAGTTGCAAAAACTAATTGCATTTGAAAATACTTTTGAGCGGCTCTTTCACCTTATCCATTTGGAGGGCTTGCTAACCCAAGGGGGGATAATCGTGCAGGACAGTCTCTCGCTCCTTGCGAATCTGCTCCGCTTGAATGGTCCGAATCAGACTCTCTTCCGTGAATCGGGCTTCGTGGGGAAGGCAGTCTCGTTATTGAGCGAGGGTTATGATGACAACGTCACTCAAGGCGGGGCTGAAAATTTAATGACCTCTCAAAGAGAGAAAAACACGTGGGGTTTACTAGCGACATTAAGATTACTTCTTGTGCCTGGAAGTTCCGGCACGAAAGCGAATCAATTCGCTTTTTGGCAAGCAGGGCTTTATTTTCAGATCCTGCGCTTTGCTTTAGACCGGGGTGTACAGTCTACTGTGAGATCCGAGGTAAGAAGAAACTGGAACCCGGAGTGGTATTGGGTAAGTTGCTGACAGGTTTTTTAGGCACTTCTGACCTGCGCCGATCTTATCCGAGACAATTTCCGGCTCCAAGAGGCTTTTGCTCAGTATGAGGTTACGTCGATCTTCAAGATCACGAGTGAAGAACAGGGTCGTGACAAAAACAACCCGAGGATGTACGTTATTGATGCGCTGCTTCAACTCATCCTTGAAACCTCATCGTTCAAAATTTTTGATGTTCGCTTTGCTGCCTGCGAGTGCATCAAATCCTACTTTAATGGTCACGATTTAGTTCGACTGCATTTTCTCAGGAGAGCTATTGAGGGTCACAAATCTGGCGGCGACGCTACAGCAAATGTCTTGTCGACTTTGATGAAGGACTCTGTGATCGGCCAGTCCAACGACCCCTACCGCACTTGGTTTGCCTCTGTCCTTTTCTTTCACTTGCTGTTTGAGAACCCTGAAGCAAAGGACTTGGCATTGAGGGTTACAGAGGGAAATGAATCGTGCGGAGAAGAGGTAATTACTTGCATACAGGCCATCACTGGTAATCTGATTTCAGGACTTCAGAGGAATGAGGACGAAAGAGTGATTGTCGGGTATTTGATGGTCCTCTGTGGATGGATGTTCGAAGACCGCGAGGCAGTCAATGATTTCCTTTGCGAGGGAAGCAGTATCCAGAGTCTGGTTCAGACGATCGCCCGTGACGACCAGGAAAGGCCAATAGCTCAAGGGCTTTGTGCAGCACTGCTAGGCATCATTTATGAATTTTCCACGAAAGATTCTCCCATCCCAAGACGAACAATACAGTCAACCCTCTTTTCACGGCTTGGGCGAGAAGCATACGTGCAGAGGCTGAAGAAACTTCGCGAGCACCAGTTTCTTCGTGATTTTGAAGTCCTGTCTAAGGCAAGCGGCACAAATTCAATCATAGGCCCGCCGGATGTATTCTTCGATCAGACGTTTGTGGACTTTCTGAAGGATAACTTTAGTCGCCTTATCCGAGCTCTGGATCGTGACCCAGGCTTTGAAGTCGTGCTGCTGACAAATGACGGAATTCCGAGAGATCTAGTTGATTCTCTTCGGGCCGAGTTGGAGAATAAAAGCCAAGTCTTGAGAAAACTGGAAGTTCAACTGATTGAGAACGAGCAAAGATACGTACGAGAAAAAGAAGAGGAGGTGCGAGTTCGGAGCGAGCTGTCCAACGAACTGAAGCGCGTTACTGCTACGAATCAGCATATCCGGAATGATTACGAGGAACGTATCCGTGACCTAGCTGGAATGTCTCAACGAGCTACTGGGGAGCTTGAAAGGCGGCATGCTGAAATTGTGAACGCTCTGGAGGCTCAGATGAGCACTAAAGAGCAGGAAACTGCTCAGATCATCGGAACGGCGCAGCGTGAGTTTGAGGATGACATCTCGAGGCTTCGGCAGTCGATTCGAGATCTTACATCAAGAATTGAGGAAGAGAAATTGCATCATCATACCGTTTTGGAAGACGAACGTAGAGTGTCAGCGGAGGAGATCTCTGAAATCGCAGCTCGTCTTCGTTTGGCTGATGCTCGCGCCACAGAGGCGGAGCTTCGGGAGCAACAAAGCCAAGATGCTGCACGAGAGCTACAGGCACAACTTGATAAAACCGAACAATTGCTTGCCAATGAAGTCCATATCCGAACAGGAATTCAGGCAGAAATCGACGATTTGCTGATCGTGCTTGCTGATTTGGAGGAAAAACGAGCGAAGGATAAGGTAAGTAACCTATCGACTTACAAGCCTGGAATTGTTCTAACGGGAGATAGCAACGGCTCATATCACTCGGTGCTGAAATTTCTGATAATGAAGGTGATAGCAATGATAGTGATAATAATACTTAATTTTTACATAGTTAAACTCTAACTTCATAATTTACTATGTTTAGAAAATATAAAAAATATATTTTAAGGTAAGTTTATAAATAATTTTAAGAATTACATAAAAATAAAAATTCTAAAAAAAAAAAAGTATAATATAAAAATAATTATTTATTATATATTTTTTAAAAAATATTAAATTTTTATTTCTAGATTATTATAATAAACTTAATATTAGCTTGATATTGTTTTTTTATGTTTTTTTATCTATACTTAGTGTTAGTAGCAATACTTTTTTTTTAACTAGAGTTTTTATACTTAATTAGGTTTCTTAATTGAATTTAAAAAAATTTAGTTAAATTTAAATCTATAAATTAAGTTCTATAGTCAATAGATTGAATTCTATAATTAAATCTTTTGATTTATTTAATTGATTATTTAAGCATTATTAATTAGTTATTTTGCCTTCTAGTATTTTTATTAATTAGTACTTTATTTATTATATAAATTTATAATTAAATTATATATTTTTTATAATAATAGTTACAAGGATAAAAAAAATACTAGACTAAAAATGTAGAGATATAATAAATTTAATGGTATCATAAAACAAGAGGTACATAAAGATAAGATAAGAAAAGAGATAGAAATTTATAGTAGAATAAGTAATTATAGTAATTATAGGTAATTATAAAATGATTAAGATAATCAAGTATAATTAATGAAAAATTATATGAAATAGATTGATTATATAAAGAGAAAAAATTTTCTATATAGTTAAATTTATTCTATATAGTTCTTAATATTAACTATTTAGTATTTATTATTTAGTTGTAAGGGCCTTATCTTGTAACTGTATAGTAATACCTGGGATACACAAGGTAGTTACAAGCTGGAATAAAGCAGAGTAGAAGTAATAGCTAGGCTCTATGTAACAAAAGTAGAACACTTGTCCTTTGGCAGAGCATTCTATCTCATAATATATATGTAGCATATAGCTGCTAGACTATCCTGTAACTGTTATGCATGTAATATGCTAGGTACTTATAAAGGTCTAGAGCAATGCCATTGTTTGTTAGGCTGGTCTGGACCTAGCTGCTATGACAATTGCTCCTTCCTTTTAAAGTAATTGTCCTCAATTATGTAGGCTAAACTATTCCTCAAACCTTATATTTAACATACTTGTAATAAGGTGCTAACTTACTTTATAGCAGGTAATTAATAACATTTAACTAACTTCTCTAGTAATGATTTCTAGGAGGTATTTGTCCAGGTCTAGTTTTGTCTTTGTCTAGAAGGTTTCTATTTTTAGTTCTATTAGTTTATAGAAAGCACTACCTCTTTGACAAGTAGCTATCTATATTAGTGTTCTAATAGTTACATGCATTTAACAAGGTGCTAGTGTATTAGTCTATATATATCTTGAACTTTCTTTATTACCTCCATGGTTCAATAGGGCTGGGCTAGATTTTAGTCATATCCATGATAGAGCTGATGGTAGATCTTCTTGATTAAGTAGTAGTACATGCTTTCTTTGTACTATAGTCTACATGGTTGTTATATTCATTAATAGTTTGTAACATTTACTTAATATCCTAGCATGGTATGTTAGTCCTAGTAGGTTGTTCTTTGTTATACATACTATCCTGGATTGATAGAGTGTGTTTAGCATGCATAAAGCAGTCTGAAAGAAGTTTGTTAACCTGTTAAGGCATAGTTTGTTACATCTAAGGTCCTTCATTTATATTGTTTTATTGATAACAATAGTAGTGGCTGGTATTGAACAATATCAATAGGTAAATAAAGGTATCTTGGCACCTCTTTCAAGTAATTGTCTCCATCTATAAAAGGGGCTTGTCTTGCCTACTTTCTTCATTACATTCTATAAATTTCTTGTTTTATTATTACCTTTTAGTAAGTTCTGTCTTACAATATATGTATGATATGCTTTTTGCTAACTGTATAATGCTTTTTTAGACAATATTTTTCTTTAGTTTTTTCTTTTATCTCTTTTTTTCTACTCTTTTCTTACTCTCATGATAAGTAGTTGCTTTTGTAACTCTATAACTACTACTAATACATGCTAGATGTCTGCTATAGCTGCTTCTGCACCTCTGCCTCTCCTCCTAAATGGTGATAATGATAGTCATTGCTAGCTTCATGATTAGACAAACTATACTAAGCAGGAATTATTAACCTAGCCAAATGACAAGTAGTGCAAGCATTGTCTTTAATGCTTCATTTATGATTCTACTAGCCAATTTAAATGCATCATGCCTGTAGAAAACAAAAACTATTTACACTATACTACTATTAACTACAAGTGCCATTAGATAAGTTTTCATTCTTTTCCTGTAGTACTTTTGAGATGCTAATGACTGTCTTTATTAGCTTACAAGATACTTCTATAATACCATTCAAAAGCTTCAGGTCTATACTATTCATTACTATGCTAGTTAAAAGAGTATTAAAGGCATTGTCAAGCAGGCCTATACTTTGGACAGTGTTATGAAAAATGTAAACAAAAAGAAGAAGGCTACTAGCATTTTTCCTGCTACTAGTGCTTCTACTACTACCATTCCTTTCCTTGCTCCCTACCCCCCTCATTTTGACTTATTACTAGCCTTGTACTACATCATAGACAAGCTACATATTTCTAATTTAGTATGTCTTCTACTATTGTCTCCTGTTCTGGGTGCATACTAACTTATATAGGCTAATTACTATCAAGATGATTTGTATAATTGAGACACAAAAAAGAATACCTACAAGGCTAACATTACTGATACTAGTAATGAAGATAGTAATCTAAAGCTTCCTATAGTTTGTAATAAAGATAGTAGTGTAGAGGAGGATGATAGAGAGGGTAGGGATGGAGAGTAATTAGTTACTTTTTCAGGTTCTCTTTACCTGCATTTAGCCATCATGCTTGTTTTCTTTGTTTTGTTTTCTTTTAGTTTTATCAAAAGATTTTTCTATTACCTTTTTGTTCTGTGATTTACATGCATGTACTTGTGCTTTTAATATACTTGTAGTTTTTTTTACCTTTCTAATTGTCTTGTAGTATTCCACAATCATTTTCTAAGCATTTTGTAGGTTGTAGTATGGCTCTCATGAATTGTGTTCTGTAGAATAGCTTTTTCATTTTACTCTATATTGCTAGATGCCTCTCCTGACATATATGTCTACTATGTATTCAATAGACCATTCTTTGTTGTTATTAATTTATATTAGTAGTAGGGGTTCTTCTCCTTGACATTTGTAGTAGAGTTCTAGATATGATATATAAAATGTATAATGTAGCCTACCATACTTGGTAGGTAGCTTGAGGTAGTAAGCATTTTGGTTAATAGGTTTTTCTACCTTAAATAGTTTAAGAAATCTATTAGTAAGCTTTTTGCATGGTTTACATATATGTATATATTGTAATAAGAGTAGAACAAGGTTACCTAGGACAAACAAGATTGACTTATACTTTTTGTCATAGTATTTTTTCATTGTCTCTTGAGCTACTGTCTACAGCTTTTGATTATTATACTATACCTCCTCAATAGCTTGTACCATGTCTTGAGCATGTAAGGTGTAGCTGTTGGTGTTTGATTCAAGTTCTAGGTTTACTTAGATTGATGAACATGTATTTAGCATTAGTTTGCTTGGCTTCTTGCCTGTTACTACATGTATGCTATTATTGTATATGAATTTGGCTATAGATAACAATTTTGCCCAATTGTCTTGTTAGTCATTTATGTAGTATTGGAGGTATGCTTTAAGGGTCTAGTTTTGTCTTTCTGTTTAGCTGTCTATTTGTGGTTCAAACATAGTTAACAAGCAGTGTACAACCCTAAAGTAGTGACAAAAAGTAGTCCACCATGTAGATGTAAATAAGCTACCTTAATTTATAATAATTGATTTTGGCATTTTAAATGTTATAACTCATGCTATAAGCATGTGTTTTGCTAGCTTTAGTGCATTAATATTTTTAATACAAGGGATGTATTTTATAAACTTAGAATATTAGTTAACCATGATTAGAATTAAATTATATACTACCCCCCTGCTCATTAAGGGTAGTAGTCTTGTTATAAAGTCTATTAACAGGTCTGTACCTAGTCCTTCTAGCTCTTTAGTAAATACTAATAACTCATGTAACTTATATCTAGGCTTCTTCATACATTGACATGTATTACATGATGCTACATACTTATAGATAGCATTTAATATACCTAGCTACTAATAGAGTTGTTCTATTGCTTTCTAGGTATAGATGCATTCAAAATGACTACCTGTCCAGAGATTATCATGGTTAATTTTAAGGATCTCTGCTCTTGTAGCTTAATCATCTAGCATGAAAATTCTACTATCTTTTAGCACTAAGCTAGCATGGTTAACACACCATGTTCCCCAGTATATTCTATCTTGGATGTATTTTTTAGGCTTCTGTTCCTACTTCTTGTCTTTATACTAAGTATCCTTGGATTGGAGATTCAGAAGATAATGTATTAGATCAAGGACAAGATTTTCATCAAAGGCCTTAGTGCCTTTAGCAGCCTTTTGTGCTGTAAACCATGTACTTGTAGTATATAGAACAATGTCTTTGGTGCCTTCATGGTCTTTTTTACTCATGATGAACTTGCAATTGATACATTTATACATTTTATCTGTCTGTTAGATGGTGAGATTTATGCTTGTAGCATAGTGTCTGTACTATAGCTTTCTCTATAGTGTTGGTAATAGAAGTTTTCTTCCTTTATATAGGATGTTATAGTCTAGTTTTCTTAATAAACTATCTACAAGGTTTAGTTGGTCCTTTCTATAGCTAACATTGAAGTCAAATGCTAATAGAAATTTTGCTCAATGTACTTGTTGCCTACTTAATGCTTTTATATGTATAAAGTATCACAAGTTTATATGGTTCAAAAGGACTTCTATTTCTGTATTACTATCCTCCAGGTAGTGTTGTCATTCTTTGAAGGCATCTATAATTGCTAGGAGTTCTAAGTTATGTATATTGTAGTTTTGCTCTA